AATTCCATATTTATATAATTGATAAATATAAGTACACACTAGAGACTCTCACTGGACTAAAGCAGTTTCAACCGGATAGTGGGTATCTCATGTAAAACGCACACAAAGGTGGTTACGAGTCCTCCTTCTACCAGAGCCCACACATCCTTAAACCCAGCTACCTATCTCAATCGGCAATATACGCCTCCATCCTAACCACTGATCCTGAGACTCAAGCTTATATCATGGCCCATATATGTGTGTGTGTATGTATATATATATATATATATATATATATATATATAATCCATTATATCCACATAAAAATAAACTATCCAACCATATTATTTCAATGGCATACCATCCAACTATTCCGTTGACCTGACACGAATAAGTAGGACTTAACGCTATGGTTAATCCGTTCTCTTATAAATATATAGGTAGGACTTAACTTCTTTGGTTAATCCGTCCCTGAAATGCCACCGTCCCATACCGGTGTATTAAACCATACAATTCATAAATAAATAGGTAGGACTTAACTATTCCGTTAATCCGTCCCTAAAATACCTCCATATTATTTTATTGGTGCATAAATCCATAAAACCCATACTTCAAAATTAGGGGAAGACTCAACGATTTACCAATACCTTCTAAATCGGTGTCTTACCATTTTCCTGATAAGACTCAATGATTTACCATTAGGACACACTAACGGACCGAATATAGAATACAATGAATCCTAAACTTAAGCTCTAAGTAAAAGAGTACACAACGCGGAAGTCACACAACGAAAGACACCCTAGGGACACTTGAACCTGGAGTGCTCTGATACCAACTGTGATACCCCCTAATTTTGGAACACGGATTGATCAAGTCCGCGCACAAAATCAAGGGATATCAAAACAATTTAAGTATTTAACAAGCACAGAATACAAAGATGAATAATAAAGAATAAATAAACCGCTGAAGAAAACTAATAAATAAATATTACTTAATGATTCTCCAACAATTACAATTCGGAAATCCCATAACTCAAGGACCCCTTAAACATTATCCAATAATCCAATACTATTTAAAAGTACACAAGATGAATAGACGAATGACAGTCTCCCAGCTGCGGATCCTCAACCTCGAGACTGGAACCTCTAATAACCTGAAAAACAAATCGTGGGTTAAACCCTACGAGCAAGTTCACTCTACCAGGCCTCTGAAAACCAATAAGCAGATCATCTCTGATCAAAACCAAACCTAATAAAGTTTTAACTTTAATAAAGCACTATATACATGTCTATATATAATTATATATACTATACTAATCACATCCATTAATAGGTTTATTAAATTTCCATACCTATTAAATAATTATTAAAATAATATTCATACCTAGACCAATCTACCATTTCATTTTATAAAAACTCCTTTGACCTTAATCCCATCCTAGTCAGTTGTTTAATCATTTAAACAACAAATTATAATAAAAGAAATACTCTATTTAATCCCAACCCGACAATGATTTTAATTGTTTAAATCACATATCCAAAATCCAAGTTTTGACAAATCATCCACGTCTTCCCCAATATTATTTTATTAATGTAAAATAATACACTAACCAGTAAGTACTAAACTATTCTCATTTAAGAATATCTAACCCTAATCCAATCCATACATACAACAACTATAGATGATATTTTAATCATCTAACACATAACAACGTAATTATGCTTTGGCAAATCAACCATGCCATTGTAAATATTTTTATTTATATATTGGCAATTCAACCATGCCTCCATAAGTATATTTATTTATACATTGGCAATTCAACCATGCCTCCGTGTATGTATATTTATACATTGGCAATTCAACCATGCCTCCACAGGTATATTTATTCATACATTTAATTAGCAATTCATCCATGCTTTCCATATATGTATTCTATTCATACAAATATTTAGGTAATATATTTAATCATTTGACAATTCATCCATGCCCACACTTTAACCATGAATTAACTTTAAAATTAACAATACGCTAAATCATGCATAGCCATCACATGCATATTATACGCATATCATTAATTTAACAACCAGCCTATTAAGATATGCCAAATAAGAATGATAATATTAATCATCTTAAATGATTTATATATATATATACCTACACATATGTTATTTAATGTATTTATGTGTTTAACACCTTCTTTAATAATCCTTGATTATTTAAAATCAATATACATACATACATACATACATATATATATATTCATCCTTCCATACAACTCATAGACAAATTAAACTATATATACACATATATAAATAATTATATATATATATATATATATATATATATATACACTTCCTTCCATAACAAATTATTAATTTATTATATTTACACAAATTAGTGCAACTAAATATGTCAGAAATAGTTTCCTTTAAATACTCCATATTGGTTTAAATAGTTTTCCGACACTTTCTCACTAAAACATAAATATCTCCTAGTAGGATGGGAATCTGATAATGAAATTGGTACCATTGGAAAGAAGACGAAAAATCCTTGAATTTGAGCTCAAGAATGACCCGATTTCGATTTAAAATGACTAAGTTATGACCGTTTTAATTTCTAGTGTCGAATTAGGCCAACATAGTTTCCCACGCGCGCCCACGTGCTTACTATGCACTTGCACGCGCTGGATTCAAGCCTCCTTGTGTGCTGGTATTGGCTAAGCTCTTTCAGCTACCGTGAGCTCACCACACTGAATCCATCACTTCCTTTATGCCGCATCCAATGGTCATAAATGAGTGCGCAAATGAACACGCTCACACTAGATTATTTTCTATTAACTATAATATATCTAAGGTCCAGATCAGCGAGTGCACCATCTTCTCATGGTCTGCAATACACCAAATAATCCCATAGTTGACCAGACCACTTCTATGGTCCAGATACACATGCGCACCAAAGTTTTATGCGCCGCGATGCACCATATCAATTCACATAAGTTTAATTAATCAAATGGCCCTAATTGGCGTATACACCCTATTATCCTACACCGCACCGCACTGGATCAATTCTTTATTGTGTCGCCGCTCCACATGCGCCAGTTACCTAGTATATATATATATAATTATTTTCCTAACAAATAATAGGAAAATAAATCCTAATAAATTCCTAAAAATATCAGAAAAATTCCCGAAAATTACAGAACAATTCTAGAAAATAAAGAAACCATAATTAACTCTCTTGGGTCACAAATCCACCTATAGATTGATTTTAAAATATACATAACACCTATATATATCAATTAAAATCCAATAATCTAAAAATCAAATATAATAGTTTATACTTTTTAATTATTCCGATCTAACCATAATTTTTAAACAAATAAATTTAATTAAAGCCTTGATACTCAAGGTGAAATCCTTATGAGTTCTAAGAGGAAAGTTAGAGAAAACTCGCCTGAAAGTTTCGAAACGAAACCGACGCTTTAAGCTTTAATTATCTCTTCCAATTCCGACCTCCTCCTTGTCAGCCCTTCTTCTTCCTCTCTCTCTGTCTGTTTTATTTTTCTAACGTGTAAAACCTTTAACCCTAAAGCCTTATGTGTATTTTTATACACCTTAAATTCCAAATCCTATTCCAACTAGTATTATGAATTAAAATAATAATCTTTAAATAATTTATATCTATAAACATATATATATATATATAAATATATATTCCTTCCATAATTAACTCATTAGTTAATTAAATCATATATACTTATAAATATCAATAAATATATATCTATATATATATCTTTCCATAACAATTATTAATTAATTATATATATATAATTGATACAAAAGTGATCATTTAAATAATTAAATAACCACGGACCTTCATTAATTAACTCAATAAGGTTTCATACAAGCCCAAGACCACATCTTTTGGTCCAACTTTCCTTAAGCCCAATCCAATTAATTTAAATAAATAAGATAATTAATTAAATACAGAAATTAAAATAACTAATTACATGAAGCACATAAACAAACAAGAATTTACAACTAAGTCATATAATACCAATAAAATCAACACACCAATAATTCAATCAATAATCAACCACACAAACAATCAATCATCATACATAATCACGAAATATAACTTAATTAAAATAAGATAATTAATCTAGCACTCAATAAAATAAAATAAATCATTGAAAAATAAAATAAAATAATTAATCCTAATTAATAAATCTTTTAAAATTATCGGGGTATTACATTATTGTGATGACTCTGTGGACGGGTGTGCCGTGGGCGGGTGCGAGAGACACTGTCAGGCTACCACACTGGCGAGCTACGGGTGCACAGTCCCACATCGCCTGGGTAAAGGAAAGGTGAAGTACTTATATGTAAGTGTGTCACCTCCAATTGGTATGAGGCCTTTTGGGGTAAAGCCCAAGAACAAAACCGTGCGGGTTCAGGCCCAAAGCGGACAATATCATACCATATGGTGGAGTGGGTCGTTACAAATGGTATCAGAGCCTGACCCAGCCGGAAGTGTGCCGACGGGGACGTCGGGCCTCCAAGGGGGGTGGATTGTGATGACCCTGTGGGCGGGTGTGCCGTGGGCGGGTGCGAGAGACATTGTCAGGCTACCACACTGGCGAGCTACGGGTGCACAGTCCCACATCGCCTGGGTAAAGGAAATGTGATATACTTATATGTAAGTGTGTCACCTCCAATTGGTATGAGGCCTTTTGGGGTAAAGCCCAAGAACAAAACCGTGCGGGTTCAGGCCCAAAGCGAACAATATCATACCATATGGTGGAGTGGGTCGTTACAATTCTTGTTTCGTTGATTATAATCACCTAAAAAGAAACACCATCAAGTACACATTTAAGTGTCTTTCCCACTCCTAGTCGGTGCCGACTCTCTGTAACTTTAATATACCCAATGCACAGTTGTGTGTGTGTTTTAGGCCTCTGTTTATGAATCCTCTAAACCTTGAATGAATGTTTGAAATGCACAATTCAAAACAACTGTACAGAACACTAAAAAAACACTCTCAATTTAAAATTGTACTACAATAAAAAATAATAAAAAAATTTTAAAATGGTATCCAAGAAGCTGAATACTACATCCACTGAAATCAGAATAATCTATTACTCTATTGAAAAGCTAATTGTTGGAAAATGAAGAATATTTTGATAGGTGCCTGAAAGCCAATTCCCCAACTTGTCTTCAATATTTTATAGTCTGCATAGAAAAGTAGAGACTACAGAGCTAGGAATACATATACATACAATAATGACAACCAAACTTGCACTACTAGCTGGATAAAAAGCAAACAAACCAAAACCATTAGTTCAAAAAGTGAACCATGTTTCGGAATCGAATCAAATCAAACCCAACCCTGCTTGTATCGTTGAAAAAGCTCTTCAGTTTGCGCGTTCTTAAGCGCGCTGCAGGCGATCAGATACACCCATATGAGCACCACCACAGCCACTATTAGGATCACATTCGCTCTCCTCCATTCCTTTCTCAGGTTCCCCAACAGACCAGCCTTGCAAGAGTCACATCCGTAGCACAGTTGGCTCGGGTCATTGTTCCATAAGGTGCAGTCTAATTCAGCCATCTGGTTCACCGGATTAATCCACATTGTTGGATTCACATACTGGTACCCACACACAGTTGGTGGCTTACAACATCCTGACTGTAAACATCAGAACATTGGAGTATTACTATTATGGTCGTATATTTTCAAAAGGAAGAGAACAAAAAGGCAAAAGAATAACACACCCCCACCAAACATGGTGTCATCAAAGTATGATTATGCCAAAGCTGGCAACTATAATGCTTTTTATCTTCTGTAATAAAGACAGAGTATGATCTCAATTATTCTAGTTTGATTGTGCAATGTGCTAACTTTTGTGAGCAAAGTGGAAATGACTTTGATATCACATAAGACTAAATGTGGAATTGCCCCCTACATGCCCTACCATTAGGGCATATATAGAAACCACACAGACAAATTAAGTACCGGTTTGACTTAACTTTAGATAAAGCAAAATCACATCATATAATCCATGTGATATGACCCAAATAGTTGAAATTACATGATCTATGTAAAAGGGTGTGCTACTGATGTAGGATATGTTATCCGACTCTTTGAAACAGTTTGATCAGATCGTAAATCCATTCTCAATAAAAAATGACCTAATAATTAAAATTCATTAGCTGCATTTTGATCCAATGCAGCCATTTGGAGTCTTGAACGAATGTTGAATGAACTACGACATTTAAGTCTATAGGTGCTGATAACATTTGTCCTCGACTAATATAGAAAAGAGATTTGAATGCATATATAAATTGAATGTTAATACTACCTAACAACTCAAACTTTTAAATCAAGACCGTGAAATATTCGGCCGCAACAATTGATTTCGATTTGGCGCTAGCCTTACAACTACTATGAAGTAACAAATTCTCACAGTGGAGTCCAACCCTTTCATTTTTAAATGTCTGAAGGTGGGTCCTTATTTGACTATCATAAAGTCCTGTGTTTGTTCCATGTGCAAGTCTGGAACACGGTTCACACCATCACAAACTTCTACTGTAACATTCTTGTCACCAAATATAAATTCTTAAACTGCTTGAAGCCGTTGGATGTAATGGTTGTTATCGTAAGATCCAAATGATCCAACAGCTGACAATTACAGTTCTTTACTGTCTAAGTCAGTGGCATAAATCATAACATTAGAAAATCAGAGTCTAAAAGAAGTCTTTGCATCAACGGTCAACCACTGATAATTGAGTACCACAATTGATTGTAGGGTTGGTGATAAACAGAATCATTATTGAAGTGAGAGATTAAAACCGCGTTTGGATTACAGAATGAATACACACATGGATATTTTGCAATTCAAATTTAAAATAGAACAGAGTACTTACTTGAAGAGGAGAGATATGAGCTGCAAAGAACTGATCAGCAGAGACAAATTCCTGAGTGAGCTTAGAACAGGTATCAGACTCAGCAAGACATGCCCTGAGCTTGCGCCAACTGTCCGAATCGGTGATGTGGTTCCTCAGCCACGACGAGAACCGGGAGAGGCGGTACTCGTCGAAGGCGCGTCCGGGGACGTGGTAGGAGCCGCCGGGGCGAGTGACGACGAAGGCGAGGATGAGGAGGGTGAGGAGGAGGACGATGAGGATGGCCATGAAGCAGAGGTAGAGACTGAGGAGTGTCTGCTTGTTCCAGTAGGCTCCGACGAAGCCGAGGAGGGAGACGAGGAGGATGAGGATGCCGATGGAGACGATGGGCCACCGGAGCCAGCGGATGCACTCGTTGTCGGGCTTGGAGGCCAGCCATATGCCGGAGGCGATTATGGGGACTGAGCAGAGGAAGGCTATGAAGTTTAGGACTGATGTTATGTTGTTGCTCACTGCCATGCTTTTTCTATTTTTAGGAGGGAGAGAGAGAGAGAGGAAATTTGTGTGCGTGAATTCTAGAGAGAAGAGAACAGATGCGGGGCCGGTGGTGATTATATAGGGACTGTGGGTACGGGAGGGAGGAAAGGCTTTTGCTTTTCTTTTCTTTTTTTCTTTCTTTTTTTTGGTTAATTGCTGACTATATCCCTCTCAAGTCTCAACTAAATATATATAGGGAAAAAATACATAATTCTCCTGTATTAATTTTTTCGATCAAAATGTCCCCACTAAAATTAAACACCCCCTTGAACTAACAAAATCCATCAAGTTACCCCGAAATGACAAAATTGCCCTTCTAAGTTAATTGTAAATTTAAAACTTATAATATTATTGTAAGATTACAAAAATACCCCTGAGTTGGTGGGTCTACTATTCATCTCCATATTCCTTTTGATTTCAAACACCAGCCATCTTCCCCTAAATTCCCCCTCTCCACCGTCGGAGCCCACCGCCGCATCACCATCATCATCGACCTTAGCAACAAGAGTGCTTTTACTGTCAAGAGGGAGGTACAGAACTACCTCCGCCCCAGGGACGATGTGATCCTCCTCCACGTCCGCCCTACCTTCGTCCTTTACGGCGCCGATTGGGGCGCCATTGTCCTCTCCGTCAACATCAACTCCGATGAGTTGCAACAGAAGCTCGAGGACGAATTTGACAATTTCACCGCCAGCAAGGTAAGAACCAAAGTATTGTTGTGAACACTTCCTTCTGCGGCGGCGTTGCCACAATCACCAACCTAGTCAAGTTAAAATTTTGATTTGGACCTCCTTGTGTGACTTCGGCAACATTTTTGCTCTGTTTGCTGCTCTTGCAAGTAGCTAGAAACACTCTAAATTGATCGGACTCTGTCTTCGCCTGAATATCAGCCGCCGAATGACACCCCAACTCATCGATTCCGGTTGAAATTCCGTCAATTCTTACCGCCGGCGTTTCCAAAATGGGTTCGCCGATAGAGGACGATGTCATATTGGTCCAGAAAGGGAAGAAACAAGGTGAGCCCCACGTAATCACCGTCAATTGTACCGACTGTACCGATGAGATGGAAGATGAGTGGTGGTGAGATGGTAGGTGGATAGAGCTGTTTCAATAGCGTCCGTCTTTTTCTTCATGATCTCAATCTCAATCACAGAAGGATTCATTATCCCACAGTGCTTGTAGTTTTTGGTAGATTATCCGTAGCCGCTACCGAATATTGAGCAGTACCCAGAGACATTCCTTTCCATGGCAATGAAACTAACTGATGCGATGGTGCGTCTGCAGGCGGGCGGTTATGGCAGGCTGAGTGTAGTGCTACAGGTGGAGTACTATCAACTAAAGGGCCTTCACAACATGATGTTGTTCGCTCTTGGTGATGCTTCCCTCCATAATTTTGGTAATTTCAATATCTACTTTCGCAATTTGAGGTTCCACATCATGCCCAACATGTTGCTCACCGCCTCTGATTTGGAGAGGTTGCCGCCGTTGACAGAGTTGCCCACCATAAAAGAGGGGAAGAATCTGGTGGTGCATGCGTTAGCCCCACTTAAGATCAACAACGTCAACATTGAGACTCCTGATGTTATCTGCAACAACAGAATTGCCATTCATGGACTGTCCTACCTGCCTTTCTCATTGGATCATCATGACGTTGATTTAGACGGACGCTATTGAAACAACTCTAGCCATGGTGAAATTAAAGGAAGATGGAGATGAACAGTAGACCCACCAACTCAGGGGTATTTTTGTAATCTTACAATAATATTATAAGTTTTAAATTTATAATTAACTTAGAAGGGCAGTTTTGTCATTTCGGGGCAACTTGATGGGTTTTGTTAGTTCAAGGGGGTGTTTAATTTTAGTGGGAGCATTTTGATCTAAAAAATTAGTATATGGGAGTTATGTGATTTTTCCCCATATATATATTACTTTAATCTTTGCACCAATTTTTTATCAAATAACTAGTCTAAACTAATACTCTATTTCATTGTCTAAAACATAAGTGTCCATTTTTAAAAATCTAATTTTTTAAAAGAATAATTTTTTATTATTATATTAAATTATCAAATTTACATTTAGTGATCCCATAATTATGTACGGAGTAATTGTTTATTTTTTATAAGTTCTAGCATGGTTTGCACTATCGCATAGGTGCGAACTAGGTAATATTATCAAAAAAAATTAGTACATTGACTTTTTAATGGGATACTTATTTTGGGACCAATAAAAATAAAAAAGGTAAACATTTATTTTGAAAAGGAGGGAGGGAGTAAAATTTTGCAAGATATTCGGTTAAATTTTCTTTTTTAACCCGCCTTTTTTGCCCAGTGATTGGTTGTAAACTTCAAGCCTTGGCATTTTCTAACTTCTAATAATTCTTGTACTGAAAAATATATATATATATATATATATATATATATATATTACTCCATCCACAACACTCGCTGAATCATAACAATTTGCATATTATTCTATTTTTCTCAAGTTTAGATTTTGCAACTAAACTTGAGAAAAATTAAGTAATTTTTGGCACATTTAATGACTACATACTATAGCTAGGATATTGGTCTTCTTTGTAAACTTTCAATGGTTCCGATTCAAGTTCAAGGAGCAATGTGCAAAAATTTTATAGTTTAAGAGATTTTTTGCAATTGATGCTTTTTTTTTTTCTTTTATACATTTTTTATTTATTTTTTTATCATTACACTATGAAAATTTTAATTTGCTTAGGTTGGTTTATGCAATCTGCTTATATGGTTTAAAAAATCATTTTCATTTGCTTTCTAGTACATTCAAGACAGTGAAGTTATCTCAACCTAGGGAGCACATATACTGTTTCAAGAGGTGTTATGGCGGTGGACGTTCATATAAGAAAAACACAATTAAAAATGCCTTAAAATTTGAAGTACTTTAATCTAGTTAGAACTCGTTTTGAGACACTTTCATGTCACAATGATGTGATTTTGTAATTAATTTTTTTAATTTAGACAACGTGATTCCAATTCAATATTAAAATATATAATATGAGCTGATTAAAAAATATTATAAAGTTCTTAAAAACAAGAAACATCTACTTCCAAGTTCTAATTAATAATTTAATTATTGAGAATGTAGACAAAATGAGTAAAAACTATTTTCTATAAGTAATATATTATATTATTAATTTTGGCATATCCTTCTCATATTTATGTTATAATTTTTTAATGTTTTGAGTTTTACTTATTGGGTCATATGATCAGTACTTTCTTATACCTCTGGTGTATTGGAGAGGATGTAATTCGATGTTTATATTTACTTCTATGGATATGTCACACCAATCTAATATTAGAGCATTTTTAATCTTTGTGTATATATTTTTTATTTTTTATTTTTGTGTAAATCTGATTTGTCCTGATTAATTTACACAAAAATTTTGGATTATTTAATTTTAACTCCAACGGTTGTTTTATTCCTTTTGTGTAAAAATATATCTCCCAATGACCATCAACCATGTGTCATACCAAGACTCCACAAAACTTTTACAAACCTACTTAATATATGGTTAATTTTTTAATAGAACGAGAAAGATGGATGAGAAATGAAATATGTTAATATGGTGGTGTAAAAATATTGTATAAAATATACAATCCTTTTACACATTGGTAATATGGCAATATATCTTAACAGATTGCTGAAAATGAAAAAAATTTACACATCATAAGTAGCAGTGTATATTTTATACAAAAGAGTATTTTATTGTGACGCAAGTTTTTTTTTTTTTTTTTTTTTTTTTTTTTTTTTTTTTGTAGCTTCATGTGATAAACATGTTCTTCAAAATGCTATAAAGACACTTTTGTCCATTACTTTTGTGCAAAAAGACAACAACACCCCTAAAATTGTACATCTATTTTGCACAAGCATTTTAACAAAGTGTCTCGGCAACAATTTAAAGGGCATATTTTTCATATTAAAAGACTTATATTAACATTAATCATTTTGACATTTAGCTCTATTTGTTTGGATGTAAAATATTTTCAGGTAAAGTATTTATTTATTTATTTTTCGGAGTTTGGCAAATGTCTAGGTCGATATTGATATCGAGTCTATCAGGTGGGACGTGTAAAATAGCTTACTGAAAATTGATAAATAAGTTATTTTTGTCAGATTCAATTTTTTTTTTTCATCGTAAATATTTTATGACAACCAAACATAAAAAATATTTTACACGGAACTTAAACACACATTATAAGTAGAACTAAACACCAGAAGTAAATGTAATATCCACATCTTAGCTAAATAAAATAAAACTAACCACTGTATAGATAATTTGTTAACAAATATACATGCATATGTACAAATTTAGTACTTTTAAGCCTATTATATGTTTTTAAAAGCTATATAATTAGGACATTTGCTATGGTTAATAAAAATGTTAAACAATTACCAACATAAATCTAACAAGGACATGACAAACATTTGCTCTTTGTTTAGGTATTGTAATTTCATTTTTAGTTTGCACATTTCAAATATTTTTTTATTCTCTTTTAGATATATTTTTGTTTATTGTTGTATATAGGGTTAAGTGCAAAAAAGCACTCCTCTATTATGCATATCAGTCTCTGTGTGGTAAAAAAAAATTCCTATACTATCAATTTGGTGCAAATAGGTCCCTATGTGGTGTAAAATGACAATAATACCCTCACTTCAATTGAATAAATTAATGATTATAAATATCGGCCATGTAAAATGATCATTTTGCCCAAATTTGTGTAATTTTTTTTTTTTTCTCTAACAATCTCCTTACTCTCTTTCTCTGTCTAACAATCAGCAACGAACCTATCTTTCCGGCGAACATTCGTGACCTTCATCATCTCAGTCAAACAAGCCGCTGCCACCTCCCCTACCACCATGAACACTACTCATCCATCGGCCAGTTCCATCACCCATCGCCCAGCTCCACCCCAGTTCATAACCAAATCGCTCTCAACCTTTCATCGAATAGAAAAGAAAATAAAGAGATCCACACCTCTAGTGCACACCATCGGAAATCCTTGCAATTGCATGATCGGCGTTGTCCTCTCTTTCTCTACAACTGCAAACTACAAAGTCTGTAAGAACAAAAAAATTCAAAACCCATATCTTTTAGTTTTCCATAGCCCGTTGTTCTAATTCGGCCCGCTGTCTCTCAACTCTCAAACTTCAGTCGCGGGCCCACTGTTTATCATCAGAACGGGTTCGCGATCTCAGCCGGATTCTCCAACCGTCGCTGAGCAGATCGATGTCTTTCTCAAGCTTCAGTCGTTTTAGAGCGAATTCTTCAATCGTTGCCGAGCAGATCTCAGTCGATTTCTTCACCACAATTGCCGCTGCCTCCAACCCTTGCCTTGGCTCCCCAAACCTCTACCGCCATGCCCCCTACTCTTTCCCAAAACGGTGTCGCCCTCTGCCCACTCTGTAACCCGACTCCACCGCTGCCGACGATGATCGGCTGAGGAATTCCACCCTATCGCAATCCGATCACTCACGTGATGGTCCAACCACACGCAACCCTTTTAACTCACCATCAGACGGAGATGGCGACAAAACTGCGAACTAATTGAAGGCCCAATAGCAACCGCCGACACCAAAATAAGCAACTTGTCTCCATCCTTGCTCGCCGGCCACCATCACCACATAACCTCGCTCACCGCTACGCCAGCCCACCTCCTTCACAACCTCCATCATTCGAAGCCAAGCTCGCCGCCGTTGGTGGTTGCTATTGGGTAAAGTTATGTGAAGAAAGGGGCCGCTGAGTTGTGCCAATCTACATTTGACATGTGTTTGCCGGTCAAAATTAGCATTTCCCATGCACAAATGGGTGAGGGGCAAAATGGGAAACAAAAGGGTAAAATAGGGTTTTCAGTTTTACTTTTTGTAAAAAGATGGTCAGAGGGGCTTATTTGCACTTTTTTTGAATTTTGTGGACTAACATGCACATTTTAAAAAAATAGGAACTGATTTTACACAAAGTCTATATAGGGATGGCAAATTCCCCATCCCCGCCCGGTCCCCGCCCCGCCCCGCCCCGCCCTGCCACGTTTATAACAGAGATGGGGTTCCTTTTAGCTAAATGGGGATGGGGATCAGGTCAATTTATGAATCCCCACAGGGGCCGGGATAAACCCGTCCCGCGCCCGACTAAGTGTGAAGTTACTGATATACCCTTACATATAATAATTTATTACCAAATTAGATTTATTATATATATATAAATAAGAAAAAATATGTTTTTTTTTAATAAAAAAAGTTATGAGGCCTGGGGCGGGGGCGGGGATGGAGATAAGGTGGCGGGGGCGGGGGCAGAGGCGGGTATGGAAATTTTGGCAAAATTTTAAGCAGGAATAGGGGCAGGGATGGAGAATGAAAAATGCATCGGGGATGGGGATGAGGATGAGGAATGGAATTCCTGCCCCATCCCGCCCGTTGCCATCCCTAAGTCTATATATTAGAAGGTTTTTTACACTTAACCCTTTTATATAATAAATGTCACATGTAAATAATAAACTACTTAGTTATTGTTTAAGAAATTGAAAGATTAACAAAATCAAGAAATTGAAAGATTACAAAACCATATTCGCGAAATAAATAATGATCTGTTCCCATATTATCCTAGTGCCAAGGGCAAAACTTTTTAGGACGATTTTGTGACTTGGGTCGCAAGCCTTAATTGAAGAAAATGAAGACCTTTTTGTACTTTCACTCCACCTCTGTAACTCCGTTCCTAAGCTAACTACTCCAAAACTTTTTTTCCCTCCGTCCGCGTAATCAGAGAGGCAATACAAGGCGACCGGTGTCACTCCCCGGTCCCTTCTCTCTCTATACACCTTCTTACTTTCTCTCTCTAAATCTACAATGCGGAAACTCTCTTCCGCAACCATTCTATCTTTCCTTATTCTCGATCTTCTCTGCTTTACCACTCTGCCCTCTCACTCTCTCTCTCTCCTTGCCACTGATTCGAACCTCTTGGAGGTGGTTAATGGCACCGAATTGAACACTTCACTATCGGGATCTAAGGAAGATAGCTTCGCTGACATGATCGATCGTGCGCTCGAGAAGGAGTTCCACGAGAACGACGACGAACAGTCAAAAGGTACTTAGTAGTTAGATCCGAGCCGTCGCTGATCTTGTTTCGATTCTTGTGCTTTTCTTTTTAGGGTTCTTTTTATGTGGTCGATTACCTAGGGTTTTGAATTTTGTAGGAATTTCACTGCTTTGAGCTTGAGTTGCAATTTGATGGTCAATAGACAGTAGTGTGTGTGTGTGTGAGAGAGAGAAAGAGAGAGCACTAAATTTTGACTGTTGCAATTTATTGGAAAGTATTCCTAATTCGGAAAATAATCTTTCATATTTGATTGGATTGGAATTAGTTTTTGCCTCTCCCACTTTCTTCATATATATATATATATAGATATATAGATTTGCTTCCTTCTCCGAGTTCATTAAGTGATAATTATACTAGTGATAGTTCCTTGGCTTTTACGAAATTTGGTATCTCTATTTTTTACATTCAGAAGGGAAATTATAAAGTAATAATGCACATTGGGGTCTCAATTACTTTTCTACTTGTTTAATTCTCTCTTTTCCTCTCTGTCAATCTCTGGTGCAGCCACTGATCCTGGGAGCTTCAACAACAGTGTGAACGAACAGCAGGTCAGTAGTCATATTCTTTTAAATTGTTGAAATCGTGTGATTGAATGACTTGATTTTGAGCTCAAGCAATCAGCCATCAAATCAACAGGCTGTGACTGTGCGCGGATGAGAGCACGGGCTCACAATGACCACATGATATACTTACTCTATTTGGTGCCTTTAGGGTTGCATTTGTCTGTGTTTAGTCAAACTTCTGGGACAAACTGAGATTCATAGGTGCTGAAGAGGTCCAAGGTTTTCTAAAATATCTATTGCAGAGGTGTAGCATGTTTAAGATTTGTTGATTGCCTAAGGTTTAGGGCTATTCATATTGGCTTTTAGCTTGATTTTCCACAAATTTTTGGCTTTAGGCGTATAGTTCTTAAATACTTAATATGTGTTTAAAAATACTATTTATGACAACCCACTCAAAATTGAGGGGGTTTAATGATCTGTTGCTCATTGTGTTTGTTTGTGTTTTTATTTATGTACTCCCTTTTTTTTGGTTCTGTACATGAATAATGAGAAACTGAAACTTTAGTGAAAAAGATTTTAAATTGAAAGAGAAACCACAAAGAATACATTCAACTTGATCAATATTGCACGATGATCCTCGTATAATTTTTTTTAAAAAAAAGAATCTAAAATAATTTATAGAACAATTTTTGTTTTATCTTTTCTTATATTGCTACTTATCCTCATTTTAATAAAACTCATTTTTTGGGACGTTTACTATATACCTGTTATTTGATATCAAGTATGCACAGTCGCCCTTATGGCATTTGAAGCCCTCTAACTCTGTGTACACTTCCTCGTATGCAATGTCTTATTGGATTGGTGAAGAAGGGTTGCTAATGGAGTTGGGTTAGTTTGTTGGCTAGGGCTTGGTTTCAGCAACCCTATGGTATTCTTCCCTTGTGCCAATAACAGAATGCATCATTCCTCATTGATACAAAAATGAGGCTTCTTAAAATTTGACTTAAATCTAACATGACATGCTCTAAAACCAATATATTTTATTTTTTAGCTAGGAGGCATCTGATACTGACAGCTGGCAGGACTGTTTGCTAATTGCTAGTTACCAATGTGATACATTACCCATATCCTACACATGTAGCCAAGTCCATGCATTGTAGTTGTTTATATGAAGCAAAGATCAGTGAAGGTTGACCTTTGGAGAAAGAATTATGGTTGAGGCTAGGTAGCATGCTTATTTAGCCCCCCAACCCCATAGAGAGAGGTGAAGGGGAAGATGAAGAATTCTATGGGCCTTATTTTTTAAAATAATGTGTTTTTGAGGCTTTTTTGCTAGAATACATTTATATGCAATTATTAGTTTTTGTTTCTTAAACCCCTTGGACAAACTCTTGGTCAACTGTGTTTGCTGAGTTCACATTTCATATGTTTGATTTCATCAGGCAGTTTTGGAAACAGTTGCTAGAGTTAAGACCAAGAAAAATGACACCAAAGAGGAGAAGTATGTGTTTCTATCCTGTAAATAGAATGTCAGAACATTTAAACTTATGTTAAATGGAAGCAGTTGGTAGTGCAAAGGAGATAATTTTCTACTTAACATAATAAGTTGTACTCTGCCGTCATAAAATCGAGTATTGCTGATACCATGATATGTCTCATCTTAGGTCGTTTCAGTTTCATGATGTTTTTAATTTGGACAACGAGAATAGAGCAGAAGAAACACCAACACTAATAGATCGAAAGGTACGTCTTATGTTGTGTCATTGGAAGTTCCTTTCTTGGTTTGAAGTTTATTTTTGGTGCTATTAGGTTGTAATAATGCCTTTTTTAAAAATTTGCCATCTTTATTGCCGAATTAGTTTTAGTTCAATTATTTGAATTTTTTGCTCAGGACAATGTCTTCATTATATCCAATACAAAGTCAAAGTTTCCTGTGCTACAGTTAGACTTGAGGTCTTCCCCTCTCTCTCTCTCTCTTTGACCCCTACTGCTTGTAGATAAATGCTTCCTGTAACTTGTTAGCTAATCCAAAATGTTTAAATTACTGTTTGGCAGATTGATATCAGATCTAGTGGTTGTCATTGTCTCTGCAACTTGTGGTGGCATTGCCTTTGCTTGTGCTGGACAACCGGTCAGACCATTATCATTGTTTTATGCTTTTGTTGGTGATGAGATGCAGTTATGAAGAATGAACATATTTTATTGTTTTTGTCTTTTCCACCAAAAAGTTATTGATGCCAATTATGTGTGACCTTCTGTTTAGGCTTTAGTGTATGCTTTTCTTAATTGAGTCTGATTACCTCATCACCAAAGGAGCGTCCTCTATACACTTTAAAATTTTGCAGGTTATTACCGGATATCTTCTAGCTGGATCTGCTATTGGACCTGGGGGACTTAGTTTTGTCAGTGAAATGGTGCAAGTATGTTGCTTTTACTTCTGCTATGGCTCACAATATTTATTTTTTAATTTCAATCTCTCGTGATGTTGTAAATTTATTGTAGTTTTGAGAATCTCATTATTTTTAATGTGGGGAGTGGGTTTCATCTTTTGTCCGAATATGTTTAGCAAAAGTTACAGCGTTGTGGTCTCCAGTTGCTCATATTGTGTACTGTGTTACTAAGGAATTTGGACAGAGATATGTGCGCAAGTGTAAAACTGAAACTAGTAACCCATGCCAAATGAGTACAGGTAGCCATCCCAAGTTGTCTTCTACGTCATGTAGTCAAGTCTTTATATACATATTATCACTTTATTAGCAAAGGTTAATCAGTCATTTTTCTGTTAGTATACTTCATATAAATATTAGGACAATGAAATTGATAAACTCTCTGAATATGTGATCACTGTCATATGATCATGGTAGAGTCTTTGCGTAAGGTTCCTTGTTTCTTAAGAGTAATACTTGCATGTTCTTTTATCATCTTATGGAACTTCATGTAGCATTGCACTTCGATGTTTTCTCATTGGTATTCGCATACAGGTCGAAACAGTAGCTCAGTTTGGTGTTATTTTTCTTCTTTTTGCATTGGGCCTGGAGTTCTCTGCAACTAAGGTTGGCTTGCTTTTTTTCTTATTGAAGCTAAGAGGTTTGTTGATTCCTGTTAGACACTGTGGTCAAATTCTTTTATCTTATGATTGCAGCTTCGAGTTGTTCGAGCAGTAGCTGTTTTAGGAGGACTGCTGCAGATATTTCTATTTATGTGCTTGTGTGGAATAACAGCCTCGGTATGTCTAGTATTTTCATCATAATCTCCAAATTTAAGTATGCATATATATTTATTTGTTAAAGGACAGAAATAATTCACAGGTTGATTTATATGCTTGAAATCACTTTCCCGTTAATTGGGATTTGTAGTTTTAACAATTGTAAAGAAATAATTGTCATATTTCTAATAGACTAAAATTTCTCTACATAGGGAAATAAATATTCATAGGCTTAATATTATGACTTAAAGATTCCAAAAATTCTTCAAACCCTTTTAGTTACGGGAGGCGAATCAAGCTTGAAGTTCAATATGGTGTGCATGTTTTGGATATTTCACGTAAAAAAAAAAAGGCTAGTCCAGTGCACGAGGTTTCTGCCATTACGGGGTCTGGGAAGGGTTTGATGTTTTGGATATCTCACATAAGCAATTAAATTTCTTCAACAAATTTCACTGCAGTTAAAGGGAAGTGAGGATATCTAGTACAAATGAACCTCTGTTGTCTCTTTACAGCCTAAAGAAGGGAATTGTAACCTGCCAAGTGCCAAGTAGTATGTAGAATTTTTCTGAAGCATATTTGGGGAAAAGCAAAAATGATATAGAATTCGTCAGGGTGCGACATATATTGGGTCCCATTCCTTCCACTTGATTATATACGTGGTTTCCTTCGAGAAATGGGTGACAAGTATTCAAACTTTCAAAGATGTATAAGTTGATGTTTACTTGCTAATTTTCCATAAGAAATAGTCACCATTATGTTCATTAGTTATACGATCCTCTTCATATTAAGTGGATGATACTCTTTCTGGTTGTGTTTTTATGACCTTCTCCCTTCATAGATAAAGTTTGGATTTCTCACTTTTATCTATGTAGTTATGCTTTTAATTAGTATGAACGGGTTTAGGGTTTAACAATCAACCATTCTTGAAGTTTATGCCGTTAGAAAGCATTGTTTTTCAAAAAATACAATTCAGGCTAATTCAAGCCGACCAGAAGGCGGCGGCTTAGATTACCAGATCCTGGCCAGTTATGTTCTTGTATACAAGCCCTGAAAAAGGATCAAGAGTCTTGTGGAGGATTATTTGAAACTTATGTCACCAAGTCAATGAGCAACTGCTCCTTTATGGGGGAACCCTAATAGAAAGAGAATAGAGAGCCTTCAAAAAAGAGTAAGAGTACTGAAATGCCCATAAGCCGTCAAATACTAGTCTCGAGACTGTATTGGCGCAAAAGGAACGGTCCTTCACTTGCTGATCGTTTGCGAGTCAAAATTAACAGTTGCTTAAAGAAAATAATTTCATGACTTTTACTAATTTTTTTCGTTGATTTTTGCTTTTCCCCAACAATGTACAGTAGAAATTGAATTATGCATCAGTTGCAGAGTGCTTCTCTTGTCTAATAACACATAAAAACTTCTTTACATTTTAAAACTTAAGGGGCTGTGGTATCATGCTATCACAGAGCCCTCATCTATAATGGGGCTGGTTCCTGATCAGGTGCCATCCTCTGGGCAGGCTTGAACAAAACAATATTGGTTATGAGAGCTGGGCCTAGCTTAGCTTTATAGTGCTGTTTAACTTTTGGGCCATAAAATAACTATGTCCAAGTAGTCATAGTTCTTGTTATATTAGTACTTGATGCTTATAAAATTCAATCTGAACTCAACACTGTTTTCTTCAGTTGGCCCAGGCTGTCTATCCTAAGGTGCAGTGTTAGGCTTATGATGGGCCTGCATAGTGCCACTATATCCTGTTCTTTGCCCAGATTAAGTCCACTCTACGGTCACCCTGTGGATTCAAAACTATATGGGGGTTAAGGATCAAAAGTAATTAGATTTGATATATTGAGTTGAGGCTGCAACTCTTTATGCCAGCTTTATGCATTCCTTTCTTTGACTCTTAGAACTGAACAGTGGAATATTGGTTATGAAGAGCTAGATCTAGCTTGAATTTCTAGGTGTGTTCAACTTTTGAGCCTTAAGAAAACAAGTTTAACTTTTGGGCCTTAATAAAACTATGTGCAAGTGGTCATAGTTCTTGTTTTATTAGTTTTTTTATGTTTATAAATTATAATGTGAACTGAACACTGTTTTCTTTAGTTGGCCCAGGCTATTCATCCTAGGTCCAATGTCAGGCCAATGATGGGCCTGCATAGCACCACTATATCCAGTTCCTTGCCGGATTAAGTCCAGTCTATGGCTGCCCTGTGGATTCAAAACTATATGGGGGTTAAGGATCAAAAGTAGTTCGACTTGAAATATTCAGTTGAGACTGTGACTCTTTCTGCCAGTTTTATACAGTCCTTTTCTTAATTTAATTTAATTTTTTATTTATATATATTCTTAGTACCTGAACAGTGGAATGTACAGTCTCTTATCAAAGAAGCTTTCTAGTTTCTCATTATTTAAAAGCATTGGGGAGAAAATGAGTGTGAAACCAGTCAATGCAATACAATGTGGGTTTGGACACTTCCAATACGGTCTATTTTTTCTCCCTCTGTGGTCAGAACTCTGTTAGGGATTTGATGTGACAAAAGTTACCCTTGGAAATGAGTTTTTTTAATAGGGATTGCATGCCAATTTTAGGGATTAATCACTTCTCAAGATTGGAGGTTGGGCTTTGTCAACGCCTGAACAGGTTTATTAAAAAACTATGTTAGCACCTTTTCTACGGTCAAGAAAAAAAGAAAGAAAAAGTTAGCATCAATGCATCATACACAATGTCATCAACCAAGGTGCTAGAGGTCTTTTGGAGCCTAGGCGCGCGCTTGAGTGAAGTGAGGTGCAAAATTGAAAAATTAAATTACTATTAAAGCATATTCATATTCCATATAAAGGTGCAAATGTTGTCAAAGGCGCACCTGGGCAAACAAGAGGCGCAAGTGTTGCGCCTGTATGAGCCTGGAGCCTAGGCGTGCCTTTAACAACACTGATCATACATTTTTTATCCATTGATTTTGGCCGTTAGTTTCTGATATGTGCAGCCTTATGCTTTTTGCAGTTATGCGGAGGTGAAGTATCCGAGGGGATATTTGTTGGTGCATTCCTGTCTATGTCATCAACAGCAGTGGTAGCTCTCTTTGCATAGATTATATATTTTTATTTTCTGAAAATGTGAATTATGCTTTAATTTAGCCCTAGGGTCACCAAGAGATCTCTTATTTTTATTTGGATTTTTTATGTGTATATTTTGGAACTATCACTTAACATGTGAACCATAATCACCAAACAACTGGGGAAAAAAGGTTGATTAATTATAATCCAAGGACAATATACTCAACTCAACAAAACTTTTCCCCTACTGTAATCCTAGGACAATATATAGAAGTTCTTTCGTAGGCAATTTTTTTTACTTGTGGTAACTTTGTGAAACCACGCTTTTTAAGGACATTATGAACAATTCATTACTTGGATCCAAAGTATGTAACATATTGAGTGAACACCGAAGCATGAAGGCAACCAAGGACTCATTGGAGAAAGAAGGACAGGAAATAGGTAGAAGAGGAAAAGGAGTGAAATGTGCAATATAAAGGAAAGGTGTCACTATAATCCCAGTGTCGACTTTCAAGAGCAAAGGAATGCAAAATAAGTTGTTTGGTGAAGACTTCTGAGCTTCCAAACAACCGCACTATAGAAAGAGATGCGTGAGAAGAAGAATAGTTAGTAGAAAAAGGAAAGAAAAAAAAAAGGAGGAAAGAAGATGAATTGGAGAAGTATAGAAGAGCAGTAGATAACACATGAATGCTGAACCTTGTTTCTACTTCCGGGATTTTCTTTAATTTTACTATTTTATATCATTATACTGGTTATCAAATCCTACCACTTTACCTCTCTTTTATCAATAAGTACGAAAGAATTCTTAATGAATTGGTAGATTTTTGTAACTTTGTGCTAAGGTCTGTTAAAGTAAGAAAATAAATAAAGGTTGGAGGATAGAGGTGAAAATGAACTGAACCGACTTGAGCTTAAGATTGTTTGGGCTCGTCTCGTTCATCCTGAAATTTAGCTTGATGAGCTCAGAAAGCAGGGCTCAATCTCTGTCGTGATTGAGTAATGGCTCATACGCTCATCTCTGCAGGCGACTCTTTTCTTGGAGTCTGCCTCAACATTCTACCTACTTAAAAGTTTTGCTTAAATTTTCAACTCAACTCAACATTTTTTTTCCCAACTACATAGGGTTGGCTATATGAATCATATTTTTCTATTTCGCTTTATCTAAGCTTATAACCTCAATCAAACCACATGTTATCATATCCTTCCTTCCTTACTCTACCCACGTTAACTTTTGTCTCTCTCTTCCCCTAGCATTATTCTTACTGTACACTGCCACTTTTCCTAACTGGTGCATTTACTGGTCCTTAGCACATGTCCAAATTTTGTGGCATAAAAAAAGACAAAGGCCCTTTTGTTGATTAACTAGTTTCTATAAGTTTATTTCTGCTGGAATAGTAGTTTCCTTGGGCAACAGTATGTGAGTTTAGCCTACCTTAGTTATGGAGTTGTTAAAGCTATTTTCAATTTTTAATGGTGCTAAAACAATTTTCCTTGTTTTTGCGACAGGTTTTGAAATTCTTGATGGAAAGAAATAGTATTAGTGCTCTTCACGGACAGGTCACAGTTGGCATCCTTATTCTGCAGGTTTGATCAGTCCCTTGCTATGCTGCTAATAATAGTATTTGTGTGAAGACCGTAAATCTTTTTTGCTTATGATGTTTCTCTTGCTTTACTTTTACATAGAGTTTTTGCTTAGAAGTTTTGATCTATCTTTGCCTGCCAGGATTGTGCAGTGGGCTTGCTTTTTGCACTTCTTCCAGTACTGGGGGGTACTTCTGGTGTTCTTCAAGGAGTGATATCCATGACAAAATCGTAAGTGAAGTAATTAAAATATATGGAACTTTTTCCCACTTACATTTAACAATATGCAAATGATTTTAGGAACTCTATTTGAATTAGTGATTTATTGATATCAACAGTACTTTTTTATTTTCTGGTGGTTAATTGTCAGCACTTTTTTTTCTTCGTTATACTACATCTTTTATATCTAAAATAGTTGAACTTGCCTGTCAGTTCTGTGTCTAAAGGATCAATTGTTGATGGAAACACATGAAATCAAGGACTTGGCTTATTTATTTCATTATTGGAAGGACTAATATTAAAATAAAAGTACAAGATTTTAGTTGTTTGGGTGCCTATATGCCAAGACATTCCTCTAGTAATATTCATGGTAATTTTCCCTGTAAAATTGTTGCCACTTTTGGTTCCAGATAATGACTTTGATGATCATGATTCTGTGTGTACTTCTATTGTGCAAGCAAGGGATTATTCAGAAGTCGGTTTTCCCTCTTATCTGTTTTTTTTTTTTTGTTTTGAGAATGTGAAGACATATAGGGACGTGTGCCGTGTATAGATAGTTTTAAGAATTGTGAAATTTAGGTTAATAACTGTCAAATGGTTTATATATTTAAGTTACACCCTCTCTAACAGCTTAAGCTTTTGGAGTAGATGGTAGTTAACATGGTATCGGAGCCAAAGGTCTCAAGTTCAAACCTCACCGTCAGCCTAATTAAAAAAAAACTGAAAAACACGCGTTGGACCAAAAGAAGGCCACATGTGAGGGGGCGTGTTGAAGGATTTATATATTTAAGTTACACCCTTTCTAACGTCTCAAGCTTTTGGAGTAGATGGTAGTTAACAATAACATTTTGGGGAACAATTGATTGTATAGGGGAAAGTTAGTATCAATCTTCTTCAAAGTGCAGTTGGATGTGGTTTCCTAGCATCAGATATACAGCCGGCTTTGGTTCCCTAAAATCAGTTTTGCAGTGGAAGCTAAACAGATACACTCTTCAATACTACATTCTGTCTATACGTAGCGCCAAAAAATCGTTGAAGTAGGAAATTTTGTTTCCCCTTCACTAATATCCTAGTCAAATGAGCATCAATACAGCTGATGCTAGGATGTTGAGGTTTTCTCTCTGCCTTTTATCCCTTTTCTCTCTGCCTTTTTCTTTGATATGCAGATCCCTTTTACTATTTTTTATTTTTTCGAGAATGATATTCTGTTGGATATATGCCTTGAAATGTTCATATTGAATGAAAACTCTATGAACTTAAGCTGCATGGTTTTGGAACTATGCAGCATCTTTAGTTTCAAACTTATTACTGACAATGTCAGTTTATGTTGGAGCTCATCAGCTTTAGTGCCTGTTTGGCATTGCTGTGACTACATGTTTAAGCGCTTATATGTTTAGAGCTATCAAAAAGTGTTGTATGTTTAAAAGAGAAATAATGTTTGGTGATACATTAGGTACAACACTTTTCTTGTTAGAAGTACTTTTTTATGTGTTTGGAAATAATACTGCTTAAAGCACTTCTAATGGCAACTTTACAATAATTTATTCTACCAACAAAAATTTTAGTTGCTACTACAAAACTTAAGTTTTCTCATGAAATGATTGGAACATGTGCAGTGCCCAAATACAATTTTTTTTTTACAACATTTAGTTGATTTAGATAATTATATGAGGACGAGACATTTTGAGTTTTTTTTTCTTTATGAAAAATTTATTATTTAATTGCTTATATTAGGACTTCTATTATATATATTCTCAATGAATTTGATATTCAGAGATGCTTATTGAATTTTCTAATCACATAATATAAAAAAAAATTCAAATCACATAATACAAGTAATAACATATGGTGCTTGATAATAGAATACTCTGAATGATATATATGTGTGTGTGTGTGTGTGTGTGTGTATAAAGGGAATGCCCCTCTCAAATCCTATACATTTGTCTATAGTAAATACATCTGAGTGCTTACAAGAAAATGAGGGTTTTTTCTCTTTCTGAAAAAGAGTAGGATAAACTTGTCCGTGGGAAAAAAGTTACCTAAAAGTGTGGAACCTCTGCATCTAATGCAGTTTTAAAAGCTACAAATGTGTCTTTGGCATAAGCTTTATTGTGCCAAAAAATCTCTACCATTTAAAAGCAATTCTTCTTCTTCTTCTTCTTCTTCTTCTTTTTTGGTTACCAGACACATGTTTTAGCAATTTTTCAAATAGTAAGCACATTAAAGTTGCTGAAAAACAACCCTAAACATGCCATTAGAGTCTTTACTATCTTGCAAGTGAAATTTCATATTGTATAAAGAAAATTACAATTATTTGGACCATTGTGGTTAACCACTTTTGGAAGTCTGTATCTGATGGCGCAAATAAAACAATGAAATAAAATGGATGGAGGAAAACAGACTCTTTGGTGAGCTGGCACCATCAACAATTACGAATATGAAAGCGCACATATCCGTTTGCAGTTGCACAATTTTCATTGGCATGAATGGAGTACTTTTTATTTGTTGGATTAGTAGTGCACACTTCTATCTCTTACCCATCATGTCTTCCATTTCACTATTGATTTTCTTTTCCAGGCTGGTGATTTTGATCACATTTTTGGCCATTTTGTCAATATTATCCCGTACTTGTGTACCTTGGTGTCTTAAACTAATGATAAGCCTATCATCACAGGTAAATTTCTTTTTGAAGATCTGATGACATGATTGATTCACCACTTCAATGCTATTTGCTATAATTTGATGCAGTCTTGCTTAAAATCTTATATGTGCAGAGCAATGAACTTTATCAATTGGCATCAGTCGCTTTCTGCTTGCTAGTTGCTTGGGTTTGTCTTCTCTCTGATTTCCTAAATAGTATCATTTCTTGGATTCGAATTGATATATCCTATTTCCTAAATTCTTTTTTGCTCTTTTTAGCTGCGACGAGTTTTCCATATGATGTAAAAATATGATAAAAGAGAATAGTTTTTAATTCATTCCATGTTTATCACCAAAAAAACCTTATCAACTCTCCACACACTTGAGTTGAGCTTAATTAGCAAATATGTTTATATGATATGGATTACTGTATTTCAGTGTAGTGATAAGCTGGGTCTAAGCCTTGAACTGGGTTCCTTTGCTGCTGGAGTGATGATATCAACAACTGATCTTGCTCAGCATACACTTGAACAAGTAAAATTTCTATTTCATTTGTATATGAAATTTGCAAACGTGCCTAATTTCTTTCATTCTGCTGTTTCTTCTTACTTCAGTTAAATGTTTGTGATTTGTGGAGGAGCTTATTTACGGTTTAAATGTTCCACTTGTAGTTGTTGAGGGAGAAATTCTGAATAAGGCTAAAAGTTTTTTGTCAATGGAAATGTTAAAGATAGCCAGTGATAAATCTAAAACATCTCGTGTAAATAGAAAAAGATATTTTCTTTTTATGAAAAAAAAAATGAGTAAATATAACGGGCCACTGTTTGGAGCAGTGGTTAAAGTTCAAACAGCCAAGCATGAAATTCTTGGGTAGTCACACCAAAGATTAGCTCTATATCTAGTCTCCCTCTCCCAACACCCGTTGATAACAAGGATCAACACTGAGCACTGACCTTTTTGAAAATGTAAAAACAGAAAAGATAAATGCAAATCTACTCCAATGCAGTTTATTTAGGAATTTCTGTATAGCATGAAGTTCTTTAGTGAAAATTAAGTTTAAAATTCACAGCAGTTTGAAGCATTTAATGCCATTTTATCAGAGAGGTACAGTTTCAACTTTCAACTATATATGTAGTAGATTTGACCAAGTTTTTCTACCTTCTTTTTGGATACTACAAGGCGCCCATGTTTGAGGAACTCATGATTTATTTTTTGAATGCAAACCTACCTGTTGCATCTCCATGAGCAACACCAGTAGCAACCCAAACATGGCTGCTATGAATAATTGCAAGCCAACTCATGTCTTATTTCTATACTGAAACATATATATCTCTGTTATATTTGGTTCGGAATGTCTCGATGGGATTTATCGTACTTGGTAGTCTTTCTGGAACTACTGGAAGTTGGTATTAAACTTTTATGAACTATGTGAATCTTTCTGTTCTTTTCTCTCTTTGTTATTCTGTCCTTCACTATCGAAGTGCCAGTTTTTGTTGTTGATTCTGAATTCATTTTCTTAGGTTGAGCCCATTCGCAACTTCTTTGCTGCTCTTTTTCTTGCCAGCATTGGGATGCTTATACATGTTCATTTCCTTTGGAATCACATTGATATTTTGCTAGCAGCCGTTATATTGGTGATAGTTATAAAAACTGTCGTGGTTGCTTCAGTTGTCAAAGGATTTGGATACAATAACAGAACTTCGCTTCTTGTAAGAATTTACTAGCCTACTTGTATATTTATGGATGTGTGTAAATTGTAATCATGATTTTTCCAATCTACATTTCAGTATTGACACGGGCCTCGGGTTATTCTCTTATGTATAGGTTGGAATGTCTTTAGCACAAATTGGGGAATTTGCTTTTGTTCTTCTAAGTCGTGCTTCTAACCTTCATCTGGTTGAGGTAGTGCTTTGATTGTGATGCTGTTTTTGATTTACTGTGTTTAGTTTAAAATTCCTTCTTTCCAAAAAACGTTCATGATTCAAGAGTGTGGGGTCAGAGCTATTGATCCTTTTAAGAAATATTTGCAGGGAAAAAAAGTAAGAACCTTGAATGATTATTGTGATAAAGAAATTGAATAAGATTCAATCATTCATGTAACTTATTTTCTAGAAGGTTTATACGTGATTGACACGTGCATGGTTGCAAGGTTTCCTCTGTGGTGGTTAATTAAACTCTCGAGAGTTTTGTCACTGTCTCAGGGCAAATTATATCTGCTGCTGCTTGGCACAACAGCTCTCAGCCTGGTAAGCCTGCGTTTTTCAATTGTGGTGCAACTGATTTCATGGTTCAGCGTTCCTTTTTATTCTATGTTAATGCTTGTAGGTGTGTATACATTGTGATAACCAGTCCTGGGAAGAAACTGATCAACGTCTTTTGAGTGCCAAAGATAATTTTGGGAAACATTTTTTTTTTTTTTAAGAGAAATCCTGCTTGTGAGCCCAAATGAAGGAGTTGATGAAAATGTGTACGTGTTGTCTTTTTGTACGAGTTTTTATGCAAATATTAACTGGAAACTCAACTACAGTATAGTGTTGCGCAAGCTTTTTTGTCTGACTCAAGTAACACCTCTTCCTTTTTCTTGGGCTTGGGACCAGCTGTGTGAAATATGTAGAGTTGAAATTGATCGTCAGCTGGCTTGAATGGAACGTGCGGCAAATAGTGATAGCTTTACTTTCAAATGTGTTAACCAGTGGATAGGGAAATGGCTAGAAGATTAATGGCTATGTAGCTCAATAGTCTAGTGTATATATCACACAATTTGTTCTGAACCACTTTTGTACCAGTCAAATAGTCAAATATTTATGTAATTTTAATGAAGCATCATGCAGAAAATTTCTGTAAAGTATCAAATCTGTGGCAAGCAGGCATTTGCCCATGAATAATTTCTAATTAATACATAAAAACCATGAGAATCATCCTTGTTTAGTAATTTTTTTGAAGTATTCTCTGGGGTAACAAGATTGTGTAACCAAAGCCTGAGGGAATAACATAGAGAGCATAAGGTAAGCTTATATGAGTGAATTAGCTGTGCAGTATATATCAATTCAGTAGTTTATTTTGCATGATCTTTCTTCTTTTTCCTGTTCTTTTTTTTTTTTTTTAAATCATATTATTTGGTTTATGATTAAACAACCCACTGGTCCAAGAAATTTTCTTTTCTTCTTCATTCTTGAGTGGAACAATACTCTCTACTAAAATTATCATGTTTGAATCAAAATAGATCTTTTTAAATGTAAACATCAGATATCAGTTAAAGTTGAAATGTTAGCCAACTTTTTGTTGTACTCATATTACTTGAAATTTCTTTCACTTGACTCAAGATGTTGAAGCATGCTCACAAAGCAATTATGCAGGTGACAACACCACTGCTTTTCAAGCTAATTCCTGCCGTTGTACATCTTGGAGTACTGTTGCGGTGGTTCTCCCCTGATATTCCAACTGAGGTAATCTTCTGCCTTGAAACATTTTCCATATTCTATAAAAAAATTCACCAGGCCAAGGGTGTCCGAACTTTTTTGGTTTTGCCTAATCCTTGCTGGAGTAAAAATTTTGAGGTGTCTTGAATATGATTTCTCATCCCAGATTGGACTTAAAGGAGATAGTCTTCGCGCAGACAGTGCTAAGCGTATTACCTTGATGGTCCATGGCTCTCGTGATTCATGATATTAAATAAAAACATGAATCAGAAAATGCAAATTTTGGGCTTTACCTGATGGGGGTTCTTATACTCTGGGAGGACAGGTGTTTAAAAGTGCAAAGGAGGTTGATTGAGTGAACAATTCTATTCTTTTACGGAGCACATCCTGTGTTACCTGCATTACCTACGTGTTTGAGAAAGCAAGGGACCCAAAATGCCATCTGGGACTCAAATTGAGAGAATGTAGCGCAATCCGCTTGCTTACATATCCTTTACAGTTTTGTTTGAGGTCGTAGTGTTCTCACATGGCCTATCTTGTGTAAAATACTGTCCATTTTGTAATGTAAATCTTTTATCTTTTCTGCCTTTTCCTGTAAAAAAAATTTTTGGGTTTTTTTTTTTTTTTTTTTTTTTTTGGGGTTCCATTTTTTCCTTTGTGTTTTGACTAGTGAAAACAGCCATTGATTATTGAGTAACTATAAATACATCGATTCATGTTTCTGTTCATATAATTACGGGTACTGTCTTTGTAGTCTGTGTGGAAAAATTAATTCCTAAAATCATGATTTATATAACTAAATGAATGATTATCAGGTACTGTACTACTTTACAAATATATCGACTGTGGTAGTCGCTGCTGGCTGAATGTTTTCATTAATTTGAAATACAGGGTTTAGGACAATTTGTTTATTTATGTATCTCCGAAAAAAGACATGTTAGGGCTGATGGGATGTATCTATGGGGCGCAAATCATCTGCCGTTCGGTTTTCATGCGGTCTCCTGTAGTGAGCGTTAAGTGGTTTTGGTTTGGTCACGCTTTATTCTACTCAATATACACTAGGACTGTATTTGGCAATTATACAATCATTTATTAGTAACATTTCACTACCATTTATAAGTATTTTCACCCTCAAAATAAGGTATTCACACAATACAAATTAAGTAATGTCACATACAAACGTAACTCAATTCACCACCATTTATAAATAACATTTTACCATCATTTATAAGTATCTTCACTCTCAAAATAAAGTATGCACATAATGCAGATTAAGTAATGTCACGTACAAACGTAACTCAATTCAACATATCATTTATGTTATAATTTGAAATTAAAGTATTCTAAAAACACTTTAACATGTGAATTTAAACCAAAATTAAAATCATTTGGATAAACTTTAGACAACAAACAAAATACTCGTTGTTTCCAAAAATAACGAAAAGAACCACATCTTTTTTTTTTTTTTTTTTTTTTTTTTTTTCCTTCAAAATATTAAAAAAACATGCACTTAGTTTTAAATTATTTAACATATCTTTGAACATTATTTAGCAAAATTTAATATTAATTGTCACACACACCACCTTCACCATCAAAAGAAAAAATTTGGCAAAGTTTAATATTAATTGCCACACTCACCACCTTCACCATCAAAAAAATGTATTCACACAGTGCTGAAAAATTAATAGTCACACATAAATCTAACTCAATTCTACATATTATTTATATATTTTTTAAGTTAAATTTTATCATAAAAATGGAACATTCAAAAAAAATAGTCACATGTTAATTTAAAGAGGAATTTGAAGGAGATTATGAGGTATTTGACTATCAACAACCCTTTACTTTTTAAGTAGTGATGTTATCCTCTTATAAATGGTGATGTTACTTTTTAGACTTCTGTGATTTTACTTATAAATGGTGGTGAAATGTTACTTATAAATAGTGGTGTAATTGCCAAACACAATCTTAGTATCTATTGAGTAGAATAAAACGTGGCCAAACTAAGATCACTTGACGCTCATTGCAAGAGACAGCACGAAAACCGTACAACAGGGAATTTGCGCCCCGTACCTATGTGTGTGTGTGAGAGAGAATTGTGGTCTCCACTTTTCAATGGTTTCCAGTTGGGCTACAGTTGGAGGATAAATAGACAAGAATTGTGCACAAGGTATATTGATTGTAGTTTGTTTCTTGCACACACACACAAGGACAATCTTTGTTTCCCTCTTTTTGCATTGGCACAAAGCAGCCTAGAGGTGTGTCAACTTCTTGGTCACACAATTCACGTTTCCATTAGATATTTGTATGAATGATTCATAAGCATTTACCATATGCAAACGGTTGGACAAAATAAAACTAAAAAGAGAGATAAAATTTAGTGACAAAAATCCTTACTTGCTCAATCAAAAAATGTAGGAAGTTTTTTTTTAATGAGTATTTGTATATTCTGTATATAACAATTTATTTATTTATTTATTTATTTATTTTTTATTTTTTAAAACGCTTGACCTTAAATAATTCAATAAACTATTCTTTCCGTTCTAAAATAGTTGAGTGAGAACTGTAACTCACAAGATTGTAAGTTATAATTTTCAAAGTGTCTAATTATTTTGAAATAGAGGAGTATGAACTATGCAAGTGAGTGGACATACAAGTGGTGATTTAGTTCCTTGCATGTTCCTACCAATTCATCCATCCAAACATATCAATGGGTGGACCTTTGCCTTGGATTGGATAAGCCATTAAACCATCCATACAAAAAAGTTGTGGATATAGTTGATGCAGCAAAACGTCATATAAAGTATCTGTGCAACTAGACTAGCATTCTTTTTCAAATGAATGTTTTGATAATGAGACAATCATTATATTTTGGACCGGATGTAAATTGTAACGACCCTCATCCTGACCAGACATATATTATCCGCTTTTAGCTAACGACCCTCACCCTGACCAGACATATATTGTCCGCTTTTAGCTCACCCAGACCAGAGACTTTTCAGGGGGTCACCCATCCTAGTACTACTCCAAGTTAAACACGCTTAATTACAGAGTTCTGATGAGTTCACGGCCATCACGGCTTTAAAATGCGTTGTGTCATATAAGGGTATTGAATCTACATATAGCACTTGCCCCATCCACACCCAGACGATGTGGGATTGTGCACCTATAGCTCGCCCAGTGTGGTAGCCTACTGGTGCCCCCTGCGCACGCTCACACACACCCGCCCACAAGGTCGCCACATAAATGGAGAGAAATGAAATCAATAAAAATCTGATTATGTGGGATTACATTTCGTCATATCGGCCAGTACGTAACCTTTTTTTTACATATTCGATATCGTTACATACCTCTATGAACCGTCTGATTCAATCAGTTTACACCGATATTCATTCGAGTTCATTACACTGTGCCATAGTTGAGATTGTTATTGCTATAGAGTATTTATATACAGGTCTGGGTTAATCCTCCAAATGGAACATGTGAACATTAGGACATGAAAACAAATAATTGACACCACATTGATGGATATAGGTCGTAAAGAAGGCATGCTTGGTAGTTCAAAGGTCACTGTGTCAAGTGATCCTTAAATGTGACAAGTCATGTGTTCAATTTATTTACTGTATACAATTTTGTCACATTCACTAAAAGAACAAAATTAATTATGCCAGGGCCATTTTCCCTCTTAAAATAGATTAAAATTCTTTAGAATAGTAAGTATTTTTTATATATGTAAATGAACTCATGTTTAACATGGGTGTCAAAGCTCAAAATGTCATGGGTGCCACATATTTCTTCAAACAGAAATTCATCAATATTTTGAAGAAATTCAACAATAAGCTTGATAGATGAAAGGACCATCTAGTCTAAATGTTCGAGATTTTTATCATTACAAAATTTAAAGATAGTCAGATGCATGTAACTTTACATTTAGGTGCAGAATGACTATTTCCTTATTTTGAACTCGAAATAGTTCAAAAAACTGATAAAATATCCTTGAGGAGTGGTCCTCCAATGTTCAAGTAGTTGTGTAAGCAAACTGCAATGCAGTAATTGGCTGACAAAAGTGGGGCAAAACTGTCCTGAAGATGAATATTGTGTTCTTTCGAGAGCTTGTAAAGATTTCTGACTCTTTGTTCATCAGTAAATTGATGGTTAGAAAGCTTAAGTATGTGTCAGTTTCATAGTCACACAATTCATATTCTCCATAAAAGCTTTGTGTATCTTCATGGTCCTACTTCAAATTTTCAATGGTCCAATCTACAAAAAAACAAAGACAGAATAGATGGCATAATTCTATATAATCTCCATTGGGTATAGTTCTGTTGGTATGATTCAACAATTGCTTAATTATTTAAAGGAAAATACTATATCTATGAATAATAAGTCCTCATTACTTTTTTCTCATTCTGTAGTCTTGAATTTCACTTGATTAACATAAACTTCATTGTGGATTGGCGTAACAGATTGCGAACGACATCCAATTCGTGTGGTTGGGGTAGGCAGAGTGCCTACCCGACCTAGATCCTAGTGGCTGCACTTAGGAGGGCGCTTGGCATGACGCACCTAATAAAAAATTGGTTCTAACTCTAATATCAATTGTAACAAGTCGGGTATTTCACCTAAAAATTTAAGCATAACACTCGACCCATATATATTATGGTTTACAGTTGCGGTGTAATAAATTTAGGTGAATATCGGTGTAAACCGACCGGTTCATGAAGATGTGTAAATGTATCGAATTCTTGAAAAAGGATTACGAATCAGGCGATACGACGTGTATAAATTGATACGGTGAACCATAATATATAATATATACACCATCACTTTTTTCGTACAAATTACAAAATCCCTATATCAATCGGTGTATTTAGTACTAATAGTTGCAATATAAAAACAACCACAAGTCAAACACCATTTTCTTGAGTCTTTTAAGGAAAATTGTAAGTCATTCTTATATATATTGATATATATTGTTTAATGAAATTTCATCAACTAATATATAATAAGTCAATCCTTGTTTCCTTATATAAATTGATTGTTGTTTAATGATCCATGAGAAAAAAGCAAGTGATTGAATCAATTCAATGAAATGAATTATTAAATTTGTCTTCAAGACCATATAAAAAAAATATTATGTCTACTTAAACATAGAAGTTCTGTTTTTCACACCATATAGTATGCATAATTGACCGACCAACTTGTGTGAAATGAGCAATTTGGACAACGATGGAATGCAATAAGAAGCAATCAATAATTCCGACTGGGAAATTGCATGAGTCTTGGATGACAATGATTATGACACTAGTGGACAATGTGATTTGAAGTACACACACAAACACACAGTCACACACACACACACACATGAACATATGCAATGAAAGAAAATAAATGGGATTTATAGGTGCAAATTGGTAAATTTGTGCGGTTTTCTGGAGACGTTGCCACAAAGTTCTATCCACAGAAAAACATGTGAATATGAATATAGATAAGAAGAGAATCGAATTTATTTCACACCTCTTTGATGGTTACAGGTATTAAAGGAGACATGTTTGTTGGTTCATCAGTCACTATTTCTTAAAAGTGATCACAGAATGTGACAAGTGATCTGTATTTTAGCATACGGATTGAGAGAGAGAGAGAGAGAGAGAGAGAGAGAGAATGTGTGTGTGTGTGTTTTTGTGTGTGTGTGTGTGTGTGTCTGTTAAGGTAATACTTAAATTTCTTTACTAGTATAAAATCCCAAAACGTGTTTGTTACCCATTAAACCTCCCTGTCCTACCCTTTGAATAGTTGTTTTCCATGTCACGATAAATATTAAAGGAACTGAAATGCCATATAAAGAGACGAAGTGCCAGAAGGTGATGGTGTGCTTTTCCTATAGTTTATGGACAATCTTGACTTTTCAATGTCCTCATATAATACAATAATTGTCACAATTGATTGGTTCATTGTTTGTTTTTCAGTCACAGACTTCCCATTTTTCTTTAGTACTAAACTCTGTATTACTTCCAAATGTTACTTGCATACTAAGATAAACTTATACAATATTTTATGAAGGATAGTTTTGACAAACGAACAGTATTTTTTCATGCTCACGTTAAATTTTTAAAAAATTACAAAATTTTGAAAAGTGTTGACTTTAATTCTATAAATTTGAAAGTTACCCTCCCAAACTCCATATCTTTGTAATTATTCCTTAATTGACTTACATTTTGGTCTTTGCAGTAGAAATTGAGTTTGAAATGCTCAGTTCATTGGACTTCCAGAAGTTTCAAACTTGAGAAAATCAAATTTTGAAAATTTTGTTAAAAACTATTTCTTTTACTTGCATGTATGTACTGCTTTCATATGTATAAAATATCTCATTGGAAATTTGAATTCCTAATCCTAGTCAATTCAATGTGTTTACTACAGAGGTCAAGATTTTTTTGGCCTTCTAGAGCCAGCCTACTTGCTTGCATCATGCTTAATTGAATGAGTTGAGATGCTCTGCTGTACTATACGAATGTAGTACAATAATGGAAGGTTGTGATTAAAATACACGTTAATCACAACATTCACTGTTGTATTATACTCGTGTAGACTGTAGTATAATATAACAGAGGATTCGATGGAGGTAATTTAATAAAAAAAGATTGTGATTGAAACACACAAACACACACTAATGGGTGAATAATCTATTTCCTTGAATGGGTAGGTCCAAAGGGCATGGTTGAGCCATAGATGTGTTAGTTGTAGGACAGCCATTATAGTGGTCCATGGTTGGAGTCATGACAAATAAAGCCTAGTCTTGTCTGCATCCTTGGACTTATTCGGGCACATTATCAATTGCATTCATTGTATATGCTTTTCACGGAACAATCCAGTCTTTTGTTTCTTCAATAACATTGCTCCTCCTTAATTAGTAATTTGGAGTGGACAAGTAGGGAAAAAAGGAAAGGTAAAGCATATATATAAAATCTTAGCATTCTACTAAAGATGTCATGGTCCTCATTGAATTGGAGGCACATGCATTCTCATTTTGATTGGGGCATATTTAGCATCATAAGGACTATCTTGGACCAACTTAATTACGGTTTCCTTAAATCAAATTTCGAAGTTGAATGATTTTACCATTACAAAGCTACTTTCGTGTGTCCTAGAGACTTGGTGTTCCCGACAAACAATTTCTTCGCGTGCAAAAGTAAAGTAGCGTACATCTCATCTTACCTTTCACCGAATTTTGAAATGACAAAAATCTAACGAACTTGACTAACTCCTTAATAGTTTTAACATTACGATAACTTCTTGTTTTCCCCCATGCATCATCACATGTTTGCTATTGTCTAAAGAATCTGATTAGAGTTGAAAGGACCATATAGGCTATAGCTACCTGCAATCATCCAAGCAAGTTGATTTCTTAAGGGTGTAAATTAAGTAATGTGGACACAATTGGGAATGAAATTTATGATGTTAGTTCAAAATTTCATTGTTTACCAAGACCAGAATGGACCAAAGACCTAGATTTTGTGGAAAGGCTGCTATCAGATACTAAAAATAGCAATGAAAGAAAAAAATGGTGCCTTTGGGCATCAAGGAATGAGAGCATATTACAACCATCTGACCTAAATTGTGGTTGCTAAGTTTTCCTTTGCTATTCCTTGCTTTCTAGACAAACAAACAGAACACTACAAGAGGGAGGGATAAGAAGAAAGAATCATTATTCCTCATAAAAAAAAAAAATTCCACTGTAATTGCTGTTAACATGGCATGCATAAACTTTGATGGAAGTGAAAGCTTACCTAAAAATTGCTTAATTTGAACTAGTGAAACAAGCTAGACAAAAATAGTTAGATATGTGATATATATTGATGGTGGTGTTTTACCTGTGGTGGTGAAGATAGCTAGCTAGCATTGTTGCCATCACAATTACAGTAAGATGGAATTCTTGAATCTTCAATATATATATATATATATATATATATATATATATATATCCACAAGCTTTATATCTCACATAATATAAAAATTGCAGATGCATATTAGTGCAAGTAAATGAACCCCTAAGCATGCACTTCATTAAGGAACCAGTGAACCATAAAAGAAACCGGTGATCAAATTTATAAAAATACTGATTGCTACTTCGATCCATTAAGATTTATCAACATATTTGTTCATTCATTTTTTTTTTATTTTTTATAATCCACTAGACAACATACTGACTGTACTACTAATACCTGAATAATACTACTACTTTTTTTTCTAATCTGGTCATGAAGCTAGGCTTAATTTATGTGGTTCCTCTTCCAACAATGAGTCAGACGACACTAATGGGACCGATTAGGAGGCGATTGGAAGATGATTTACTTTGATCAGTTGGCCTTGGAGCAGCAAGTGTGAGCTCTAGGTCAGGAGCTGCATTTGGAGAAATGGACTTTCTTGACATTGTTGTGGTAGAAGATTTCAATTCCGGTTGTGAATCAATTGATCCATGTAGCCAAACAGGCATGCCATGACCGCGCCAAGACAGTTGAGAGTGACCACTTTCTTGATTAATATTTGATTCAACATCTTGTGATCCAGAGCAATTGAGGTCCATTAGAGGCATAGTGGTATCATGATATGAGCTTTTTGTGCTAAGAAATTGAGCATGAACTTGATCGCTTGGTGGCTTGGGATTAGAAATGTTAACACGAGGTTGATCATATGCCTTGTTGCTGCTCCTAACCTGTCATATATACATATATATATATATATAGATTGGAGGAAGAAAAACAATCAGTCCAACTAAGTGTTTGATAATAAATAAATAAAAAATCCATTAAAGTGTTTGATAACAGGAAATGTGAGAATTAATTGAAACTAGAAACTAATAAGGCTAGGGTGGACTAATTTATATACCATGTCAAAGAGGCTTGACCGTCGCTTCTTCTTGTCGAGGCTGGTCTGCCGGAGAAAGTACTTCTGAGCATGACTGGCAACTTGGGTTGGAGTCCTTGTGGTCACAAAGTTTCTTGAAATCCCCCTCCAATCGCCCTTGCCGAGCTTTTCAAGTCCGGCTAGAAATGTCCGGTGCTCTTCCTCAGTCCATGGAACTCCTAAATCAAATATATATATCCAGTCATGAAAATATTCAGAACCATGAAATTAATAATACCCAAAAGAGAAAAATAATATATTTGAAAGAAAAGGGAAAAAATTAAGGTCTAAATTAAAGATACATGAAGCAAAAAGTATAAGCTCTCTTTTTCATAATTAATTTTACATGAAAATTCTATAGCTGAAAATCAAATTCGAGAAAATGTGTTCTGCCAATTATGAACCAATTAATGCAGCACACAATTTATATTGAGTTGTACAATATATACTAACCAAAAAGGAAAACAAAGGGAAAGAAGAAGAAGAAGAAGAAAAAATAAATACCTAAGGATAATTTTTTATTTTGGCCTTGGTGAGCAAATTAAAAGGTTGCAAAAATATATAGATAAACATATACACAAATATGTAGAGATTCATGAGAATATATATCATGAAAACAATCTATATGTTAATAGAAACTGGTCTCCTCTAAATCTGGGAAATAACCCATGCATGTAAAAACTCAATTAGAGAAACAATTAATAAAAGAGAATTCACACACACACACAAATTAAGATATATATATATATATATGCATACCCTTCTTCCTCTCTAGGGCGGTTCGGCCGACGAAGAGACCATCAGAGAGATAACCATTAATAGAAGAAGCCTTGTTATGATGATGATGAAGTTCAGAATTTTCATTGATGGAAAGTGGTGGTGAGGACAGTACTGATGAAGATGCTGGAGAAGATGTAGACGAGGCTGCAGCTAATGAAGAAGATAGGCAATCCATGCTCAAACTCTTCTTGATGGCATTAATATTATATATCATATTATTATTATTATTATTAATATTATTATTATAAGAAGAAGAAGAAAATATCAACATGTCAAGTTGAACTCCAAAAAGCTTCATTCCACCAACAACACTACTACTACTAGTACCAGCTGATCTGTAATTGGTGCAGGTCCTTGAATTGTGACCTGTATTTCCACAATGTGAGCACTTTCTGCCCATTCTATTCTTACCCACAACTAAGAATTAGCTCAACTTCACATACACTAGCTTATAATCGAGATATATATATATATATACACACACACACACCACAATAACCACATCCATATAGTGAGAGAGAGAGGTTAGTTGGTTAATATATATACATACGTACATACATATATATATATATATATATGATGTGTGAAGTACGTACATGTGGGGTTTATATATATAAATAGTTGCACGTATTTATACTATATATACACGTCAAAGAGTACCTGACTGCATACAAATTACAAATAACTTATTGTCTCCATTTTGCACTGGCTTGGAGTCAACATCACTTTTAAGTTAAACCATACAATACGCATAATAAACGTATTACATTTGCACTAGATTAAAAAAAAATTTTAAAAATATCTACTATTTCCTCTCATTTTAATAACTAAACATCTATCTTATCTGACGGTTTTTCTTAAATTATTTTTAAAGCTAACTACTTATACAAGTTATTTTTTACGAGTTTTTAAGGAACAAATAACTCTATTTATAAATGCAAAACTTATAAATTGCTCTATGTTGTTATTTAATTGTTTAAAATGAAAGAAATGGGTCATATTTTGAACCCTTTTTCTTCACATAACCAATTTACTTCAATAATATAAGGAGCCGTCCATTTTGGGGTTGGAATAGGAAAAATGAGTTAAGCTATTTAAATAGTAGATCCTAGGAGGCTAGTACCTTAACTCAATTATGGATAAGTTTTTATTGAAGATCATTTTTTTAATTCTTAATTTTGTAAGGATAGTTATAATAATTTAATAAAGTTGAACGAGGAGAAGGAATCATTTGATTTTTAATTGTTTATGATTTTTTTTGAAGGTCAGGTGTTATTTTATTTTAAAATACACGTTGATATTTAAAATTACAAGACAAAAATCCGCCATTCATTGTCAAAGACTCAGTCTTGTTTACGTTCATTCACAAAAGTCATTTTTTTCTCTTTCAATTAGGTCAATCATCCACAGGGGCCAAAGAAAAGAGAGGGTAAATTTCGTTGACTCTAAAATCGGTTGGCTAAGTCGATTCAGAAATTTGTATATACAGGCGTATTAGAACCAGCAATGTAATTCGAAAGGGGTAGTCAATCTTAGTTTTTTTTTGAAAAAATTGACTATCAGGCAATTGGAGGAGAAAGAAAATATAAAACTCCTCTGTGAGTCCTATTTGCCTTAGTAAAAGGACTTTAACAATAAATGAATTGTAACAGTCGAAATACTAAAATAAGAAAAGAAATAGAAAGAAAGATATAGAAGAGGAAAGGTGGGAAAGAGAGAGACAGAAGATTAAGATAAAAAAAAGATTGAGAATAGCAAGATTGCTAAATAAAGAAAGTTGAATTAGAAAGGGAGAACTTGAATTAGAAAGGGAGAACTTGAGAAAGCAAAATTATACTACATTCGTCTCAAATTAGATGTCCTATTTGGGAAACCGTGACTCACAAATAGAACATTTTTTTTGAAACAAAAGGAATACTAATTAAACTATAATTCTGAAGGTGCCGGGCCTCTTATGCAAACCACCATCAGTGTAATTTATAGACTCTATAATTTAACTAATTCCTAAAACTAAGTAGTTGGATCACAATATAACTCTATAAGCTTTTATCACACGATAATACTATCATTATCCATCACAACTAAATTGAGATAACCAAAGCCTTATCCCCAGAATTAGCCCTTGTCATTAATAAACCTTGGTAACAATCTTACCGTCCACCAAAATATTCATCACTCATTGCTAAAATTGTTCTGCACTTTAAACCCATCACTTGCCATGTCACTGCTACATAATTTTGCCAAAATAGGTGTCAACAAATTCAACATATATATAAAATTTGCTTGAAAAGTTATATATATTTCATGCATAAATTTTTGACTAAAATATTTGTCACGATGTTCAAGATTTGAAATTCTAAGTTTTCTTAACAATTATTGTTAAATGTTTGTCTTTATATACTCCGTATTTTAGAAGTATTAGATTTAAAAGTATCAATAAATGTTAAAAATTAAATAAATAAATAAAAAGAAAAAAAAAATCAAATTTTGGATACTTGTGAAGAAATATTGGTATTGAGAACAGAATGGACAAGATATTGGTACACTTCTCTCTCATGATAGAAAAATTGGATGGAAAGGAAAGATGGGGGACGAATGAGGTATCATTAAGGGAAGGGAATGTATCTCTTCGCTTTTTGTTTAGTTGAATGGAAGAAATAGTAGAGAAGATGGAGAAGATAACACCTTCTTCTTTTTTGCTTTTCTTTTTTTCTTTTTTTTTTTAATATACCCTCATAAGTAAAAAAAATAATTAAAGTTTAAAATTGGTATTACATATCTTTCTTTTCTTCAAACCTATCTTCCACCCAATGTTCAAAAGATATAAATAAATAAATAAAGAATAATGATAGGGAGACCAGTAATTAATTCTGAATAAGTATCGAATCTGATGTGTTTTTGTCCACCTCATTTATTTAAATAATTTCCAAAAATAATTGTTTAACACATTATAAGAATGACCAACCACGTCAAATTCGATACTAATTCGGTGATTCCTTTTCGATTCCCTTATCATTACTAAAAAAAAAAAAATGAATTATTTCCTTATTTACTACTTCCTCTCTTCCTTTTTCTCAATGAAATAAGGAAGGTTTCTTCTATCCCTCTTCTTGTTCATCCTTTTTCAATCCCTCTTTTCAACCAAACATGATATTCCGTATTAAAATAAAATAAAGAGAAAAAAAAAAAGAAAAAAAAATGTTAGGGCAAGCATGGTTTGTTACTCAATTTTCAAGAATTCAAAAAATAGAAAACTATTTTTGAGATATGTATAAAAGACAGTTCCTCTATATACACTATTTTTAACTAAATTTTCAAAAATGATCAACTAAGCAGATTTATATACAGTTTTTTTTTTTTTTTTTAATTTTTAAAAATTAAAAATTATTCTCAAAAAATTGAACCAAGCCATTATAGTTTTTATGTGAACAGGTGAAAATTGTGTTCTTTCGCGGTTGCATGTGTTCTGAACTAATTTTAGTCTTTTGAACTAATTTTAGTCTAACTCCAATTCTAAGGCGTCAATGGAATTTAAATTAGTCATGGAATTTATATTGCTTTTGTTTAGTCAAAACTTGAAAATATGCACACACATAGATACTAGAACATTTACATATAAGCATATATATATATATATATATATATATATATATATATGCAGGGAGAGAGAGTGAGTAGACTTGATCCTCCAATGGTCTAAAGGATGATGGTTGTTAAAAGGTATCTTAGAAAAACGACTTTGAAAGTTGGTGTTGATCAACCAACACCAGTTTCATAGGAAATTCATGAAGGTTTCAATTTCTGAGTTAGTTCCACCAAAAACTCTGGAAGTTGTATTATTAAAAAAGGGTCAATGAAAATGGTACAGATTTTCAAGCAGAAGACAAATAATTTTCTGAAAACAAACCCTTTTGGTATTGCTAGTCCTATCAATCCAAACAGCCGAATTTTTGGAATAATTTAATGCTCTAAAAGATAAGATTAGATAATTATCACCAACTTGACCAAAATATTCAACAAAATTGGTGGTTGTCTGGGCCCTCTTGGCTTCCATTTTTCAGATTGGTGAAACCACAAGAGGGGATAGAAAATACAATTACATTCTCTTTTCCATTCTTTTTCCTCTTCTTCAACTTTTCCTTCTTTGTTCTTCATTCTTCTTCTTTAATACTACCAAACAAGAGAAGAAGAGAAAAACAAAATCTTTTAAATCCCTTCACTTTTTTCCTTCTGTACAAAACAAATGATCCTTATCTTCTTTATTCTTCTTCTTTTTCTTTCTTCTTCACTTTCTCTAGCCAACATTATAAAGGAAAAATTCCAATTTTTTTTTTCTTCTCTTTCTCTTGTTTTTGTTAGACCTTATCAATAGATCAAATTTTGATCCGAATTCGATTCAAGTCTGATCTGATAATTCGAATATAGATTAAAACATTCGGTCCGATAACTTATTAGCAATCCAAATTCAAAAATCCGCTAATTAAACAAACAGAATATGAATTATGATTGATCCAATCCGATAATTAGCCAATCTAATATAATACAATATATAATATGTTATAAATATAAAAACTAATGTTATAATTTTATAATATTTACAAATTAGTAGAATACTTTTTATCATTTTTTATTGTCTGTCCTCCTCTTAAGCATTGAAAGGAGAGAGAAAATAATGTTTTGACATCTTAATGACATGAACAAAATCTTGGACTGAATAAAAGGAGAAAAACAGGATATTCCCTTTCCCATATAATACTTGTATGTCTATGCATATATGTGGACTAAATGTAACATATTGGATATAATATCTTTACCTACTGCTAGTTTCAATCGTCTTAAAAAAATATTATTATTATACTTTGAGTTTGAGACATCTTGTTAAGGATTAGTAGTTAATGCTTTTAATAAACAATGAACTTTTTTTAATGTAAATATTTCTATTGAACTACAAAACATGATTTTCATATGCTCATTGGTTTTAGAATTTAGTCCCACTTTGGCATTATATATTTATATATATAAAGGAATCTTTCCACAGTGAATAATTGAACAAAAAAATGTTTGTTGGGGAAGGCCTTTTTAATCTTTTTTGACTTATTGTAATATACTAATATCACAAAGTGCTTGGTATTGTTTATCTATCACATGCCTTGAAAATGAAATGTATATGCTTTTGTTCTATTGTTTTCAATTGAAAACAAACAGGTGTTTGTTTTTATTTATGCCCATTGAGGGAAAATTACTAGATTATTGATCAATTGATAAAGGTAAAATTCCAAATCATTTTTAGGTAAGGTTTTATTAGTTCATGAAACCTCAATACACTGGAGGTGAAAATAGCTTTTCATCAAAAAGGACCTTTAAGTAGCTTAGAGAATGATCTGTCAAATTTATATCAAACTTGATATTATGATATTGACTGAATAAACCATTCTTTCTCATAGAAAATGACATACATACCCAAAATGCACCAACTTCCTTCTGAGGTAGAAAGCAAATTCTAAGGTTTGATTCAGCTCCAGGAAAGCAATTAGCTCTGCATTCACTAATGTGCAGCACATTCTAAATGAATGAACTCACATTGTTTTGAAGTACAAAGCCACCTGAGAAATTTTCACATGGTCCGGGGTCATATGGTCTCAGTTTTTTGGTTGCGTGTTAGGTGGTGATTGGTCGGAACCATGCAGTCCGAACAATTTAATATAATATAGTTTCTCCAGTGTACCAGGCTTAGTAGCCAAGTGTTGAGTACAATAACTGTAATTGAAATGATCCTGGAGGTCCCTCTTACATTGGATATGCTTCAAAGCTAAGAAGTTCCTCAACTGTTACAAGCAACTGTCTGGACTCTGGAAATATGCTTACTTACACTAGTTATGTTTTGATAAATATACATAACATTGCACCAAGTAATGGCATTATGATGGAATGGTAGAAGTGTAAAAATGAGGGTTTAAGACTCCGAACTCTTAGAATTAGTTACCTTCCATCACTCTCTTTGGATTCTAAAATTTATTTTTTCACTGAACAACATCCACCTCACTTAGCACATTTAAATACGTTAGTTATAATTCCACATTGGTTAGACATTTATCTGTGTCATATGAGTCGACGTGAGATCGATAAAATAATCTAAATGGATAGAGGCTGACAATGTAAGCAAAACGGTAGATTATGAAAACTTAAGCCACAAGACTACAAGATGCTATGTACTTGCTTAAACCCCTTGCTCCCTTTTTTCACCCAAAATAGCAAAATATAAACATTTGTACCTGTAACTTCTCACAACTATACAGCTGAGAAGCCAAACGCATTGGGTTTAGTCCAAAATAGACAGAAATTTAGCCGTCGCACATCATGTGGAGTGTACAAGTGTTGTCCTCACATGAAGTACTCTGTTTTTTACTTTTTCTCTACATGTAAGCTGCTTGCTAATGAACAAGAAAAGCTTCCTACTTGACCCTTCTGCTGCCAATGTCGATATTTAATCACTTCAACATCGATCTAGCTCCTGCTCTTGTTCTGCTTACATTCTTCTATCTACAGCCGATTCCCGCATCATACGGTTGACACATATTTAGTCTAGTTCATCAAAATGTCACCTTCCAACATCCGAAGGACCTGTTTTGGAAAATTGCAAGCAAAAAGTAAAAAGTGTAAAGGAACAGTCATCAGTGCTTCAAAATTTAAATGATGTTAAAATGCTCCTAGAAATCTATTTTTAGTGAATAATGCAAAAAGGGGCTAAAAATTCCTTTGTCTCCAACTGATATCAACCGGCTGAGGAATCCCTAGTTTTTTCGAGTGCCCAGCTAGTAAAAGTGAGATAATGCATGATAGTTTTGTCATTGATGCTGATTATACACAACTCAGTTCAAAAGGGGGGACTAAGCCACTACTTTTCTGGTAGAAGGGCAAAGATCTTGCTAGTTTGAATAATGTACAACAAATGTTGCAGGGCATGATTGGAGCCAGCTCATAGGATTGTTTGATGAATTTTTTCTTTTAAAGATTGAAAGAAGACCATAAATGGCTGCCTAAATGATCTAAAACAGACTATCATTATTCTCAATTATTTGGAACCCAATAATTGTTTTCCACAATACACAGGTAGTTTTGTTAAAAAAAAATATGGATATAATGCTCGACTAGCAATATTTTGCAAACGAAAGTGTTTGAAGAGAGAAGCTACATTTCTTTTTAGGAATTTGATCCATATATAAATCATTCAAGAGAAAAATATATCTTAACATGCAAGTTATAAAAAGAATTATCAGCAATGTGTTCATAAAAACTGTAAAGCTGACACTAAAAGTATGATATATGGGTCCCACAATCACCATACAGCATGCAAAATGTAAATTTGTATCTATCGACACTCAGAAATCATTCTTCCTTCCAATCTCAACCTTTAGGTCCACACAATTGCTATGATATGGTGTTCTTTAATCAAAATTCTTCACACCAACACAGTTTCGGATGATATGATGCTACTAAGAATCTAAGATTAAGTGGGTGAACATACATTTAAATACCAATATGCTGACAAGAAGTGAGATGAAGGGCGAAGTATGTCCACTCAGCTCCATCAATGCCTTCTCAATGATTTAGTGATGATTAGCAAAAGTATTTTTTGTCAAGGTAAGAAGATGAAATATGAGTCTACTGGTCTATCTTTGTTCTAGTGGCTTTGGGTCTTAACTCGCAAGTCCTAGGTCAAGGTTTCAAGATTGATAGAGAGAAGATAGAAAAAAGGATTAAAAAAAAAAAGAGTCTATATCCCCAACCCGATAAATAAGAGGCCTAGAACGAGGATTTCACCAAATTCACAAGGAAGAACAGTGAGTTGGGTTCGGTTGAAAATGCAAAGAAGTAATAGACTAGTGAAACAGTAAAAGGCACAATGCTTTAAAATTTAGATTGATGTTAAAGGGTCCACTAGGAATCTACTTTCTTATGCATAATACAAAATGGGTCTAAGAATTCTCTCTCCATCTGATATAATCTTGCTTTTAATGCTGATTTTACATGTTTTACAGAAGGGGGAAAAGCCACTACTTTTCTGGCAGAAGGTCTGTAATCTTGCTAGTTTAAACAATCTATTCCGAAAGTCTTAGGGTGTGATTGGAGCCAACTTTGGGGAATGTATGATCGATTATTTCTGCTGAAGATTGAAAGAAGACAACATAACCCGTAATACACACGCATAACAGTTAAATTATGTGGGACCAGTTAATTTCTTCCACAATACACATGTAATTGTGTTAAAAATGTAATCCAATAGCAAAATTTTGCTAGTGAAGTGTTTGCAGAGAATATCTGAATAACCTTAGCAGCATAACTTTTTCGGGATTTTCTCCAAAGTAGATCATTCAATGTAAAAAAAGAGTTTGCACATATAAGTTTTAGAATTATCAGAATGCTGTCCATGGAAATTGTAAAGTTAATAATTAAAGAGTACATTAAATGGGTCTCATGATCACCAAACAGTAAACATATGTTGTTATGACAAACACAACGAACCCAAGTTGAATCAAGAATCACGACAGAAAAGTAAACACACTACACAAAGAACAAAAAGATTTATACGTGGTTCGGCAACAGCCTACGTCCACGGTTGAGATCCGGCGAAAGTTTTCACTATGTGTCAAATCGGAAATTACAAGTTTTCAGCCCTCGCTCTGTTTCTGTACGAATTTCAAAGTCTTACACCACTCCAAACCCTAAATGCCCTTATATATTGGGCTACAAGAGACTAATTACCACGACCCATGAGCAAAAAAGGGGTCAAATTTTGGTCGGCTTGGGCCCACACAAAGCTCTTCCAACGTGTCGTCGGGTTATAAGCGGGTCGCAATGCGACCCGGCAACAAATTCGGGCCACAATATCACATATGTAATCTAGAGAACGAAGAAATCAATGTTCCTTCCAGACGCACACTTAAGGTCCATGAGGTTGCTTTCATATGGCATTCTTTAAATGTGAAGTCTGTGTACATAATTGTGTGTGTGTGGTGTGTGATTTAAATGAAAAAGAAAAAGAGAAAAGAAATATAAAATAAAGTGGGACCCACATCACTTTTTAAGTGATTTGTGAGACCAAAATTGGTCTCTGCTGCTCTCTCTCTCTCCCGACTGCTCTCGGCTTCTCCTTTTTTCTTTTTTCTTTTCTTTTCACTTCAACTTCCATTGTTGATTGCTCCTTCATCTTTTGTCGGATTGAGGTGCCGTTTGAGGCAAAACGAAGCTTGTAGCGAGCTCTACGCATCCATACTATCAATTTCCAGATTTGAGTCTTCCTTGGAGCTCGAATTTGGATTCTAGGGATTTCGGCTTGGATTGTGAGGTAGGGACATCTTAAGCCATGGAATCTTGCTCTATAATGAATCATGCTCCTCTGTGTGTTATAGCATGTTTAATTGTTGTTGATTTTGATTAAAATGATTTAATTGACAACATGCTAGTTATGTAAATGTGTATAACATGGTTGAATGAAAAGTATGTCTATATGATGGTTGTTTACATTTTTTTTTTTTTGAGGTTACTAACATGCTATAATGATGCCATGAGAACATGCTTATTTATTATTGTGCTAAGTTCCCATTTGTCATTATATTGAGATCATGACATGAGCCTACATCTCATTGGGTTGCATGAAAAGGGGAAGTGGTTGTCTTGAAATGAAAATGGGGATTTGGGAATGAATGTTTTGGAAAAAAAATTGGTTTTGACAAACCCGGTCGCTGCGGGGTTACCAACGGGCCGGAGGTTAATGTAGCCTAGGGAGGACTAGGGAGAGTACCCTAGCGTGGTTGAGCTATTCGGGCCCCTCGACGGCGCCACGGGGTCACCAAGGGCCTAGGGACGGTAGCCAATCCTCCTCTCGTCGCGGCGGGGTTACCAAAGGGGGTTACATTAACTTTGAACGTGATGGTTTTGAGAATGAAAACGGGGAGTGACTTTAGCATGCATTGCATCTCACTCCATTTGCATTTGTGTGTGATTGAATTTGACTTGTACTTGTAATTATTTTTCCCCTTCAATGCATGTCCCCAATCTCCCATTGGCCTATGCTTTATTTGGATTCACTAGGACACAAGAATTGTGTCTTAAGTGTCACCTGCTGAGCTATATGCTCACCCCTATATCTATATATATTTTTTTCAGGTCTTGGAAAGGAACTGGTGGATGACAACCCACCTCAAGCTTGAACGGCGTTAGAAGTCCACTTTTGTATCTTTGTATATTCCCCATTATTTTGTAAAACACTAGAAGTGCAAAGATGTATAATTATTTTGTGGAACTTTGTCATGTAATATAACTAAAGTATTGATGATGTTTTGGATGGGGATTTGATAGTATGCAACTTGTTGATGAATGGAGGGATAATCCTAGTTTGAAGCATTGTCTAGATTAGTTGGTTGTATCATTATCTTTTGTTGCCGTGAATTCGGAATTTGAGCCATGACAGGTTAAAAATGCAATTAAACAGGTTGTGATAGGCCTATTTTTAGGGGAGGTCATACCGAATTTTTTTTTGTTTAAAAAGTATTAGTTTTGAGTCGTTACATTAAATGGATGAAGAATGATGCAAAAGTATTTCTTTTTTAATCAAAATTCTTCACATCAACACATTTTTAGAGCATATGATGCCAATAAGCTATGAGGTGCATTGTGGGTAAAATTTACATTCAAATCCCAACATGCTGACAAAAAGTGAGATATAGGGCAAAGCACATCGACTCATCCCCATCAATCTCTTCTCAATATCTAGCGACGATAAGCAGAAGCAATTTTTGTCCATAAAGCAAAAAATGAGATGGAAATAGTTCGAATTCGCTAACCTGTGACATGCGAGGCCTCAAATGAGGATCTCGACGGATGCACAAGGAAGCACAGTGCAGCATGCAATAAACCTCTCGCTTTGAATAACAGTTCCCCAAGCATGGATCAATCAGTTCATCAATGACTTGTTTTTCTAGCAAAGGGCGTGCCTGATCCAATTTCAAACATGAGCACAACAAGGTCAAATTTTAATATTTAACTTCGCTTTGAATGGAAAACCAAAGAAAGACAAAAGAACACACACATGTACTATTTACCATGAAAAGGAAAAGATGAAGACAATTCATTGCTCCTTAAAGAATTAGACAATTTCCTATTTTACATATTCAGAGGACCCATTTAATTTCCATCCCTATTATAATAATGGCTAATATAGGTGGAGTTGTTTAACTCATACCCATTCAGTGAGGCACTGCTGTCCCTTGGGCCGGTTTATGTCGATAGCTTTCCGTCCAGTGATGAGCTCCACCAATACTACCCCAAAGGAATACACATCAGCTTTTTCAGTTATTTGGCCACTTTGAGCATATTCTGGAGCCAAGTACCTGCATAAAGTCAGGGTGGCTCATTTAATATATACTACTTGCAGATAGAATAAACACGAAGCAAAAGTTTATACTTAGATTTACCCAAATGTTCCAATTATTCTTGTTTCTACACCCAGGTCACCATCTGGCTGCCACCTTGCTAGACCAAAATCTCCAACCTATTAAGAAAGTAAAAATTAGAGTAAGAAGGTGATGAAATAAAGAACTGCTCTCATATATCACTTGCTTTTCAATAGAAATAAGCAAGGGAAGGCGTGGGTTTAATAGACTTCATAAGGAAAAAGTGTCTTGGCAGACCAATATGTGGGTCCATGAATAATAATATAATTCCAAACTCCTTGTTTTACATGATGACATCTCCAATGATCTTTTCTTCCATTGGCCCTATCTCTAGTGCTCTTTGGCATAGACTTTTTGACTGACATGCATTTCTTGTGGTGCCCCTCCAAATATTAGTTCTTCTTTGAAACTACTTTCAAGGGCTTCAATAAAGTAGGGACCTTGTGGCATTGCGCAGCTATGGAAATTGTCTGAGCTACTTGGATTGAAAGGAATTTAAAATTTTCCATTGAGGAAATCTGGGGCAAATTTCAGTTCTTGGCTTCCCATTGTGCTTCGATTACTAAAAACTTCGAAGGCGTATCTCATCCTTGATTTTGAGCTATTGGAGAGAAAGGAGCGACCCATGTCAGTAATTTAAGTCTGCAGTCCATGACTGGACTCCTAATCCTATACCGGCAAAGGCTTTAGTAATTTATGGCTGTTAGAAATTAGGAGTATCACCAGTAATGGTGTTGGGCTACCATTTCTATGTTCTTTAGACCAGCAGGCAGAGGATATATTATTAACACTGAGATCCAAGCCCTTTCAGAAGGTTTTACAGAAGCTTCTATGTTGACGTTGCAGCATTGTTTGATTGAGGGTGATTTTAAAATGATGGGATGGGCTTGATCTCTTTCTATTGACCCCTGAAACTATAGTCACCTTTGGAGAGAGATTTGGATTTGCCTTCTTTTAAAGGCAGATATTACATGGATCCCTAGGTAGGCCAATGAGAGTACAGATTACTTGATAAAGCAAGGGACTTTTCTTTATTTATATGAGGACCATTCTTACCATCCTAGTTAAATTGCTCTCTGGGTGTTGAATTTGATTACTCTTTGCATTTTGCTTTTCACGTGTTTGGTTTCAACCAAATTACTTAGTGCTAGGCTTTCAAAGAAAGAGTTTCCCTACATTTTACAAGAGAATCGACTGATAGAAAATTGATTTAGCCCAACAATTTATAATGTAAAATTATAACAATAATAAATAAATAAATAAATAAAGTCATAGAAATTTAGTAAAGAGAAGTAAGAGAGAATGACGTACTAATGGTTCAAAATCATGAGTTAAGAGAATATTGTTTGGCCTCATATCACGATGGACAATACAACCGACCCTACATTCTTCATGGAGGTATCTCAACCCTCGAGCAGCTCCAACTGCAATCTTTTGTCGTGCAGACCATTCCAGTGGATCCTGACTATGTCCTGCAAACCCAAAATTGCAATTAATTGCCTGCAGAAGTGATTGCATCAATAACTTATGAGAATAGCTTTGATGTACACATTCCGGATTATGTTCCCTAACAGGATCACATAAACCATTCCCATCAATTTTTGACAGAAAAAGTTTTACTTATAAGTTCCCCAGTGCTAAGCAAAGATTATGGTTCTCAGAATGGAATGGATTGCCTATGCAGTAAGTGGACAAGACTTGAAAGAAGAAGGTGATGATTTTAATCCTGAAATTTAAATAAATATGAATTAATAAAATAATACCATAAAAGAATATAAAGGCAGTGACCTTTCATTACATTCTGCCAGTCTGGTCATTTTAGGTCAGCTTAAACATGGGATTCTAAGAAGGTTAAAATTTATAAACATATGATATGTCAGGTATTTATAAATTTACAATTTAACCTTATTAAATAACAAGATTAGGGAACCATGGCTTGTGCAGTAATAAGAACTCAGACTACAAGTGTCAGAACACTGGTTCAACTCCCTGGCAGTCATTTTGAGAATGTCAAAGCTTTGAGCCTCTCAACACACTTGATTAATGGGGATCACCACTGTAAACTGAACTATTATAATACACTTGATTAATGGGGATCACCACTGTAAACTGAACTATTATAATATGTCAAGGTTTAAGATGAAAATACTAAGAAACTGCAACAGAAAACAAATACTATTTTAAAGAGCCAGGCCATATAGGATAGAGGTGCTTATCGAACTACAAAATATTATCAATTATTGCAGCACTATAAATTATAAAACAAATAGATTCAGAAAGGAAATTACCATACAGGTGAGAATCCAAAGACCCATTGCAAATATATTCATAAACTAGTAACCTTCTACTGTCCTCCACACAGAATCCGATCAACATTACAACATTTCGATGCTGTGCACAGCTTAGGACTTCCACTTCTGAGCAAAATTCAAGGTCACCCTGAGAACTAGCCAGTTTATATTGTTTGACAGCAATGACCCGGCCATCTGGTAAGACCCCTCGGTATACAGAACCGAATCCACCTTCAGCCAAGAAATTAGCTTGAGAGAATCCACCTGTAGCATGTTCAAGCTCGGCATAGGTGAACCACCTAGGAGGTTTTCCAAAGACAGGTGCTTTATGCTGACATATTGAACACAATGGGGGTGGGTCAGGAGGCGCATTTCTTGATAATGATATCACTTCTCTCACATTCTTACCCAAGTCCAAATCAAGCCTGTAATTCAGCATTCCAATCTCTGAGTTTCGACCAAGTTCAGAGAATTTCCCCAGTAATAATTCGGACATGGGAGTCAGAGATTTACCACTTGGTCTTTGTGACCTATCCATCAAATTCTGCGAAAATTCACTGCCAGAGCTGAGAACTTCTACCATCCATGACTGGGAACATAAACTTGTTGAAGGGGAACTCGGCTTTTCACTATCAGTGTCAGAATCAAATTCATCAAGGTTGAGGTTTCCTTCAGTAGTTAACAAACCTTCTTTCTTTGGATCCCAGTTAATTTCAGAGATGAAAAATGGAGAAGCCCCTAGATCTACGCTTGATATTGACAATGTTCCAACATCAGTTGTAGTGAATGACATCTCTTGCTCTGGGCTACTTGCTGGAGTTACATTTGGCACCCGACTAGCATTCCAAAAATCATTGTCATTTTTCAGATTTTCGTGAAATGATCCTGACCCAGTTGGCAAAGGACAAGGCACTTCAATTTCCATATTAGGTGATCCAACCAAATTCAAACGAAGCACCTTTGGCCGAGAGCGTTTCATCACCACAACATTGCATTCCAGCTGTTCCATGCAGGATTTTGCCTCTTTTTTGAGGTGTCTGTCCAGAAATGCAAATAACAATCACTTCAAACATAAATTAAAGCAGAATGAAACTGAATTGTAGGCAAAAATTGAGCATGCAGAAAACTTTGACTATAAGAAACACATTTAGTGGAATCAAAAGCCATTTGCATCATATACTTTCATATATAAAAATGCTCTCTAGAACTAGAAAGGAATTCATACTATATATATTACTTATCCAATACAACCCAGTTTGTTTGAGCTCTTTTAGATTCAGCAGCCACCACTCCACATGGCGAGCCAGAAACAACTTTTAACTTGACCTTTATCTGTGAATAGGATGGAATTTGTATGACACTCAGTACTTGACATAGAGCATCTAAGAGTTAAATTTTGAAAACAAATAAAGCCCTTACCTTATCTGGATCATAAACATCATGGAGTTCACGCATCATTTGGGAGCATGAATCTGTAATCTCATCCTTCTGATCTAAAATTGTTCCTGAGAAAGATTTCCAGTGACCAGCACTGCAATCACTAGTAAATCCTGGAAAACCCCATAGTTTTTTACCTGAAATTTTTTAAGTTTGAATCACTCTGAAGTTGTAAAACATAAAAAATAACAAATAAATAAGAAAGAATCATCATGGGGCTAAGAAACAAGCACATTAACTTCTTGATTGATTCATTCATTAATTTGTGATGATAAACTCAACAAAGTAGGAGTCATATATGTATATTTAGTAAACTTTAGTAAACATGCTTGTGGACAAACACACACACATCAAACTCAACCTAACAATGTGTTCTTTGATGTTTACAATGACCTGTATGGGAAAATTTTATGTCAACAAACTCAACACCAACAAGGAGTGGCATATTTAAATTCCATAAAAATAATCACATAGTCAAACTCAAACTACTCATAACAGAGTGATCTCTTCCAGCAAATATGTTTTAATAAACCCAATTAAATAAGTATTACACATATATTTTACACACACACACACACAGGGAGTATTGATGCCATTGTGGTTGGTGCCGTATGACTATCACAAAAACTAACTACTGGGGACAGCAACCATTTAAAGAACAAAATTGGACATAAGACCTAGCCACTCTGTCATATTTGACAGGGCATTGTAACTACAAACCCTTGAGCAATTTCTTTAGTAAAATACCTTATACTCAAATAAATTCAAGCAGCACAGCAAACAGATAAATGTATTAATGCGAGCAATGAACATCCAAACTGTCATTGTCACATCAAAATTAAAAGATAAATTGAGCAAAACCTATACACTTGTGTATGCATATAGAGATATACATATATATATATACATATATACTTGTAAAGCTAAGGAAAATTACTCGAGGTGTGAGCAGGGATGACAACAAGAAGCTTAACACAAGCTCCAGATTGAACAATATGAGTTAAAGCCCAAACCAAAGCGGTTCTTGGGATCTCCTTAGATGCTTTAACAGCAACAATAACATCTTCAACCCCATCCGACCCCTTCTCTTGACCACTCTTCTGTCGCTGATTCATCCCACCTCCAACGAACTCAAACCCTCATCCAATCGCACAACAACTCTTCAAAATGCTCATCACGTGAATTTACTAGTTTCAGACAAATCAAATGTACTATATTCCTCTATATATCTCTCTTTCTCTCTCAATCTTCAAGAAAATTGAGTACTAATTTAAAGTAGTCATGTGAAATGCGTGACCCAAGAGATAGAGATTGGGATGAGCAAAAGGGTAGGACTCAAAACGAAGAGATATCAAAATGGCCTGCACGAGCGTACGTATTATTGTTTCATGGAGCGTGGGGGTTTCACTGTTAAAAGACGGAGATGTACATACAAAAGAGAAGAGCCAAAAGAGGGGAGAGAGAGACTGCTTGGGTGTAATGAATTAATGAGTGCGTGTTTGTGTGTGTGTGTGTGTGTGTGTGTGTGAGAGAGAGAGAGAGAGAGAGAGAGGAGAGAGAAAGGTATCAAGAGAAAACAGAGAGGAAGAAAGCCAAAGCAATAAGCTTGAGGGGGACATACGGTTTTGAGTACCGACAGTTGCTGGATCCCACAAAGCGCTTTTTACGAAAAAGTACATACACGAATTCAATTTCCAAAATATCTATTTTTGGATTTTACTTGGACAAAACAATTTGTTTTGAAATTTAACATAGTCATTTTTTTCAATTACGGGGGTATTCTTGTCATTGGAGTGACAACTACGGAGTATTTTTTAGCTTCTAAACTTTGGGGTATATTAATATATATATATATATAAAATAAACTCACACAAATGCTGGCCACTTGATTGACTAACTCTTGCAAAGTTAATTAACAACTTTGTTTTAATCCCACTAACTAACAAAGGTGAATCTATCTTCCTCATATCCAATATGATTTAATTAAAGTATCTAATGAGTAATGTATACCGTATTAAATTGTGGTGAATTCTTCTACAGTTTTGAATGAGACAAAAAATAAAAAAATAAAATTAGGCCAACTTCAATTTAAAATTATTCAGACTTCAAATTTATTTATCTGTAGATGAACGTGTTTAAATTAAGAAATATGAGCTCAAATTCAATTTAGCTCAACTAGACTTGTGAAATACACATTATATTATTTCTAATTCTTTTATTTTATTTATTCTTTTATATTCATTATTATGTTTATTACCTTATTCTAGGAAATTTTTAAAGTTAATTCATTCAATGTATAATCTTTTACTTGTGTAACAAAGGGAATGCAAATAAATTGGTCAAAGTTTATTTCAAATTAGACTCATTCTTTTTTGGCGTAAGTAATTTGATTCATTCATTTGTAAGTAATTTGATTCATTCTTTTGTAACTCAAAATCCCATAAAAGGTACGAGTTCTATTCGGGAATTTTTTTTATACTATTCTTTAATTTTATTTAAATTTATAATTAAAAATAATATGTTTATTTATTATCAATTTACATAAGTAATGAGATAGTAAGGACCTAAGTATTATTTTTCGAGTATAATTTACAAAAATTTATTAAAATAACTACAGTTGTTTAAGAACTTTTACTAGTCAAGTGGGCCACTCTCCTACATTATTTAATAAAAAATTAATAATTAAGACTTAAACTCCAAATAAATAGGAATCAAATCCCAAAATGTTCAGGAAAACATTTGTGTTACGCATGACCCCGCCACATTTTATCCAGTCTTTTTCACTGCCATGACCAACCAACCAAGGACTGCAAAAAAAAAAAAAAAAACAAAAAAAAGGACTCATTTTATTTCTGAATTGTTGGTGTGGTCAATTTCACTCTTTATATATATATATAATCTATTATATAATCTGTTTATCATATTCATAATGGGGAAACGTGGACCTATTGCCCTCAACCCCCACCTTTTATTTTCCTTGAAATATGGCTCCATTTTGTGCGGTTTTTTTTTTTTTTTTTTTTTTAATGGTGGACGCAATTCTTTCCCTCGTAGCAATGTCAATCCCATTCTCTCTTCTCTCACTCTCCACTTTGTTTTTTCTGTTTTCAAATTATATGATTTTGGTTTTTAAGTATTGCATCTAAATCAATCAAAGTTTAATATTATTTTCATCAAACTAGGCAATTCTTTTTTCAGATCACTTTACATTTTAATTTTTCGATTTTTAGAAGTATGATTTTGAACGCATTGCGTCTCAAAATTCATAGGTATATGATTTTGAACGCATTGCGTCTCAAAATTCATAAGTATGGTGGCTCTCTTTGTTTTTCAATCACTCAAAATATAATATTATTTTTTAAAAAAATAAAAAAATCAAATTGTTCGATAATCAATTTTCACCAATTTTCATTTTATTTCTGTGCAATAATGTCAATGTTCGATCTCTTGTTGGTGCGGTCAATTTCAGTCTTAAGTTGTCACAAGTCACAAGGAAGAATTTACTTCATGTACACAACATAAATTTAATTTGAATTTTTATTATTTATTTAATGCTGTTTGATCTTATATTTAATGTTAATGATTAATTGATTGTTGCATTTAATAACTGCAACATGCACTTAATAATGGCAGTCTGTCTGGTCAAGGCCACCACCATGAGTCAATGTCATACATATATTTTCATAATAATTGTTGTGTTCATTCAATTGTCTAGTTCTGAGAATAGAATATTGCCCATCTTCAATAAACTACTTTTCTTTTCGTCCTCTGCAACATTTCAAGTGCCATTTGGGCATGGTACACCCACCATTAGTGAGAAGCTTCAAAACTTAATTTCAACCATAATATTAAAAGCAACTCTAAATAAGGGTGTCCTCGTTTGATAAACAGCCGATCATGTATTGGTTACGCTGGTATCCACAATCAATACATGATCAATATTTTACGATATTTGTGAATATGTGTTAGATACTTCTTATATATTTTTTTTAGATATATTCGATATTTCTCATACGTTTTATGATACATTTTAACAAATTTGAATATTAAAATGCAACTTTTTTAATAATAATAACATAATATAATTGTTAAGAAAAAATTTAAATTTTATTATGTGATAATTAGTGATGCTTGTTTTATGTATTGTGAAATGAGTTTTTATGTTATATTACTGACTGTATTTAGATTCATAATATTTTTTGCATTCATACCGTTTGCAATAAAGATAGGTAAATGCAACTTAGAAAAAGTGTAATCCAATTGACTCTAACTTTGCAAACTTAAACAACACTACCTCAACCATGATAAGAGTATGTAATTGACATTTGACCTCTGAATTGACCCATTTAAATCATTAAAGTATAATAGTAATATTTATAAGTCCTTTTATTTGACCAAAATGACCCTAAGCGAAAAAAAAAAACTCAACCACTGTAGCTGCCAATGCCATATGCATACAAACAGGGGCGAAGCCAATAATTTTTAATGGGGGAATACAAAACTCTTACTTTCCACATCAAAAAGTAAGAAATATGTTTTTTAAATATTTTTTTTTTATTATTTCGTAGTAATATATTAAATATCACCTTCAAGTAATCACAACAAATTAATCTTTTTATTTCTTAGTGTTTACTGAAACATTACTTATACAACATGTCACATTTTTCTTTCACAAAATAAAAAAAAACATGTCACAATAAAATCATATTTATTTTTTTCTTCTTGTGGGCCATGTTGATCAATAAATAGGAGGTTATAAAGGTAATTTAATAATTCACGTGGGTCAATTCAAAAGTCAAAGGTTAAGTATGTACTTTTATTATGATTGAGGTGTCTTTGTTCATTTATGTCCCAAAAATTCTTAAGTTGTAGATGACTGTTTTTAATCCAAACACAGGGTGTCAATAAAATTTGCCTAATTATTTTTTATTGTCGTATTTCTTTTTCTTTTTTTTTGTTTTTTTTTTAAAAAATTATCATATTATCGTATCAGATTCATTTTTTGTACCGATATTTTGAATCATATCAGATTCATATTTCATATATGTGTCCATATTTTGCATCGTATTTGTGCTTTTTAGGGCCATAAATATTCATTATTGAAGTTAGTGCATGTAAAAGCCCAATAGATGGGGCCGAGATTACAAGTGGGCCTTCCTCAACTTTGTAGCTATGTGTGCAACATTGGTATAATCTGATAGGTGGGAATCTAAATCATGGAATTACTTTGGAGTCTAGTCTTTGTGTCACTCATTTCATGGCAAACTTTTGTGTTTGTCCTAATTCAGAGCATTTATATCTATGTTCAGTTTAGTCAATTTACTCCATAATCATTTGATATAAAATAAAATAAAAAATTCATTTGGGAATTAAATTTTGGGATAAAGATATGATAAGAACATACAAGCTTTTTTTGCATGCAATGGCCAAGTTGAAGTACATAAAATTGATGGGTAATGAATAAAGCTTTAGAGGTCACTTTAACATCACATTGACAAAATATATAAGCTTTTGCCGCCCTGCCCTTTTTCTTTAATGATCAGATAGATTCCTTGCCATCTTCTATTACACATTTAGGTCTAGTATTATTTTAGTGCAATTAAATTAAGAATGCAATATTAAATCGAGAATGTATTATATTCTCGATTTAAAAGTTTTGTGTTATTAAAATAAATATGTTGTGTGAGTATTTATCTACATTATGGTTTCATAAGTATTTACGTTGTTGTTATAAGAGTTTCAGGTCTTCGTTGTAATGTGTTGTATCCTTTATTTAAATTATACTTAAAGTTGTTATTATGTGTAGTACTATCTCATTCTTTACAATTCTGAGAGTAAATTGCTAACTAAAAAGTAAAAACAATTGTTTTTAGCAAATGAAAAGTAATAGTAGAAAGTAAAAATACAGGAAGTGAATAAAAGGAAAAAATAATTTTTATATAAAAAGGGTATTATTATAAATTATAAAACTTTCTTTTAAAAAAAAAGAGAGAGAAAATTCCTGTGTTCTTTTTAAAGAAAATTTTATCAAAAAGTTAGCTTGTTAAGAAAAGTAATTTTTTTAAAAAAATAAAAAATAAAAAATAGATTCTTACATTTAAAACTGTGACTCAACCTACAGGTTTAAAGCAAACACCTTCGTAACTGAACAATTGAGTTGTTACCTGTTGTCATTTTAAAAAGGTCCAGCCTTTGCACCCACTAACTTTCCTCCCCATCTTCAAAGAAGAGGGGAGGGATTCGAACCCCTATGTAGGTAAAAAAGTGTGTGGGTTTGCTTTACAATCCAAAAAAAAAAAACTTTCCTACTTGAAAAAAAAAAAAAAAAAAAAAAAAAACAACCAAAACAAAACAGTGATGAGTTGGAGTCCACGCACTCACCACCCCAACATCAATAATTTTACTTTAGTAGGGCCATACTCGGAGTCAAGCTACCGAAACCAGGGTAAATTAGTCTTTTCAAAAAAGTTAACGAGGGCCAGATATAAACGGCGCAAGTAACGGTCGTTTTCTATCAGGGGAGTCGCAGCAATGGCGACTGTCGTCGTCTCCACCAGATTGAAGAGGGAAAAGTATAAGCGCACCAAACACGACTCTGCTTTCTCCGATTGGAAGGTATGCCTTCTTTTCTATCTTTTAAGTTGAATATGGTTGCTGTTTTTTCTTGCCCTATTGTCTGAGAATGATCTGAACCTTTGAATCGGTTGATTTGGAAATTGTTGGAATGATTGATTAAGTGTACTTTTTGTAATTTATGGAAATTGAACTGAAATTTTTCTCTGAGTAAAAGGGAAGGTGTTGGGTAACCTAACTGAGTAAGACAAGTTCTTGAGTTGGATTCAATAAAAATTTTGCAAACTGGTCTTATCCAGGAAGATTATTTCTTTGTTGCATACTACTTTAGGAGCAATGCACCACTTGAAAATGCAATTTGGGGGTTTATACCTTTTTAACTTAGCATCTTACATATGCAATTTTACATAGGTGATGTGTGTATATACACACACATACACAGACACATTTATGTGGTATTGGAATATAGCCAATAGATGAATCCGAGGGCCATAAATTAAGTCGCGGATAAAGCTTCTTGTAGGGCAGGGAGCAAGAGATCAACTCTGTATATATATGAGAACGTAGTTTTGTAATTAGATTTGACGCTGTAATTAGTCTGTAGATGTTAGGACTACCTTTAGAAAGAAGTTGTGGCCCTTGGCAGTTGACTTCATCACTTTATTGCCTGTGCACCTTCTCTCTTAACTTACTGGTTTATAATGAGTGTGCAAAGCATTTACACAGACTAACATCTGCAATTGGGAAGTACTTTTGGATCATAAATTGATACATTCCATATGGTACAATGTGATTCATTGGGGCACTTTTTTTGCGTTGCTTTGTTCAGATTCTCATTGGGCCTTCTGATTGGGAAGACCATAAACTGGGGAAGGAAGGAGCGGCGAGATACAGGGTTCACAACCTCCCAAATTGTGCTTCTTGTCCAGGAATCTATGAGCTCGGGATAGCTGTATCACACAGTCGCTCAGGGCGTACGATTAGCAAGCTTGACCAAAACCGTATAATTACCGTTTACGTTGGACAAGCTGAGAATGTTAGGACTAGACTCCAGTGTTATGGCCAAGCAGGTGCTCATTTGGAGAATGGCAGCTCAACTGGTGAGCTGAGAGATTCTGTCCGGAAAGGGCCTGGGTTGTTCACTGAAATATTCTCAAGAGGCTTCCCCATTGTGTATAGATGGGCCCCCGTGAGTATTTTATTTTCCATTTTTGTATTGCTTTAATTTGTTGGACTGCTCCGGTTTTATTTATCACTTTTAGTAGGTGATTTAAATTTTATCTAAGAATAGAGTTAATTCATGTAAACTATGAGTTCACAAAGCTAGATAAAATATTAGAAATAGGACAGATGAATCTTCTAGGATCCAAGGACACTGATGATGTCATGTTCAGATTAAGGCTTTTTATCTTCTATCTTTTTATTTTTTTCTTTTTTAATGCCGCAGTGATGATTTCATGTCCACATTAACACTGTTCTGTTTTTTATTCTATTCTCTTTCTTAATTCTTTGTGATTGCTCTCTGCATTTAGACTTCTAATGGCTTGCTGTCCAATTGCATATGACTTAATTAGTTGTTGCTGAATGTTGATTCTTTTGCTAAATTAGAAATTTTCTTTTCAAGATTAAGAGACAAACAACATTATATATGAGAAAACTGATTTGGGGACATACAATTGTGACAGCCTTTTCTTCATACATGCTATAGTTACCACCACCAAATGCTTTGGTATTTTCTCACCTTTCAAAGTGAAAAGTTGAAGCTTCAAGTCACCATAGGGACAAAAACCCCCCTTCCCCACCCCCAAAAATCCTTTAAAGGGAAAGTAAACCAACTCCTTTGATGTTGAAAATTTTAAGGGTTCAATTGTTTATTTTATTTTTTTCTTTTTAGTTTTATTTTAAACAAAATTTTCATTACAGTGGCAAATGAGCAGTCACAGTAATGCTATTGGAAACAGATATTATTCATGAATTCGGCATATCATATATATGTAGTTCCTACTGTCTTCTAAAAATTCAGGTGTAATGAGTTGGCTGAAGAGATCATTGTATTCATTTGGGTATTACTACATATGATGTAAAACTTACTGCTGATGCTTGCCTGTCCTGGGGTTATGCGCTTCCCAGTATTTATGCATGCAAGCTGGCTTGCAAATAATTTTTGGCTTATATTTTGGAAGTCCTCGATTATTGTTTTCATTCCTTTTCGCCAATGTTGAACAGATGAACAATAAAAGGGATGCTGAGAAAACAGAAACTCAGCTGCTTGACAAATTTGATTATGCATGGAACAAAGGCAGTAATGGTGCACGTCGCCATGATGATATCCTCCAAAAGCTTAATCGAAGTAGTTTGGGCACTATCCAGCTTCCTGCTATTACTAGGAAGCTTCAAACTTTCTTTCAAAAGCAAGTGGGTGTTAGAATCAAAGCATGCGAGCCCCTTGTTTTGGAGAATGGATCCACAATATATACTAATTCAGAGAACAATGATCTCTTTCCTCAAATTTTCAAATTTGGCAGATCTCATCCTAAACTAGTTTCGATGAGATTTCATGTTAATGATGACCATGCTAATATTTGTGGGGTGGCCTTGGGTCATGGATCTGTTTGTGGAAGGCCACCAGTTGAAGGAAGAAAAAGGTGTGCTGAGCACAAAGGTATGAAAATTAATGGTTCCATGTCAAAGCTGATTACAGAAGTGAAACAGCATTATGTACGTGGCCCGGTTTTGGAATCCAGCACTTGTCCTAATGAAAATGAGCAGGTCTCCCCTGAAACACATAAAACGGGCACACGGCGGCCTGATGTTTTCTTAGAGAAGTCAGTTGCCAACAAGGAGTATGGTACTATTTGTGGTGTGGACTTAGAAAATGGAACTTTCTGCACAAGACAACCTGTTGCAGGACGCAAGAGGTGTGAGGAACACAAAGGGATGAGGGTTAAGGATTCCATGCCTAAATCATCAGCAACAGGTATATCCAGCGTGTATGATGGTTCAGGTATCAGTGCTTATAATGACCAGAAGTACGATAATATCTCTCCTGGATCAGTCTCATCTAGAAATGCTCTCAATGGGGACTCTTCCACTTGTGGAGCACCCTTAGCCAATGGTTCCTTTTGCAAAAGGCAACCAGTTGAAGATAGAAAAAGGTGTTGGCAACATAAAGGCATGAAGGTTAATGGTTCCTCTAAGGAAGTGGAAGATAAAATTGGCATGTACGCAACAAGTTCAGGAATCAGTGCTTCCAATGACTGCAAGTATAACAATGCCTCTCCCCAATCAGTCTCGTGTAGGACTGCTACTTGCGGTGCAACCTTAGTCAATGGATCCTTTTGTAGAAGGCAACCAGCTGAAGGGGCAAAAAGGTGTTGGCAGCATAAGGGCATGAAGGTGAATAGTTCCGCGTCAAACAGTTTCATTTCAACTTATGACACTCAAGAATTTTTATCACATATATGTGGTGCTGCATTACAGAATGGTTCCGTCTGTAGGAGAATGCCAGTTCATGGAAGGAAAAGGTGTCAGCAACATAAGGGTATGAGAGCCGCTCCTAGCTATTATTTCTAGCGGGAAAAGTGCCAGAAAGAGCAGAATGTTTGTGTAAACATATTAAGGCATTGGTTTGTTTCCTTTTATCAGCTGAGGCATTTGTTTGTATATTTTGTAGTTTGTTGTTTTAGGAGGGTTTCTTCATCTACCTATCAGATAATGTTGTAGCTTAATTGTCATTGAAAGTGGAGATATAAAATTTATAATGCCATTAACTTCAATTACAGTGTTCCTATGCACTGTATCTTCATCATGTACAACTATTAAACATGCTGCTGGCTTCACCATATGAAAAAGTTCCACCCCAAATATTTGGGGTTCCTCTCATGGACTACAACTGTAACAAATAATCAAATATAATGAATAATCAAATATAATGACAGTAAAGAGATATATTAAATTTGGGAAGCTCCATCTTATTACATGATTCAGGGTCAACACCTCTGTTATATTATTACAAGTCACCATCATCATAAATCATATGTATCTTCTAAGATATACAACTACAACTCAATGACTTATGACTGACAACAAATGAATAAATTCAAGTCTCCCTCCCTATATCCATTTAAAAATTCCAACCCTTTTTTTACAACTAAACCTAACCTACTTAACCAATCTCCAAAAAAAAAAAAAAAAAAAAGGAAGAAGAAAAAGAGTATGAACTCATCGAATCACAAACTTAAATACTGTATCCAGTATTATCACTGTGGACTGAAATGTGAGGCGAAACTCGGGTTCTTATGGGCTTTAGCTTCAACCCCATGCTTTCTGGAGAGAGTAGATCCGGGGAAACACAAGATGGGCTGAGGGGACTCCTAGGGCTGCCACTGAACTTACATGGCTTCTGCAATCCATACCCCATAAGGAAGTACTCCATGGGTATCAACATTGCGTGTGGTTGCTCTTCTGTTACCATTGATCCACAACCCTGCACCTGCAGAAATCCATGCTCCCGTAAGCTACACATTTATCCACGTATACCGAATACAGTACGCACTAAGCATTCATATATTTTAGCATAGTGTCTCTTGGTGATGTACGGTAACGCTTTACATTGTGAAGAAAAATCATTTTCAACATATTAAATGGGAAAATATCTCAAAAACAAGTGTAGATAAAGCAATCTGTGTAGCAATGTTAGCAGTTCTTCTTCCGGGACAATATAAAACATCCTTGCATAATTATGGTATCCATACCTCGACTAAAGCACTATATCGTCTATTCAGATTTGAGGTCATGTGGAGAGCTTCAGAATGGAAAGGAGAGTTCTCTCCAACAAATACAAGTGTCCGACATTTTAATCTCTTCAATCCTTCAGTAATGTCAGGTCTCCTGTAAGTTAGCAAAATAAAGTTACAAGAAGTAGATTGTTTCACATTCTTCAAAACCAAGGAACTCATCTATGAAATATGCACTATGCATACAAAAAGTGATACAAGGAGCATTCTCTGACTCGGTCTTTACCTATTGATTGCTTGAAGAAACCGTAGAACATTTATGCTCTGCCGTTCATCCAGCAACTGAAGAAACAAACATCATCATAAAAATCAGAACATATGTCTCTTACCTGAACTTTTTAGTGGGGGTAGGGGGGAAGAAGAAGAAAACATAAAAACTAGATTCTAGTGAGATTGCAGTTAAAAGAACAAGAGTAAACAAAAACTAACTCTTCTGCATGCTCGAACTATATCTGAATCTGGGACTTCTGCACTACCGCGAACTTCCTGCCACAACTTATAGCAATCTCATCACTAAACCTAATCAATGTATAAAAAAATTGTGAGACAAAATCGGAAAAAGAATAAGTTGCTAGTTCTAGCACACCTTGCTGAAGTACCGGTGAAGCAAACACTCCTTCAGCAAACCACACATGCCATAGAAATATAGCAAGTTTGACATCACCTACGTACAGATTATAAATAATATTAACCTTTTTTTTTTTTTTTTTTTTTCTGTATAGAAATGACAAAAGGAATGAAAAGGCACCTTATTATACAACCACTCAGTCCAAGAGGGTGCTCTGCATAGAGGAGATACCAGTATCAAACCAAGAACCCTATCCCTATACTTCATCTGTAACACAAACATTGATTAATAAACAATGATTGATATAATTTTAAAGCATCAAGCGACAACATTACAGAAAAAAAATCGTACAGCAAAAAGGGTAAGGATGTAAGCACCCGCGGTTACCCCCATACACATCACTGCACCAAGCCTGAACAAGTGACATAAAACATGCCATCAGATACATAGACAAATCTCATCGTTTAATTTTTTTTAATATAAAAAGAAAGTAAAAGAGTGACAAAACATATTCAATAACTAAAAAATGTCTTTTCATATCCTGTTCTTGCCAACAGTATATTGTTTTGGGTCTTAAAACCAATCCATAAAAGCATCAGACATCAACAATTGAAGAAGATGCCAGGGATAAATAAAAACTATTGTATTTTTATTACCGAAAATAGTTGAGAACCTCAAAAATTTGATCTGTTAGGTCGTCGACAGAAGGCACAGGGTCATCAGGGCAAATTGCTGCAGCTCCCAACTGCAAGAACACTTGTGGAAGTCCCAGAATAAAACATATGTGAATAATAGCATTCAGTAGAAAGATGCATAATACGGTTCAAAAACAAAAAATGTATGACACAAATGTAGAAATTAAAATGGTTTACAGACCTCGTGGCCGGGAGGACTGATATGATAAATACAGAAGTTGTGGAGCAACAAAGAAGCTGCTTCAGGACAAAAGAACAATCCTTGGAAACAAGACATATCTGCTCAAAAGGTTACATAGTCGAGCAATGATGTTTATTAGATTGAAACATCAATGAGAAAATAGTCATTTTATATGGTAAAGAACAGGTTTAACTTACGATTTAAAGCTAAATCAGGATAGGTAACCAGTGCTGGCTTGTTTTGGTCTCCATACACAATTACAGACACAGAACCATAGCCAGTTCGTATAATATGTTCCTGCAAAAAGCAATTAAATAAAGAACATTATGAAGAAATCACCATGCTCAAAATAAAATAACAAAAAAAGGGTTGTATATGTAGGGATAGAATTTGTGATGTCTGTGTCGTATTCATGTCTTGTCATGATATTGATCATACCTTGTTATATGGATCAACACACAGAGAAGACACAATTATTACTCGTGTCAAGGAACCTGATACAAACACAACACAATATGATATGCATAACCGGTTTAATAAATGGGTCAAGACCTGACACGACATGACACGACACGTTTAGTTAAACTTTCATATTATTTGGGTCATTTCTAACATGAACACGACACGTTTAGTTAAATAGGTCAGTTTTAACATGAACACAAATTAACCTGAACCGTTTAGTTAAACTATGCATTTCTAACACGAACACCACACATGTAGTTAAACAAGTCTAACCGAGTTATAAATGAGTTGGCAAGTCAAACACAAACACGCTTAATTAGCATGACATTTTGGGTCGACAAGATTACAACCCGAACACAATTAACCAAACCCTAACCAGTATGAACTGACCCTTTTTTGAGCCAACTTGCTATATCAATTTAGAATAAATTTGTAAAAGATGATCAAACAAAGAAGGATTTCTAGATTTCAATCATTGAATTCTTAAAGAGAGAAAGTTTAAAAGAGTAGTATGGAATCGGATATAAATAAGGTGACCATGAAAGATGCACTACTAAAATAACGATTACAACAAATAAAGCCAGGACAATAAAGTAACAGCCACTCTGTGTTCATTATAAATAAATTGAAACACGAAATTAAAAAGTATTGGTAAAGGTCAGTTCATGATTGAGAAATTACACCAATAACAATAAGGAATCAGAAGACAACAACAAAAGAGAATGAATTTACCTACCCCACCAAATATATATATATATATATATATATATATATATATAAAGGAAAAAAAGAATGAAAGATAATTTTTTTTTTTTGGAAAGTTAATGAAAGATATTATTTGCTAATTCATATATATGGATTCTGTGAGTGTTGCTAAGGAAAGCTGGGAAAGAAAGGAATTAAAAATTTGACATAAGCCAGGTCAGTTTTTTTCATTATCTTAGAAACCAAAACAACATAACACATAGCATTTAAAGCAACCTTAATTTCTTCAGTGTTGCAAACACACAGAAGTAATTGTAGAAGTAAATGAAAAAAACATATATTCAACAAGATAGAGAAATTAGAGAGAGAATTAAAAAAATACCAATGAAAATCTAAACGGAAAAGGATTGTCGAACATGGAAAATTTGTAAGATTACAAATTTTATTTTATTTTATTTTTTTTATAAAAAAATAAAAAATAAAAATGAATAAAAATAAAAAAACTTGCTTTAAATTGGAGATGAGAATAGCTTCTAAGAAGGAAAGAATTAGAGGTTCTAAATGGGTATATATATAAAATAAAAAATACAGAAGTCAGCAAGATCTTTTATTACAAGACTTCCTAATTCAAAAACTTATGTAAGAACAGATTCAGAAACTGAGAAGAATGCAAAGCAATAGAACACCAAAAGAATCAAACTTGTATATTTTCACTTAAGCAACATTTTCTCGCAACCAGACAAACCATTCGGAAATGTATTGACGAAATATCCGTTCTTAAAAAGGAACAAGAAATGCATGACATTTTGAATGATCAATCATGTATATATATATAAGAAAATCAATATATGAACGTAAATATATGTGTATATGTGTGTGTAAATGCGTATGAAAACAGTACCCAACCTTTCCGCCAAGATAGATTGTTTCCACATCAACAGTCACGGAATCGTTGAACTCTGCCATGGCCAAGGCCCCTCTCTCTCTCTCTCCTCTCTCTCTCTGATTATTTTTCTTTCTAAATTTCTTTCTTCTTCGAGAAATATAGGCCGAGCTTTGGCTTATATAAGAAGCGACTCTCTCTCCCTCCCTCCTTCATGTATTTATTATATATATATATATATATATAGTATGATGTATTGTGTATCTAACTGTAAAATAACCTGCAGTTACCTCCACCGACGCTATTCTATTTCTCACACAAGCTATGTGTGCGAATCTTCCGTAGTAAAACAGCAGTAAACCTTTGACTCTGGTCAAAATTTAACCATGGTTAGTGACCGACACTTGGCACACCCAAACCAAACAAATTTTGCTACCAAATACAGTATCATACCACATTCTATAAAAACACATTTTGATTTTCTTTGTTCAATGTGGAGGGGTCACACCTTGGATTTCCGCTAGTTGCCTTTTCCCTATAGTCCTAATAGCATCTAGTAATATAGTAGTATTAAAATATGTTTAATTTACAATTTTTTTTTTTTTTATAAAAAACAGAAAAAGTAGAAAAGAAAGATATATTTTTTAATTAAATATTGTTTTCTCTTTATCATTTCATAAATGAAAAAAAATATCAAGTTAGTTGCAACATTGCGACTAGAAATATACTTGCAATATCAAGTTGTGTTTAATGGCAATGTTGTGACTCCACACAAATATACTTCTCTATAAAAATAAAATCATTTTTCACTCTCTCTCTCTCATGTTTGGTAACAATTATAAAAATAATTTTTTTTTTTTTTTCACTCTCTCTAATATTTGGTAACAATTATAATCAATAATTTTTACCAGCTGTTTCTTTATCATCTCTCTTTATTTGTCCAATACAAAAAATAATAGATCAACACTATCCCCTCCTTTATTTCCTATTCTATTATAATTGACTATCTCTTTTTTCTAGTCCAAACCTATTCCTTGCCCTAATTTATCAATACTATAATTTATTGGCAACAACCATCATTATCTCTATAGATAAATTCTCCTTTAAATAAGATAACACATACTGTTAAATAAGAAAAGGTAGAAATATTTAGAAAATTAGTAGTGATTTGCCATGTGATACTGAATATGCATTAAACAAATTTAAGGAAGAAAATATATATATATATACACACACACACACAAGCACGCACACATTGAACGGACCTAAGTAAACATGGTAGAAAATGAAGTGATGGTCAAGTTGAGACAAAAGCAAGCAGGAAAGCAAGTAATCAACACACCAAAGGCAACTGATGAATTGAATTATGAAACAGTTAACGCATTACATTGACATAACTCAGTATATTTAAAGAAAAATAAATTAAAATTACAATAACGTTACATTGAAAAACTTCCAGCTACATTTAACAAATAAAACCAATAGAATAGAATAGAAATGCTGCACTTGTCAAATGCCAGCACCTTTTTCCGTTTGTGGCTGGGCAACAAATTTCCGATGCCATAGGGCAAATTCAAACACTGTGTTATAGCCAAAATGTTCCAGTGATGGACGAATAGCACAACCAAACTATCGCATCCTGTAACATTGAGTTCTTGAGACCTGGCATCGCCGACCATTCAAAGAGTATTTAAGCATTATGTCAACGTCACGAGGATTCTTCTTGTTCTGCGCCACAGTCATGCTCCCAATTATAGCCTCCCCAGAGCAGATGGTGAGCATATCTTCCAGGTACAGAACTGTTTGCTTCCAGTGTGTAGCCCGTGATCTCGGCCCTAAACAAATAATGATTTAGAATGACCGGAAACGTAATGAATATTGAACACAAGCATTTTTTTTTTTTTTGATAAGTAAAATAAGCTACTTGTATTATCTATCATTCATACCAAAACCTGTATTGATCAGAACACACTTACTAACAGTCCCCTCATTGTATTGGTCCATTCCCCAGACTCACACAGACTGACTCATTCAGAACCCAAGCTAACCCTGGCACAATGCCAGATACACCCATTGATCGTCAATGGGTTTGACGCTAATTTCCAAAGTCAAGATTTTATATATATAAATATGAGCCCATGTCAACTACGTGACCCATACTGACCAACCAGTTGAATAATGGTGGATTGGCAGTCCAGTAAAATATGAAAAAATTATAAATGAAAAAAAAACACCACCGCCATACAACCGGTCGCAGCATCTGATTAACATTGGTTTGTATTAGATGAGCAGAATTTACAACATCTTATCAATTCAAAGCAAGAGAAAATCATTAAATTTTATGTCTGCTCCAAATGGACCAAACCTCAAACATGAGACTTTCAAAATCTTTTAACCATCTAATCACCAGGCACTACAATGATCAAATCAAACTCTAGTACAAAGAAATGAACCTGTAGAGAAGCCTGCCAATTTATGACACTTGGTGAATGACACGTCAAAATATGCTACAAGAGCATGGATGTAATCATCACGTTCTGCCACAAGCTTAAAAGGAGCCGTGAATGAAGCGTCCCCAGGAGCCATCTTTGAGATGTCCATTGTCTGTGAAAGGAAACCAAGGCATGTCAGCAAAGAAGCACAACATATTCATCACGTACAAAAAACAAAAACAAAAAAGAGAGAAATTATTATTACAATTAAAGGCTAGACTAGAAGGAAATCTTCTCTCTAACCTTGAGTAACTGGCAATTTGTAACAATCTGATTCTGGTCAACAGTGTCAACAAGAGGTTCCATCATGGATTGTTTCCTGATGCAGCTCATATCGAAGCCATATACATTGTTCCAAACTGCAAAACCATGAGAATGCCAATAAAAAATAAAAATAACAGACTCACGAAAAGAGAATGATGCCAGTTAAAGAGCTCGCATACACCCACCCATATTATCCAAAATGCATAGGCAGATAATATTCATCAACAACAGTATATCAGGAAGTAAATAAGCTCACATTCAATCTTGTCTTCTTTGTACTCAGCATCCTCAATAGCTGTCAAATAGAGAGATGCTTTGTCTGGGAGTACAACTCCATTGTTAACCTGCAAACAATCAAGGAGTAGAAGTTAACAAGAACATGTTTAACTAAACACGGGATAGCAGAGTAAAAACAGATTCTTTCTACAGAAGATTATATGTTTCACCCACAAATAATATATGAAATCCAAATTGCAACATAGTTAAAATCACCTCCCGAAAATGAGCCAATGATTGGTGCAACAGCCTATGTAACGTGAATAGAGGTAAAGAGACATGTTTTAGGGATCTAATTGTCTAATCCTCAAATAATAGGCCGGGAAAATATGGTTTAATGTTGTACCTATGGAGGAAAGGGAGTATGCATAACATTGCACTTCAAATATGGGTACAACACACAAAAAATCTAGATTTTTTAGTTTTAAAGTTGAATTACAACAAGGGATAGTTGAAAAAGACAAACATATTGAAGAGATCCATAAATTTCATAGTAGTACCAGCTTGCCCAAGTTGTACCAATACTTCAAACACAAACCATCATACAGAGCATTGTAAGGATGGCCAACTCACAATGATGCAATATCAACAACTGTACAAGGAGTCTGGGCATACTAGCAAAAGAGACCAGGGACTATGTGAGAAGAACTTAAGTCTCCAACCACAATTGGTCTAACAATTTAGATACAATCAAATATCCCATATAACATATGAAGGAATGTAAATTATTTTTATTTCAACCAACCACACATCTTTAACCTACCTAACTAAAGTGGAGTATTTAAGATTGAATATTCTCATTTCAGAAAGCTGTTAAATCCTTTGGAATTTAATTGCAATAAAATATGAATTCTCGTACCAATAAGTACAGAAGAAATGTGGATGGTGATGAATCAGAATTTATATTGTCCCCAATTTTGTAGACCTTAGAATTTTAGACAATTCCCGGTGAACCAAATAAATTGAGGTACTTTGTCAAGACAAGCTAGAGAGGGAGGGAAAAAAAAGTCCAGGTATGGCGTGCTAGAGACTCAGAGCAGCAAACAGACAGGATTCTGGGCTTCAAATTCCCAAAGTGTCAACCTAGCACCAGAGCCATTATTCTTGTAATCTGAGGTAAAGCATGGAATTAAAATTAAAAAGGAATGTGCAACTTACAAGCCACTTATCACGAGCATATAGGACCGTATTTAACATGTTCTCAAACAGTAAAAAATATCCCATCCATTCTGAAATAATGATATCCACTTGAGGAACTGGAAGCTCAATTTCTTCAATTTTTCCCTTTAAAACTGTTATAACTGTAATAATTAAAGTAAGAGAGCAGACACAGAGAGGATGACTCAGTATAGAAGTAAAACAAAAAGGAAAAACAAAAATTTTCAGAACTCATGGCTAGGAATGGATTACCATTTGAAAACCCGTTTAGTTTAACAATTTCTTGTGCCATGTCTGCCATGTGGGAGCACTCAACCTGAAATTGAAAAGGTTTAAGATCAGCTGCTTCTACAAGAGATTACTGAACTCCATAGTTAATTTGTGTATGCCAAGGCCGTATTCATTATCATGAAACAGCATATAGAGCAAACTGCATTCTTAATTCAGGTTCTGAATGACATACATGCTAGCATGAATATTCTTGAGCAACAACCAAGTAAGTAAACTCACCAAACTGATGGAATTTTTTTTTAAAAAAAAGGGGGGAAAGGACACCGGGGGGTGGGGGGACGGAAAAGAAAAAAGAAACTCTAAACATGAATGAATTAAAAAGAAATTAATCATCAAAGAACGTTTCTCAATTTCTAAAATACAAAGAAGACTACCGTATACAGCATGTAATCCTATCAGCACAGTGAACACATCGACAAAAACAAGAAACGAACCCAATAATTGAAGCTATATAATTATGCATAAAACAAATTTTACATGCAGTGGTATGGCCAACCAAGCTTTCTATCAGGGGTAAAAACTTCATATTATCTTGTGGGATCATTCAGATGGCATTTGGTCTGGATAATTCTTCTGATAGATATCCAAATCAAGGCACAGAATTATATGAAATCATAAGGTAATAGAGCAGCTTATCTGAGGATATCTAGCACTGTAAGATGAACTCTTACTGTACTGACCAGTCCCATGTATTATTGAATATGAGTACGATTTACTTAAAAATTGAATTGTATATTTAAAAATAGAGGGGGAAAAAAACATCTAAGTACTCATATATATATACACACACACACACATAAAAAGTAACCTTGTTGTACTAAACTAGAAATCCTAGTTCCATTAAAATTTGAAAGGCAAGTGTCCCATGGATTTACTTGTGTTCTCACACAAGCCCAAGCAAGACCAGACATATATAACATCCCATGTGTCCAAGCAATGCAAGTGTTATGGGCCAAATACGACTACGAAAAGATTAATTTATACATGAAGTAAGAGATTGTAACATGGGAGGGGAAAAAAACTTCAAGAGAGAGAGAGAGGCGAACAGAAGAAACATTTAGGTGCATGTGTGCAGGGAATAGAAAGAGACCCATTAGACCACTACAGGGGAAAAAATAATAAGAAAAAGAAGAGGACAAAAGGGGGATTTTGCTATCACTGTCCTCGACACCAATTTGAGGCAAGATTTCATTCTCTCAATTTCATGCATGCTTATTTTCTCTTTTCAAAATATATGATTCACTATTCATATGTTGATATATGTTCAACCTTCATTTTGAAAGCTAGCTACTATTTCGTTTATATGAAAAACATTTGTCACCGAGCAGTAACCAACTTCACTATCTTTTAGTTATATTGATACACTACTAAATAAATTAAAAAATCTAGCTGATTAGAATCACAAAGGACACAAGAAGTAAGCACCACAAACGACTAATTTTGCATGAAATTTCTACACAATCGCGACAAAATTATCAGAAAAGTAATAAGGGGGAACCAAAAGTGAAATGCATACCGCATAAACATGCTTTGCACCAGCTTTCGCACAAAAGAGTGACAAAATTCCAGTCCCAGCACCCACATCAAGGACTATTTTGTCCTTGAATAGAAAGGAATTCTTATAGATCACATTTTGGTAAGTCTTAGTTCTCACTACATCCTTCAACATTTCCTGAAATATAAGAGAAGCCAGAAGAATAATGTATTGGAATTTTGGAGAGAGTAAATCATAACAAGGGGCTAAACAAGTATAATGTAGTTAGTGATAAAGTAAATCAGCTTTGACATTCTTGAGGTGTTTAACACTAAAGAAAAAGCAATTGAGAAGGATGAAAACCTACAGAAGCCATCAAATAGCCTGTTTGAAGATATATGAGAATGAATGGAACAAGACGAAAAGGATCTCAGAAAAAATAAATAACAAATATATGTAAAGGCACCACAATTTTTTTTTTTATAGAATCACCACAGACATTTTAAGCATTACATGGAAGTCATCAAATCCAATAAACAAGTTGAGAACAGCACATTCACTACAAAGAAGAAGGCAAAGAATCAAGAGAGAGGGGGGATGGGAAGCAGTGCTGCTGGGAGCAATAGAACACTTGAATTGATTTGAAAACATATGAATCTAGCCAGAAGCCACTGCCTAATGTATGAACTTATGCCACAAATAAATTAATAAGCAATAGTAAATAGCTGCCAAAACCCGATTGACGACACAATTAAGAGCAATAAACTAAAACTAATTCAAACATCGTTTTTAAGAATTTACTACAACATAATATTATAAGACAATAAGAATAAACACCAAAAATAACCACCGGACAGCCAAAAAGCGAAGTCCTTTATATCCAAATGCAGCAAACTTACTTCATGAATACCTGCAAATAAAGAAGCAGAGGGGGAGAAATTAATGGCAACCCAAATGAACATGGAAGAAGAAAGTCAAAATTCATTCTTTGATCAATAATAAAATTTTCAGACCTCTAGAGAACATTGTACTCTTGGAGTTTGAAACGCCCAATGTCAAGAAAACAAACTATTGCAACAACATTATAATTTTTTGCAAACTCTATTAAAATTTCATTTATTTGGAAAGTCCACTTAAAGGAAAACAAAACTTTGGACACATTAATGTTTCCTTTTGACTGCTGAGAGAAGGAAGCACAATTTTGAAGAACAGAAGTTCCAATCTCTGATTGTTCATTACTTTGTTGAGCTGACTTTTTCAGTTCTTCGTTTTAAGAAAAGAATTCAACATTAGACCTTGGACCCAAAAAAATGTGAAAACTATATATATAAATACATATGAAAAGATTAAGTCTACATATTGCAAACAACGGAGACAAAAAGGTAAGAAAGTGAAATACCGAAGTGAGAGTACGAATCGAAGTAATAGTCGGCGCTGGTTCTCTCAGCGCCGATGATGGAGTCGTCAGGATCGCACATGATATCGTCGTCGAGGTTGGAGCTCTCCGTTACTGTTTCGTCGAGAGTTTCGTCTTCGTCCTCGTAATCGAACCTGGTCTTCGTGGGTCGACGGTGGCGGAAGCTGTTGTCGTTCATGTCGTTATCGCTGGTACTGATAGAGTTGCTTTTGTCTTGCAGATCCATTTATGCTTATACAATATACAAAGTTTAGGGTTTTAGGGTAGGGTGGCTCTAATTAGGGTTTTTCGTTACGAATCACAACCCTCTCTCTGTCTGCGTGTTTTATACAGTACTCTTTTTAAATGCAGAGACAATACAGACAAGGAATCTGTACAGAACCGACGACTTCCTTAGCACAACGACATCGTTTTCAATATTCCTAATTAATTTACTTACCTTCCTTACTTTTCTAATTTGAGGAGCGTGAGAAAGAATTACAAAATTATAATTATTGGGATAAATATTAAATAGTGTGGGATGATCTTCAATGCTTTCGCTGAATGGTATTTAATTTAAAGACATAAAACATTTAATTAATATAACAACTCAATGTAATCAATATGTTTTATGAATGGTATTTGCATCCTCAATTTAATAACACATAATGTTACATCCTCAATTCATTTGCACAACGTTAACCTCGTCAATTCAATTGCACAGCCTCACGCAGACATGATTCAAATTTCTCAATTAATCATTAAAAAGATGTCGTCAGATCGTGGATCTTTTAATAAATAAATAAAATATAATTAAAAAAACTACGACAATATTAAGTATAATTAAAAGTTGAAATTTTTGTTACTATTTTAAAATTTTCAAGTGAAGCATACACTTAAATAAATACACACTTGCACGGTGTCCTAAATAAGAAGAAAATATTTCATTTGAAAAATAAAAATAAAATGTTTTAAAATACGGGAAATTCAAGACAAAAAATAGATTAAGATATGAATCACAACTATAGATCCTTCATTGAATGGTAAGGATTTGAACAGAATTGCATCATAACAAAAGAGACTCTTAGTTCTAACATCATCTCGTCTAACAAGATTTGCAAACCCATTTAACTAGTATTGATTTTCTAATTGATGAAGCAACTCGTCCGATGCAGTCCGGCCCACAAACAATCAAAAAGATGGTGTAGCAGCTGAATCATAGGTGCCTATATGCAGTGAGCATAGTTTCCCAATTATCGGCAACGATGCATATAGGAGAATATAACAGAAATGATCATAATGATCGAGGCATGGTATTTGGGTTAGAGATTTAGGAGAAAATAGAGCAGGTTTAAAAGCAAAGCACAAATAGAAAACATGAGAAAAACTTCCCCTCCATTTCCTTTATTTTTCTTTCCATCCTCCAATCAATCCAAAATCACTACAAGACGGCCCTGGTTAGAACAATGCCTGAAAGGACTCCAACGGTTTCAGCAATGTTACTAGCATTTATAAACTATGATTCTTCTCAACAGCTACAAATTTATTGGCAGGTACATCAGGTAATAGTTTTCTGATTGTACATTATAACGAAAACTGACACCAGGCAATAGTTTTCTGATTTTACATCTTTTTCATGCACATTATGAGGCACAACTAACATTGACAAACTAGCGCTTTCCGCCATTTTCTGAACAAATAATAGGGTTCTTGATGGACCATGGTCCCCCCGCCATAACAGCCTCGATTTCACTTGTCTCTCTTGGAACTTTGGTCATGTTCACGCAGCCATTGGCAGTAACACGCTAAAATTTTGAAAAAGGAAAACAGAATGCAAGTTATAAAAGAAAAATATGCATTAAACAATAACGAGGAACAAGAACATGATTACGCCAGTGTATTACAAACTGAATGAAGATAATAGCATGAGAACAGTGACCGCGGGTTGCAAGAATATCAATTCTATCCAAATCCATGGTCTTATTCTTAAGTTATGTATAGATTTCATGCTAGAGTTTTTGGATGGAGGAGGAGCTGGAGAAGCACATTTCTAAGTGAGCTTTCCCAAGCATTTCAGAGTTCAAAATGGACATAACAAAACAAACTTAAAATATCATGATATTGCGAGATCATGGACATGAACCATCATTATTTTGCAAAACTGGATGTGAAGGAATGAAAAGATTTATCTAGGGTTAGGTGATGGAAAGAGGTTTAGTATATAAGCACCAAATAAATAGTATTGCAAGATCATGGACATGAACATCATTATTTTGCAAAAATGAATGTCAAGGAATGAAATCTAGGGTTAGGTGATGGAAAGAGGTTTAGTATAGAAGTACCAAATCACTTTCGATTCGAACTCCACCAAAACCTTTAAATCTATTAATCTCTTCAGGGACAAAAAACTTTGAAGTGTTTGAACTTTCCATTGCCGGAACCAGCAAAGCATCAATGAAGTAGCATCCAGGCTCCACTGTTATCACCTGCAATAAAAGCCATCAATTTCATTATGTCTTCCAACTTAAACCTTAATTGCAAATTTGCAAGTATGCGATAGATCTACCACATTCTCTATTTTACTTTTGTTAAAATAGTGACAGGAAAATCTTAATACAACACACTCTAATGGAGACATTTTTATATTTTTCAAATGAAAATTTCCAAATATATACATATAGGACTGGTAGTCATGCTACTTTTTACCTTTCTAAGACTGATTAATTCTGCAAGCACAGCTCAATATTCTTTTTTATTTCTTTTATTTTAAACATCAGTGAGATGGCATCAAAGTATTATGCATTGGATCAGATGGAACTACAATTCAGTATATTACTATATTCATTATCAATAACTCATTGAGGACACAATTACTTTATATCTAAATGGAACTTCTTTGTCCATAAAAGAACAATAATATGAAAAGAAAATTAATTCATAGAATCAATTTTTTATGTTTACTTAAGAATTTGACCATAAAGCTATATAGATATATTGTCTGTAAAAGATTTGCCAGCCAAAATCACACTAATAGCATTAAACACACCCAAACAAGCACAGCAAAATTTGTCTGCAGAGGTGTTTATGTTAGTACATGCATAGCAAAAAAAACTCAGATTGCCTAGTATTCCACCAATTCATAACCCAAAATTCCATTATTCTCAACTGATTCGCTTTCTAACAGAAAATTTTAAGGCCATATTATAGGAAAATATGTCCTATAGTTGAGTGGTCTCAAGAATAATAGGAATAATGAATTCATTTAAAAGGCTACAGAGGTGCTTTATTCAATATAAATGTCCTAATATTGCCATGCCTAAAAATAAAAAAACAGCAATACACAATTCAAAAAACTACAAAATATGAGCAGTATCATAGCCCCACCCCCAAAAAAAAAATCTTCATTTCAAGTTTATTTTAGAAGATGTAAACAATCAAATTGTGAACAGCAAGCATGAGGCAGTTGAAAATCTAACAGGAACCACAAAGTTTTAAATGTTAATTTCAGGATATTAATTAATAGGAGATGGAACACATGTATTTTCACTAGTGTATAAGAAAAAAAACACAGGAATATAATATTCGTTCCAATATAACAAAACATGATCAATTTTACAAATAAAACAGACAAGTTTTTCAGTAAAAAAATCTATTACAAACCATTCTCTCCTGGAGTTCTCTACTTGTACGTAAAGCCTTTAACCCAGGTTCTCCGGGTCTCTTCGCTCCCTGAATATCGTTATAATTTCCAGTCACATCATTGATATGAAGATACTAATGTTATTGACATGCATAATTCTCCCTAACACAAGAAAAAACAGAAAGATATTATTTAATCACAATGACCTTTAAGAAGCCCCCAGGATCATGAGTATCGAGTCCCAAGAAGTGACCCAGACCATGGGGCATGAAAACAGCCCCTAATCTCTCCACCATCATATCATCAACATCACTAGAGCCAAAAATACAAATTAATAAATAAAAATAATATTCCCTCTTATTTGGGAAAAAAGTTGCAAGTAGAGAAATATTGAGAAAATAGAAAATACCCAACAAGGAGGCCCCCTTTCTTCAATGCCTCAAGAATAGTTATCTCTGCCTTTCTGATATATATTAGCGAGAAAATCAGAATGAGGATGTTGTGCCAAAAGAAAAGAATAAAAATAAAATAAAAGGAGGAAACTAAAAAAAGATGCACAACTGCAGCCTGAGAAAGTTCTTGTGACCCACTGACATCATAAATATAGCATCTACCAGTTAATAAAATATTATTATTAACCCCAAGGGGTTAGCTCAGGTGGGCAAGAACTTGGCCCTGGTGCCTCAGGAAGCATCAAGTCTAAGGTTCGATTCCTCTTGGGTGCAAACAATTACTTGTGGGGATGTGTGTTGAGTATCAACTAGGAAAAAATAAATAAATAAACAAATAAATAATATATTATTATTTTCTGATTCAGTGAAATGCCTTAGGCACAATTGGATCATGAAATTGGGACAAGAATGAGGGGACACAACTAGAATTAAGCCCTCAAATTCCAATTCAGATGATTATTAATTGAACTAAAAAAATTAAAGTCTGCACCACAATTCCATAAATGTGAGCTGGCCTTCCTCAATGTTTGAAGGTATGGATTGGATGTTGCAATCCATGGGGCCTAGAATTAGGAGAAAGCCCTAGCAGTGAGAAGGCATGCAACTCTCTCTCTCTCATTATTCCTTTTTCAAATTTTCTCTTACCTATTCCTGATTCCACTATCAACTAGTTAAATTAGGAAAAGATATTCTTAGATCACGAGAAAGCAAGAAAAGTGCCATGCTAATGAGCAACCGATGAATGCCCTGAACAGTCTTCAGTTTTTTGTACTTTATAAGATTTTTCTTAATTCGACTGTCCACACACTCCTCTTCGCTCCTCCTCCTTGTTCATCTTTGTTCTTTTCTTTTACGTTTTCTTTTCTTCTTTTATTAATATTTTAATAGTTTTCACCAAAAATAAAAAAATAAAAATTACACCCTCTTTCAATTCTAGTTCCTGTAAGAATTGAATTTGAAATTGCAATTCTGAGACCTAAATACGATTCCATGTGCCACTAAGACCCTTTGTTCAGTCAGAAATACTAATAATTTTCTAATGGGATCACATAATTGTGATTCGGAAATGAAATTATGGATAAATGTCAATGACGTGATACGTGCAGAATAATTCCCTTGAGGTTCCAAAACCCACATTTAATGGACATGAAGGAAACATCATACTACAGTCTAGGCAACGATATAAGTGTGAAACCACCTCCATTTTTTTCATGGTACCGAACTCTTGTTAAATTATATAACTTCATCTTGTTGATCGTAATGTGATTTCTTTCATTTATTTATGGTCAAGCCAACTACCAACAAAATGCAGTTTAAATTCAATTCTAATACCCTGTGGCTGGCTTTATCGTTTTGCCATTTATTCTTGTAGGTTCATCTTGTCAATCTTAATGTGAATTCTTTCATATATTTATGGTCAAGCCAACAACCAACAAAATTCAGTTTAAATTCAATCCTAATACCCCATGATTGGCTTTATTGTTTTGCTGTTTATCCTTGTAGTATCGACAGGAGGCAGTTGGCAGAGGAAGTGATGATCTGACATGGATTCCCTCCTCCCATGGTCGCTTTGAAGTTCGATCCTTATTCTTATGTCTTTCTAATTTTGATATCGTTGATTTTCCATGGAAGACCATCTGGCGCTCTATGGCTCCAACTAGTTAACTGGTGTTGCCAGTGCAAACAAGATGGTGAGTCAATTGATCATATTCTCATGCATTGTCCCGTGGCGAGAGACTGTTGGAATCTTATCTTTGGCTTGTTTGGTATGCATTGGGTTATGCCTCGTTATCCTAAGGATTTGATTCATGTTTGGAGAGGATGCCACGTGAGAAGTGATGTTCACGATTTTTGGAGAGTTGTACCACATTATGTTTGGTGGTACTTATGGAAGGAGAGGAATAGTAGAATGTTCGAAGGGAAAGAGTTGTCTACGGCGATTTTGAAACTTTACATCATTCGCTCTATTTTCAGTTACATGAAGAGGAAGTCATGTTCCTCTTAAGATGTTTTAATCATTTTTTCGGATTCTTTGGGGCCTTAAAACCCCGGTTCCACTTTTGTATAAGGGATGCGTTCCCCTCTTGAACGCCTTTTTTTATTCAATTATTACTTATCAATATATATATATATATATATATGTCTACACAGTTAGGAGATGTCGGCACATATAAGTGCCATCAAACCTCCCCCCGGCGGGCAATGTGGGACATCTTTTTTTTCCTAAATGGCAGGCAATGTGGGACATCACAATCCCAAGCCCAAAAGCCTAGGCACATGACATGAGAAGAGAGAGAACATTAAATTGGAAGAAAACGTCTCTGATATTATTATATTCTATTTTATTATTACTATTATAATTTTTTTTAGGCTTGTACTTTAGTGGATAGAAATAATTAAAACCTAAAAAGTATATAAGTAGGCACGTCATGCCCTTAAATGATTCCTAACTTGGTACCCTTTTTAATATAAATTTTTAGAAAAAAAAAAAAAAAAACAGTACATAAGACATGCATCCCTCCATGCGCATTGCATATATAAGTTGATGACATGCCCATGGGACACTCTCCCACGAAGGTTTTAACCCACATGAAGTCAAATGATATATTAGTATCTTGAAACTTGCATTTGTAACATGAATAATATTATATGAAGTACCTGTGGAAAAAGATTTCTACTCAAACTTATTATAACCACATAATTCGCACATGTTTTATGTCTAGAGACTTCTATAGTAGCATAATGGTCAATCCCTGAAGGTAGTGAAAAACTTTGGGAACCGTTCTTTCAATAATAGATAACACAAGGGAAAGTGCGAAACATAATTGTTGACATCTTATACTGTTCCTTGTCAACAAGACACAAGTGAGCAGAACCAAAACAGGTCAGTAAGAAAACAAAATGGTTGACAATATGGTTCTTGAACCACCTGGGAGCAATTCCTCCTTCGCAAAGTCATAATATTATTCAATAATCCAAAGCGGACTTGGTTGAATACATCGTAGCCTTTCTATACGTAAAACATAAATAAAAAATGAAGTACTAATATACTCCAAAAATTGAAACATTACTAAAAGTAACCATAAGCATTAATAAATACCCTAATTTACTAAAATCCCTAATTCTATCTTTCTTTTCCCCCTCTCCAATCGTAAGTGCAGGTCATATGTGATTCAATTGATGGGGAAGAGGAAAAGAGAGCATTAGGATTTTTTGTAAATTAGGGCTAAATTATTATGTTCCTTGTTATTTTTGGCAATGTTGTATTTTTAGGGTTATTTTAGTATTGTATATTAGGGGTTGTTTAATGTTTTGCCTATATAAAGGCTTCTTTGTAAACAAAGAATTTAGCTTTGGAATATTGATTTATATTTGTGAGTTTGCGAACTCCCTTCGTGTCTCTTCTCCTTGCTCTCTTAATCCTTAAAACACGGCACGACCCAGGAGCTAGAACCACATATGATCCGCACTTACCAAAGGGGAAAAGAAAGATATAATTAGGGATTTTAGTAAATTAGGGTTTTTATTTATGCTTATGGTTACTTTTAGTAATGTTTTAATTTTAGGAGTATTGTAGTACTTCATTTTTTTAGGATTTGTTTATGTTTTGCCTATGTAGACTACAATGTAATCAACCAAGTCAGCTTTAGATATTAAAACAATAACTTGAGTTTGCTCTTCCTCTGTGTTTTCTCCCTCTTGGTTCTTGCTTTTCTCAATCCGTCAATCTCTCTAACCTACCTCATTCAATCTGTCTTCTCACCTCCTTTGTCTAGCCTGATTTCATCTTCTCATTCTAATCCAACTATAGATGAAGGAGGTTAGAAGACAGATTGAATGAGGTGGGTTAGAGAGACTGAGGGATCAAGAAAAGCAAGAACAAAGAGGGAGAAAACACAAAGGAAGAGAGTTCGCAAACTCACGATATTATTCAATAATCCAAAACTAACTTGGTTGAGTATATCGTTGCTTTATTATGTAGGAAAAACATAAACAAACCCTAAAACAATGAAGTACTAATTTATCCCTAAAATTAAAACATTACTGAAGTAACCATAAGCATAAATAAAAACCCTAATTTACTACAATCCCGAATTCTATCTTTCTATTCCCCTTCTCGAATGGTAAGTGCGGGTCATATGTGGTTCTAGCTCTTGGGTCGTGCCTTGTTCTCCTCACCAGCTTATATACAATATTTGCATGGAGTGGTGCATATCTTATGTTCTAATTTTTATTTTTATTTTTAAAAAGGGCACCAAGTCAGGAAACAATTAAGTCCATGGGGTCATATGTGGTTCTAGCTCTTAGATCGTGCCTTGTTCTCCATCACCAGCTTATGTACACTGTGCATGGAGTGATGCATGTCTTCTGTTGTTGTTTTTTTAAAAAAAAAATAAAAATAAAAATAAAAAAAAGGGGGTACCAGCCACCAGGTCAGGAAACAATTAAGTGCATGCGTGCCTACATGTATACTTTCTAGGTTTTCATTAGTTCAATCCGTTAAAGTACACGTATGTATATAAAAAAAATTATAATAGTAATAATAAAATATAATATAATAATATCACAATAGTTTTCATCAAATTTTATTTTTTTCTCTCCTCTCATGTCATGAGCCCGGGTTTTTGAGTTCGGGGCGTGACAGCACCTCCCACATCACCTCGGGGGAGAGGTTTGATGAAACTTAATGTGTGGAGTCCGTGAACATCTCTCAAACTGTGTAGACGCATTTTAAAAACCAAGAGCACAAAGTGTGCAAGGCGGGCAATATCTACACAGGTTGGGTGGGTCGTGACAGCTGCTTTGTCCTTTCTCCTTTCGTATATTTTTTGGGCGGCTAAAACAATTACAGATTGCTTTTATATAAAATTCCATTAAATGTATAACTTGTTATATCAAGGACTATCAACTCAAATAACAGCTATTGGTCTATGCAGCATCTTTGAAAATACTCCATAATAAAATACTCAGTAGCATCAAAACAAAAAGAAAAGTGTACTAGCAATAACCCCATTGGAAAATTTTCACTGTCAAATCTTACTTGTGCATATCCACCCAGCTTACTCCAGGTTTCATGGAAGATACGACAGCATTATGAGCATCAAGGACAGCCTGCAAAATGAAACAAGAAAAACGAAGACTGGATAAATGACATCCTATGAGTCAATAGGACCGGAAAGATATGCACGTGTGAGACCAAATTGGCAAGCACACTAAAGTACAGAGAGAGAGAGAGGCAAGAATAACATTTGTTAATAGTTCTGGTTGAGTCACTAGAAATTAACAAAACCTCAACAAAAAAAAAAGTGATCACTTCCTTTAGAAGTGAAAAACTTACATTATATACAAGACATTGGTCACTTGTAAATTTTCCATTTACCTGCACTCACAATTAAAAGTATTTAAGAAAAATATACATTTTTAAAGCCAAAAAAATATCAAAATAAAAGTAAACTGTATACAAATATCATTTGAAATTATAAATCACAAATAACTTTAGTTCCTTATCATTTTGAAGGGATTAGAACTCCTGTTAAAATCCACAAGTTGCGTGTAACTTTTTTTTTTCTTTTTTTTTTGACAAGCACATGTAACGAATTCATGTACGAAAAAGAATATCTCATGCAACAACCTGCATTAAAAATACTCATTCTAGTTTTTCTCTTTTAGGGACACGATTTGATGCACAGTAAACTCAGGCTAATAAGCATGAGCACTTTAGTTCAAGCCTAAGAACAACCAGTTTGTAAAATAATGCCGAAGGTTAAGTTTGTGTCTAAACTACTCCCAGACTTTAATTTTCACAAAGATCCTCATATTCAGAATATCCTGTGTTTGTCAACTTAAATCAATTTATTCAAGTTTGGCATGCAATGGAAGTCCATGATCTCCTGAGATTCCAAATCAAACGGATATGAATTGGCATGAATTTCCGGGCTATGACAAAGAGTAACAAAAACATATCATACGGAGAAAAATTAGGACTCTATCAGGGTATAAACCAATCAAAAAGTTCATTTTTTCAAAGAAAACCATTACAGGCAATGTTGCATGACTTATATTACAACCAAAAACCATCATGAACATAAAAATTGTTGAAGACTTGAAGTAGATATCGTGATTGCGTATTATTTGCAATATAAGTGCATTTGTATATGGTATCTGAAACAAACATATATTAGCAAATAACAATCATAAACAAAAACAAAAAATCTAATTATGATTGAAGAATATAGCTTTAAATTCACACTAATGGAACTCATACGCAATTGGTTTTTTTCCTGCAACTTGCCTCTGTCAACTTTATAATTTCAACCACATCTTTTTTATGTGCTTCTTTGTTAACCACCTATATCATTCCAATACAAAAAGTCTGGTCGGCCATGAAACAATTTTCAAAGCATAAGCTTTGGCAATATTATAAAGAAAGTGACTGCTCTAATGGAACTCAATCCCAGCCACACACTATAATAGCACCCACTCGGGCCACTCCCCAGAAAAACCATAACAATTCACAGACACCTTCCATTTCAGGCAAGTCCTTCCAACAATGGCTCCTTGTAGGATAAAACTAGTGGCAGGAAGTGAGAAGCGTTGGAGTTTTAGAAAACAGGAGGTGAGATAACAATCTTACAGGAGATGGTGAGTTGCAGTGCCCCATTGTTGGGAATTATAAGTGAAAGTGAAAACAGAGAGGATCCTAAGAGCAAGTCAAGGGTTATCAAAATTCATGTTCACTTGTTTATGGTAAAACAATTTCAAAATATTGTTTTTTATCAATACTTCAGTTTAATATGATTATAACTCTTTTGGTAAATACTATAGGTAATAAACTTTGTTTTTAGACAAGGAGTCATTCAGAAAGAGTAGAGAGAATACAATCATAACTAAATATATAATTTCCTTGATTTTAAAATATACAGACTTATTAATGGGGTCCACAAAATGTGGTGTTGAATCTTCCTAATGCTGATGTGTCTAAATCACAATGGTGATATTATTTTTGTAATTCATTTCAATTGACAAGTACCAAGGTCATTATAGACATTCAACTCCTGCAATTGATTTCAACAACAGAAAACAGGAAGTTTAATGACTTTCATGTGAGACGAGCAAAATCAATCAGATCCACTGACAATTGACTCCCAGATGAGAGAAAATGTCACCGAAAACAACACAAGGGATATCAGTACAATCTCCACACATCATGAGGTGATGAATGTGTTGTAGGCAAACCAAAGGGGAGGTTTATATAATTTCCCCCAAAATTTAAAGATTGAAAGTTACTTTGTAAGTTCTCTTGCACTAGAATCAGGCGTACTAAGACCCATCACAAGCGGCGCACAATATTAACATACAATTCATGTTAGATGGACTGACAGACATTGGGAATTTTCAATAATACATATAAACATGTATTCATATGCAAGTTTGTGAAATCGAAAGTACAATTACAAATACTCACGGGGAAGGAACAAGTTATGTCAGAACCATAAAAATGATACTCAGCTCCCATATCTAATAATGCCATATCGCCATCTTGAAAAATCTGTAGAGCAAACAGATAACACAGAGTGAGCATGCTACAGAACTTTTCTCACATTATATGAAAGATCACTCTGAAATCTATTAGACATAGTGAGAACCAGATCCAGATTAGATTATACAATTCCCATTTTCTCAAAGGCAGCATGTTGCAGACAAGCAATAATCTTGGTGTTGCAGACAATATCTCACTAGCTAGGAATAAATTTTGACCCCTCTGAAAGCTTAAAATTTAAGAATAGTAACCATAACATACGTCACAAAAAAAATGAAGTAATGTATGCTGGACTTCAAAATATACTCCTCAAGTCATCATTGAAAAGCTTCTTCCTCATCTTTTTCCTTCTTCCCCTTTTGTGTAATGCAAGTGATGAGTAGCATAATTTATGCATGAAGCCATTATTTTCCAATAATATGACTAAGAAGAGAAGTGAAGTAGATGTTTGGAACCCTATGCGGAGTGCCAAGGCAATCAACGGCTCCAATCACCCATCCAGAGACAGTTTGTAAACACACCAAAGTTCTTACTTGTGTCCCCAGAAATGATTTTTGTAAACAAACCTAATTTATGGCCCAGGAAACTTATTGAAAATTTTAATTGGCCCGCCAATTTTTTTTTAAATCATTTATTTATTGCCTCAGAAATAGTGAATTTGGAATTAACATAACTTTTGCCGCCCAAAAATAGTGATTTTGTAAACAAATCTAATTTATGGTCCCTGAAACCGTCGTAGCTCACTCAAACATAGAAAAAAACAGAGATGAACCAGCTAGTTTTACCAAAAACACAAGAAGACTTTCTCACTACCTTTTCAACACATATTCAACAAGAACATGAAAGTCACCTATTAATGCCACAATAAAGTCCAGACACCATCTAACAAAACCACAGATTTCTGATGCATAAATCCAACCTAAATTGGGCAGAAACCTTGGAGGATAAAAGTATCAAATCTACCATACCCTGTCATTTGGAGCCGCTGCATGCCCATAGTGGAGAACGGAACTGTTCAATGAAACACCAAAACTTGTAGCTGTCAATTTTTGCAATGGAATTAAGAATCACTGAAGCTACAGCCATATTACAAGTCAAAAATTTCCATTAAAACCCACCAAATAAGAGATGGTTACAAACTCGGAGATAAATAATAAATGGAAGTATCAAGGCTCAAGGGAGAAACAAAGTGGTTCATGAAACCAATGAATTATATGTGTTGATCAACTGTTTCTTCATTTTTTAATAATTGTAAATTAACTGCAACATCTAACAGTTTAGGGAGGGAGATGGAGAGAGAGAGAGAGAGAGAGAGAGAGATAGTTCTTTCATTTTGATGAACTTTGAGATCAGAAAGCATTCTTCGGGCAGAAACTTAAAATTTCTCAAGACCATGCATCTCTCACTTCTACAAAGATGTGCTCATCTCCCTCAATTACATAAGTTGACCTATGTGTTATATCTCACACTATGAAATCATATAAATTTAGAAAATTAAGTAGTTCACCTCCAGTTGAATTCCAGTCCAACTTATCAGCTATGAAGCATGGCTACAGATACGGACACCTAAATACAACGAATCTAATAAAAATAGGGCGCGGACACAGTAGGGGTGCGTCAAAAGAGAATAATATAATGTATTGCTGCATGAACAAAAATTATTTCCACGCTGTGTCTCAACCGTGTCTAAACAAGAAAAAATTTATTCCAATTTTAGGACACTCCTAGTCATGTCGAACATTGTCCAGCCTTGTCCCATGCATGCCCGTGTTGGAAACATGTACGACACGGCCACAGTACTACTAGAATAGTGTCGGTGCTTCCTAACTTATCAGTTAGTGAGAGACTACAGACTATTTTTATTATGTTTTCCTCATACATCTTGACCTGCATAAGAATATATATCATTCTCCTCTTCATGGACTGAGGATGTTGATCAGCTACTCCACAATCTATGACGATACAAAGTTACAAATGTCTCATGAGAGAGAGAAAGAGAAAACGCACCTATTTTCACCAGTAGCACAAATGCATGTGTATGAGCAATGCCTACATCCACCGTACATGTAGGTGTGGTGAAGGAACGTGCTTTCCAACTGATATTCTTTCATGCCCACTCTTGTTTTTCTCATAACCTACTCAGAAGACAGTTGAATCAGAAAAATATATCAGTTACATGGCTTGCACTCAGACAAGTACATAATTACTCACAAAGGGGAGAGAGAGAAAGAGAGAGAGAGAGAACACAAAAGATATTATTTTTCAAGATACTCAGTCAAAAATATGTCATAAAAGAAAATAAAAAACAATTTAACAAGAAAACCAAAATTCAGTTTTAGAAATTAGGGTGTGTTTGGGTCAGTTTTCTGATAATAGTTTCCAAGAGCTCAGAAAATAAAATACTGTATTCAGAGAACTTTTTAAAAATTTGTTCTTTAAAAGAAGTCTTTTTAACTGATTGTTCAGAAAACTATCAAGGAGGCTTAACAAACTACCCAACACAAAAGCTAAATTTGGAACGCGGTTTTACAGACACACTCACACACATATGTACATGTATACACATACATTTTGTACATCAATGTATACCCTAATAATTTTGTAAAAATAGACAAATAATGATATACAAGCTACCAATAGTTGTGAAGGCTAAATAACCTAATGATACACAATACAAATATGATTCAATAATGATATATAAGGTACCAATAGTTGTGAATAAGATTCAATAATGATATATAAGCTACCAATAGCTGTGAATAAGATTCAACTAAATAACCTAATGATACACAATACAAATAAGATTCAATAAATACCAAGCTACCAATAATGTATGTATATCAATAGTTGTGAACTTGTGAATAAGATTCACATAGTATAAAAAGACAAATAATGATACATAAGCTACCAATAGTGTGAAAACTAAATGGCCTGAGCAAGCAATCATGAAGGAACCTTCCAAGAACAAAATGCAAAGAAATAAAATTTTATGGCAAGCACACTTAGGTGAGATAGCAGGAGAATGCTCACCTGAACATGAGCTTCGGAACTTATATCATTGGCAAACTGGATCAGAGAAAGCTCCAGATCCGACTTGAAAACACGGCATTCAGTTAAAAGGGGATGCAACGTATTTAGATCCATCTCAAACTTCTCAATCCCCTAAACAAATATTAAAAATGGATTATTCTAATATTTTCATTAAGATAACATGGAGTTTAAATATATTTGCATCAAAATTCAGAAAGCTTCTCTAAGCATCTATATCTATATATCAATCTGAAATTAAGTATTGACATTATAAAAGAGAAGGAAACACAAAAAAAAAAAAAAAATGATAATGCTCAATAACTCAAGAAAATCAGCAAAATCAATGATGGAACAAGTGTCTCTAATCGCAAGTTATTTAACAGCATCAATTGTTGTAGGGATTAATTCATGGAATCGTTCCAAATCAAAACAAATTGCACTAATGCGTTGTGTGTTTGGTTGATTATGGAAGGGATGCCATTGGTCACAAATATTAGCCACATGTCACTCAATGACAAATGAGTGACAAAGACACTAAAGCTTTGAGCTCCACGCCACTCATGAAAACTTTTTGGTCTTATCGAAGTCTAATTGTTGGAGTCATTCTTTCTTATAAATTTTTATTGTAGAAGTTTCTATTCTATTGGAATTTCTATGTTCCAGGAGCTCTTTTTCCCCAGTTCCTACTTTGAATCAGAGAATCTTATGAGGCTAACACTAATGTACTGTTACATATACTTAAAACTATCTATATGTGTGGAAGTTGAGTCCTATTTGATTGCAATATCAGTTAACCTAAATTTCTGAAAGTCTCCAATCCCCTAGGAAGCTCTTTGAAGTGACGAGGTCTACAGTACCAAAGTAAGAGTAGAGTCAACAGATGTAGATTTATGGAGTTTAATTGATTAACACTGGCGGTTTTTTCTCTATTTTCTCTCTGGCAACCTTCTTCTACCAATTCTTGTCTTCTTTCAATTTCTTAAAGCTTTCCAGAAATTTCAGTAAACTAGTTCTAGGAATGCAGCAATTTATAATCATTAAGTGGCAACTTATAGCAGTTAAAACTATTCTAGCCCAAGTACCCAATTCCATCCTAAAGCCATTATACAAACCTTTCATCTTCACAACTAAAACATAAACCATTCTACGTTTTAACTCTCAACCACCTGATAAGTGATTGCAGACGGCATTACCCAATAATCCAGGATTCTGAAAAAAGAGAAACGAATGAAAAATGGTCTGTCCACTTGCCACGAAGTCCAGTAATTAAAAAGGCCTGTTCACTTATCATTTAAGAATTATTCAACTAACGTAACACCGTATTAATGATAAGAAATCATCATCAAAGAGTCATAAAATCAAAATGCAAGAACGAAACATAAAAATAACATCAATCCTACCATTTAATCATCATTTAGATAATCAACTTGATAAAATAGTAACACGAGTCATCACAAAGCACAACCCAGTTTTTTTTTGCTAGAATTCATCTGCTCTATGTTACATGGACTCTTCAAAAGTATAGGTGAAGTACCTATGTCGAACACAATACTCGGAAATGCGTATGGGATGAGTGTCCGACACTTATGGTTGGACATGCACCTTTAAAAAACACATCAAGTAATTCAATTTTATTATATTATTGCTTCAAAAAGAATGAAATGCTTATATTAGACATTATGTTACATAAAGACATTATTTTACTCTACAAAATAAAATAAAAATATTAAATAATAATAATATTTAGTAGTGTCAATGTGTCCTTCTGTTTGGTGATTTGGCACATCTGACGTGTGGATGCGTACCCGTACGCGACACGTACCCAAGTCCAGTTAACAAAGCCTATGATAACCAAACTTAATCTGATCAAATGCAAACTTAAATTGATCAATCATAGATATAAAATACATGGCTAGATTAGTAGATTCCTAAGTCAAGAAGCCTCAATTACGATTTCATAAAACCAAACTATTCGAATTTTTATATAACCCAATTACGTTTCATAAACCCTAAATATTCTGATTTTTAAATAATCTTAATTGTGAAGTCAAAAATTCCTATTGATTCAAATAATCTAAAAAGCCCAAAATATTTTTAACTAATAACAAAATTTCAAATTCATAAAACTCGAATTCTTTCAAACATAATCGGAAGTTCTAAAATTTAGTATTTCCAAATACTAAAGGGTTTAAAATCTGTAAATTGTAATAATAATTTTTATAAAAAAGTAAACGATGTTCTCAAAGAAAAAAGAAAAAAGAATTGGGCTCAGCATACAGTTTTGAGTCTTCCCTGTCCTCTCTCTCTCTCTTTCTCTTCCCATTTCAATCTCTAAGTTTGTTTCACCATTCACAGACCCATCATCTCTTCTTTTCCAAATACGAAAAAATAAATAAAGTTTATATTTTTCAAATTTTGTCCCCCATGTTCTTTGGAAAATTCTAAAAATAATCTCATAATTTATACCGTGCCCCTCCTTTCTTCCAAACTTTTTCAAAAATTCCTCAAGTTGTCCACCAGGTGTATCTTCGTGTATCAGCCATCTGTATACCTTATTCCTTTTTCAAAAATAATAATAATAATAATACATGCTTTTGACATTTCTAACACATGCAAGGGAATTTCTTATGTGTACCCATGATAGACAGATGTGCCTTTTACACATGTTCTGCTTCCCAAGGCTTCATCCATTCAAGTTAACAGAGCACACCATGCAGAAGTTATTGTAGATTTCTAATCCAAAACCAATCATATAGATCAAATCACATTTAAAATAAATATATTCCTACTTACAAAGGGATATATTGACCGAGTCAGTGTAGATTTCTCATATAAGTTGTGTGGGTGCATGCAAAAATGCCACGATGTCATCTTTAAAGGGATATATATAATCCTGTATATTATATATATATATATTCATTCATTCATTCATTCTTGAGTCATCACACACAGTAGTAGGTAATGATAAAAACATCCAAAATCATGTCTATAAACCTCTAGCTATTGTAGTACCGCACAGGTAATGAACCTGAAAGTTGAATAATGCCTTAAGCAGTAATATTTTTTTTATTGGTAAGTGAGTTAAGCAGCAATCATATCCCTGTGGAAACACTAAAAATGCATACACATTGGTATGAGTGAGAGGAAGTAAGAGATGTAGAACCTCAAACTCTGCTGGTTTTGAGAAATTATTGCTGTCAGTGTTGAGCCCATGCAAGAGAAACAATAAAGGTTTTTCTGAGCTGTGGTACTGATCATGCAAAACTTTTACAATTTCATCAGTATAGAAAACCTTGCTAACCATATATCTTTCCTGCAAAAGGAGGATGCAGACAGGAGCAAATTATTAATTTAATGTGAATTGCATGTTGACACAGTAAACTCACTGTCAAAGCAGGGTCACCTTAAAATAGGATAATGGCTTTATTTCTCCCAACCAAACAGCATATTCAGCAGATAGCCTGGGAGCAAACAGAATAGATTCCCCTGTCGCCACATCCTTCAAGAAAAAAGATAACAGAAGTTTTATAATAGATTATATTTGCTACAACTTGAAGTAAGTACTAGATTCAACTAACAAGTTTATTAATTTTCAAGAAACTATTTACAACCTGTGAAGTATGCACAAAAAAAATGGGACAAAAGCATGGCATAGGACACGTTGACAAGATAAATTCTAAAAGGAGTAGACACAAACACAATAAGAACACTGAAATCTTTTTTAAGGAAAAAAAATATATATATTCTTGTATAATTATGTGCAAAACAATAACATGTACAATTAAGTAGTAACAGATAAGACAAGTGAAGGCACCTAGTCTTCAGTAAACACATGGCAATGAGACTCATGACATATTAGCATCCAATTGATCCTATGTGGCAATTCTATACATGATAATGGGTCTCGAGACATCCAATGGAACTTTATCAAACCCCGTCCTCTTAACATGTATGGAGAATCTATTCTACTGACAAACCACGCGGAGATTTTCGCGGAAAGTGACGCCCTGACCGAGCCACCTAAGTTAGTGGCAGAACTAAGGGAACTCACACATACCTCATAATGTCACTTCGTGGAACCCTAGACGCGTTTGGCTAGGAGTTCAGGAATTGTTGAGGAACGCCCATTCCGTAGGAGTGTTCCTTGACCAGGTACACCAAAGAGCACACTGAGGAGCTCAATTCCTCGAGGTTACCCTATGTATTTCACACAGACCATTCCTTTCTTTTACTACTATTCCCTCTCTATCTTTTGTCCCATTGCACCATTATGATCACATTAATATAATTATATATACAACTATTATATATATAATTTGGGCCCCTGACAACATCCAATGGTTATTGACCATTTTCACCACTATATAAAACGCACCAAGCCCAAAGGGGATTGAACCATCCTCTCTCTCTCTCTCTTCAAGGAAGTTTGAGGAACTGTCTCACTAGTTGCTGTCTTCTTCTTTTCTCTTCGAACCTGCCTAGACTTCCAACTAGGCCAACCACCTTGGACCCTCTTGTCATACATCAACATGTTGCTAGCAATGCCTAGATCCTATTTGACAACAAGACAAAACCCCACATCTACAACAAACAAATGCAATATTCTGTGGCGATAATATGTAACTTGTAGCTTAAGAATCATTATAACTATTAACCATGTTTCTTTCGAAACACTATCAAATTTTTGCCATGTGCTGACACATATAAGAGAAGTATGTACTTCGATAGTTATATTGCTTCGTCATCAAACAAAACATCAGCATAACATATTAGCACTCGCTATGCTAAGGCTTGACACAAAAATTTAAAATGGATAACATTTGAAAACACCTAAAGGCAAACATGTCTTTACATATCAAAAACAACCATGAGGATGTAATGAAGGAAACTTACAATGGCTCCATAAAAACTGGGCTCTCTTACTCCAAACAAATAAGCGAAATAGCTCTCCTGCCTATAAACCAAGTTAGCCACCAATAGTAATATATTAATCACAAGTCGCAGATGCCAACCAAAAATAGCCAAGGATCAATAGAAAGCATCCGTCATAAATACAGCAATGTTTCATGAAAAATGTCCCTCTTAAAGCCAATTAAGACAGAAAAAATAAAATAAAAAACTTATCAAAAAAAAAATTAAAAAATTAAAAAATAAAAGGGAGTTATAATCATAAATGCAAGCATTTTATTTGAATGATAAAAAAGAGCATCTCTCTTAAAATTTGTTCCCAATGAAGAAAAGACACCATGAACCATCTTTTAAGGGCTACCCTAAATTTGTCCGTGTCAACAAACAATTCCAAATGCTTCTATCATTTGGGAAAGACCTGGACAGAGAGATAACACCAAACCACATGGTATATAAACAGAGCGCCAAGTACCATTCACAATGTTAAACTAGTATATTAGTTAGTTACATTGCGAATATGAATGAAAGTTTTCAAACACCATAATATTTTGATGTCTTCTTAATGATTGAACCTCCCAGCATGATCAAATAATCTAGCAGTGTAGAGCAATTGATAAAGAATGAAATGGATAAAACATTTGATTCCCTAGTGTCTCGCAACATCAACAAAAGGAAAGCAATTCTCTCATACTATGTTCGTATCTATACCTGTATAGGTCTTCTACATGCAGACATACAAATATATGTGTGTGAGATAGATTACCTGAAGAGTTCGGCATGATCGGTGCAATAGCGATTTTGTTCCTCGCCGCCCTGGAAATGGATTGTAGAATGACTTAAAAGATGAGAGAGTAATATGAATAAGAAGAGAGTTTGAAGTGCGAAATGTTACCTGGAGAAGTACAAAACCTTGGAGAGGACGAGACGAGTGACAGAGATGTTCGCGTAGATACTTGATGAGTTTCGATCGATTGATTTCGTGGAGCTCCATTGGAATTTCAGGAGGGGAGAGAGAGGACGGCGAAGAAGCCATCGCAGTGGCTTCTCTAGGTTTTGCCATTTACACTACTCTACTCACTCGATGATCTGTGTATTTTATAGTAGTAAATCAAATTCAACTTAACGCGTTGTATCAGCGAATATGAGAATATATACGATTCTGATATGCAACGCGAAAGATAAAATATCAAAACACTAGGAATATAATTTAGCTAAGTCACGTCAGTATTAAAAAGAAATATAAAAATATATATATAATATTTTCTTTTTTAAAAAAATTAAAAATTAAAAACTCTTCAAAATTAGATATATACAACAATTATAAATTAAAAAAAATATATACTTAATATAAATTTTAAAATAATAAATATTTGGTTATATAAATTTTAAAATAATAAATATTTGGTTTATACAAAATATAATAATCTGTATTTGAATTGTTTTATGAATTTTTACTTTGTAAATTTAAATTTATAAAACACGGAGACAAGTAATTTTCGGTTTGTAATTATTTTCTTTTTGCTCACTCCATTCAATTTTAAAGAGTTTTTAGTTTCGTATTTGTGACAGGAAAGAGAAAGCATCATTTTTTTTCTTTTCATTTATACCATGAAATAGATGACTATTTCTTTTTTTAATTATGACGTGGTTAGCCAAATCAGATTCGGAGAGTTTTCACATTTTCTTTTTCGAATTGCTTTAAAAATATTTCAAAAAAATTACGAGAAAATATATTTTGTTAGTTATAGTAGAAAATAAAAACTAAAATAATTGTACTTTTCCAAACTACCCTTATTATTTCAAATATTAAATTAATAATTAAGTTTGCGTTGGATAAGAGCATGCATCAAATATTGCCATTGTTGACTTCTTGTGATAATAAAAAATAAAGAATAATCCCTGAGTTCGGAATAATCAAAGAAAATATATTTTGTTGGATAAGAACGGGGGTTATTATAATCAGAGTTTATTCTTTATTTTTTGTTTTTATTGGAAGTTACAATTTATATACTGGATTTGTGGGTTGAAACAACTTTGATGAAATAAAATAGGATTGTGATTGTTCCACCATGGTCCATTTGGTTGGATGAAAATTAATACAAAGTGAAGTGAAGAAAAAGAAAATAAATTTTCTATGATTCATTTGGTTGACATAAATTTTTTTCATGAAATTTGTGAAAAAATATCGTTTCATAGTTTGAATAGCATGAAAGTTAATAGAAAATATTGTAATTTACTGAAATTGTCAATTTCTAATTAAATATGACAATTGGTCTAAATAAATTTATATTTAATATATTTTTATTTTATAAAAAAAAAAAAAGGTAATACAAGAATCTAAATAATTAAATTTTGTGATATGTAGAGGAGGGGGGTAATTATTATACTATTGCATAAACACAATTTATTTTAGAAAAGTGAAAAGGGGGTATAATTGGAATTTCATATAGTTTTCTCAATATAACAAATTTCCTATGTTTTTTTGTAAGAAAAAATTGTGGAAAAGTTGAGTGGTTTTGAAAAAAAAAATTCACACAAAAATTTCCTTTTCTTTTCATTTTTTGCTATTTCCATCTAACCAAACTAAGCCTACAAGTTTGTTTCAATTATAATAACCATTATTGTCAATTTTTTCTCAAAACAATTCCAGCATAAAACGCAAGAAAATTGGTTTCTCACGAAAGTTATATGTTTATATTTAAAATTCTTATTATACCCATATTTTAACTAGTTGTTTATACTGTAATTATAATTGAATTAAAAAAGGAAACCAAGTTGTTGTCATAGTTGGAAGTAGCAAGAAAGGAAAAGTTAAAGAAAAAGAAAATTTTTTAATTTTTTAAAGGTCCGTTTGGTTAGATGAAAATTTAAAATGAAAAGTAAAAGTGAAAGTGAAGGAAAAGAAAATAAAGTTTCTAGCACACATTTGGTTAAGAGGAAAATTTTACAAGAAATGTGTGAGAAAAAATTATTTTATTAGTTTGGAAAGCCTGAAATAAAAAATTATTGTACTTACCAAAATTACCAATGTGATTTTAAATATTAAAAATAAAATAAATTTGTGTTACTCCCCTTACCCAAATATTTATATTCATTTTTTAAAACAAAATAAATAAATAATGATAAATTATTAAATTATTAAGAATTGTTATATAATTATTTATATTAATTTTTAAATTATTTATACATGAGTAAAGTTTTAGCAGTTAATTTTAGAGGCTTACTTCAAAAATGCATAGTACCACAAATATTTGAAAAATTACGTGACTAGTTTATTTCCATAATTGGTGTTTTAAGTTATTACCATATACAAATATATTAGAAGTCATATACACAAATCACCAAATGATAAGAGGTATAATATGAAGTTAAAACATAAAGTCAACTTTCACCATAAATTGAAATTTTCTATTGTTTTATGCGGAAAACATTTTGTGGAAAATCAATAACTTACGGGAAATAATTCTATTTAACCAAACGGATCAGGGAATCCTAGTTTCCTGAAATTTTTCCTTTTCATCATAAACAAACGCAAAAAATATTAAAATCTTTTCTACTTATTTTCCTTTCCTACTACCTTCATCTAACTAAATGTACCCTTTGGGAGTTATATGCAATACCATACAATTGCTTGTAATATACCGTTACAATGGAAACTTGTTCAGTTGTTTCACATCGAATCTGGATGAAAAGTGTAATGAGATGGAAAGTAAATTGAGTATAAATGGATTAGGTAGCCCACCGTTGCAATTGGTATCAAAGTCAGACGTACTCCTTGATTCGATGTCGTGCTAAGTATCTGGCTCAAATGTGTTTAAGTGCTCCACCCCGGGTAAACAGGGTGACCCGACCGTAAGAATAAAGTTATGAGTTCGGGGGGGGGGGGGGGGGGGAACCTGTCCCACATCAGATCTAGACGAGAAGTGAAATGAGTATAAATGGCTTAAATTTTTCGATCTCAAATGTAATATTTAGGAGTATGTTAAAAAGGGTTAAGTACAAAAAAAAACCCTGAAATACAAACTTTGTGCAAAATTAGTTCATACTTTTTGAAAATGTGCATGTAAGTCCACAAAATTTTTAAAAAGTGCAAAACTAGTCCCTCTAACCACCTTTTTACAAAAAGTAAAACTAAAAACCCCACTTTACCCTTTTATTTCCCATTTTGCCGCTCATCCATTCGTGCAAAAACATCCAGACCGTCCAGATTGAACATGCTTGATTAGGAATAAAAAAATATTTTTTATTTCTTTTTCTCCTTTCTCTCTCTTCGCGTTTCTCTCTCTTCTTTTCTTTTTCTCCTCAAACTTTCCCCACCATCGCCAACAAACTTATCAGACCATCACCATAGGACCATCATCTTTATCCCATTCCTAATCTTCCCCACCAAAACCCTAATTCGGGTGGTGCTCGATTAATGGCACTTCTGGGTTCAAAACCCACTTCCAATCTCGATTCTTCCCAACCCAATTTGCCCTTCCCGTTACCGCCATCGTTCGGTGCAGGAAAACAATTTCTTTCTTTTTTCTCTCTCTTTCTCTTTGTTTTGCTTTTTGTTTTAATCAATCATCTCCCTCTTTAGGTGGGGAAAAAAAATAAAAAATAAAAATCTTTCTTTGTTACCATATGTATTTCTCAAATTGATAATATTTTTGGCCTCCCTTTTCCTCTATCTATGAACAGCCACCAACCACCACTATCCTCACCCCGTCACCCCAAACCACCGCCACAATCTCCACCCCGACGATCACCACAATCAAAACGCAAAAAAAAAAAAAAAAAAAAAAAAAAAAAATCAAAAATTAAAATTAAAAAACCATCGCCACAAAAGGGTAAATTTGTTTTTCTTCAATCAATTTGGTTTGAATCTTTTTTTTTTTTTTTCCTCTGAGCAGCAAAAGAATATATATATATATGAGAGAAAAAAAAGGTGTTGGGCCGCTCGACGAGGAAGGAGAATATAATACCCCTAGTTTTCAAAAGGATAAAATGGGAATTTCATTTTAATTTGTATTGCATTTTTGTTTAATTAAGTGACTTATGTGCTTATTTGACTTAGTTGACTAATTGTGTGTATTGTACTTATTTAAATTAATTGGTTAATTGTGATTATTTATTTGTTTTATTTAATTGGTTAATTGTAATTATTTATTTGTTTTATTTAATTGGTTAATTGTAATTATTTATTGGTTTTAGTTAATTGTTTAATTGTGATTAAATTTACTTATTAGATGTATTAGTTTAAATGGCGTGTGTTAGAGTATGCTTTGTTATTAATGATATCAGGGTTTTAGTTTATGTAATTGTGGTCGCCGACTTGTATTTTTATTTGGGGTTTATAATTAGGGTTTCGTGGAAGCCTATATATATACTGTATAATCCAACTTAGGGTTTAGCTGTATAGATATATGTATATGATTGGTTGTGTCTGCAAGGGTTTTAGAACCCTTTTCCCCGTAACTGGAAGTAGAGAGAAAACATAGAGGATTTAAGGGGAAAACCCAGAGGGATACTGGGAGAGCCAATTAGGCTTTCAGCTATAGACTGAAGGTGTACCACGGAGGAAGGAAGAGGTTGATTGTGAGATGGAACTGGAGCAGTAAGAGGGTTGCCGGTAGTTGTCAGTTCGTCGGAGAACTTAGAGACGGCGTTGAAAGGTTTTAACCCGAAACTTAAAGGCAAGTTTCATTCTATCTCCTTCCTGTAAACTTGTGTTCTGTGCATCCTTTATAGTCTCCAGGAATTAAATTCAACTTTTAAAACTGATGGTTGATGCATGTTATATCGGACTGTAATTTGTTTTACAATTAATAACTGAAATCGGTTTCTTGTATAAATTGTGTTAAGTATGTTTTTAAACTTTTGTAAATTAATTCATATTGGGATGGGAAGAGTTTGTAGGACTATTTGGATGTCAATTGGACCCTGAGAAGTTTAAAAATAATTGGGACAGAAACATGGAACTTCGCCGGAAGCGAAAAAGACAAATAGAGGAAGTATAAACTGTTGCGATCATGGTTTAAGCTTTTGTTAAGTAATTCATACTGGAATTGGAGATGTTTCTAGCATTGTTATGACTTAAATTGAACCTTAAAAATCTTTAACAAAAGTGGGACAGAGGACTGAAACTTTG